CACTTCATACTCGGGTTCATCCTGTATTAGAACAGGTGGTGGTGGCGGTAGCTGCCGTCTCTGGAAATGTTGGTTGGGGTCCTTGTAGGGCTTTAGTAGCTGAATGTGGAAAGCGTTGTGAAGCTTCCATATATCTGGTAAGCGCAAGCGGAATGTTACTGGTGTCACCTGAGCCTCAACGAGAAAAGGACCATAGAAGCGAGGCCGGAGTTTGGATGGGAGGTGAGACAGGTTCAAGTTGCGCGTGTCAAGAAGCACCTGATCTCCGACTGCTACTTAGTGATCACGTCGCTAGCGATCGGCATACTGCTTCTGGGAGTTTTGCATCGTGGTGAGACGTCGCTGAGTCTTCTCCCATAGCTGCTGCATGGTGGTGACGAAATCATGTGCGGCTTGGACGTGTGCCGGTGTGGTTGGCTGCTGTGGTGTAAGTGGTTCCCGTCCGTAATACAGGAAGAAAGGAGTTTTCCCTGTGGCCGCATGTGATGCGTTGTTGTAAGCGAACTCTAGGGTCGGTAACTGTGTGTCCCAATGACTGACGTCGTCCTTGCAAGCTGTGCGCAGTAACTGTTCAACCACTTGATTGAGTCGCTCTGTCTGTCCGTCAGTCTGGGGGTGGTATGCTGAAGACATTGCAAGTTTTGTCCCCAACAGTCCCATGAGCTCCTTCCAGAACTTACTCGTGAATTTGGGGTCTCTGTCTGAGATGAGTGTAGCGGGGATGCCGTGGATGGTGATGATGCGGTCGAAGAAGAGGCGAGCAGTTGCTTCAGCTATAGCTGTGGCGTTGGTCGGTATGAAGTGACCCATTTTAGAGAACTTGTCGATCACCACGAGTATGGCATCATGCCCTCGTGAGGTCGAAGGAAGTCCCGTGATGAAGCCGAGGCTAACGACTTGCCATGGCTGCTCCGATACGGGTAGAGGCTGAAGTAACCCTGCTTTTTTCTGCTTGCTGCTCTTCATCCGCTGGCATGTGTCGCACGAGGTGACGAACTGCTGCACGTCTGCTGCCATCCCGGGCCAGTAGTAATACTTCGCTATCCCTGCTAACGTCTTGTTGCTCCCGAAATGTCCCGTGTAAGGTACGTCGTGAAACTCCTCCAAGAGGATCTGCCGTAGCGGGGCGTAATTCGGTACCCAAATCTTTCCTGAACCCTTCCTTACAGCTAAGTCTTTCTCCCACTGTAACAGCTTCTTAGTCTGTGCTGTAGCGATCTCTGCGTCCACGGAGTACCCATGTTGGAATAGACCCTTGAGCAGAGGGTTCATCCCATCGAGTTAGATGCCCGCTACATGACCGGGACGGCTCAATGCGTCTGCCTTGTTGTGTAGCCCGGGCTTGTAGACGATGTCGTAGTGGAAGTGAGTTTCTAGGAAGTCCATCCACCGCACCTGTCGCCGCGAGAGCGTCGGCTGTGACTTCATGTATTTGAGACTGCAGTGGTCAGTATAAACTGTAGTCTTGGCTCCCTCTAGGTAACACCTCCACGCCTTGAAGGCTATGACTATCGCTAAGGCTTCCTTGTCATGGATGGGGTAGTTCAGTTCTGCTCCGTGTAATTTTTTACTGAGGTAGGCGATAGGCTGTAAACCGTTCCCGTGATCCTGCATCAGTACTGCTCCGATTGCCTGGTCACTAGCGTCTGCTTCAACGACGTATTCTTTCTCGGGGTCTGGTAGGATGAGTACTGGCGCTGTGGTCAGTGCTGTCTGTAGCTGTTCCATGGCTTGCTGATGAGGAGTATATCCTTTTTCAGTAGGTCGGTCAGTGGCGCTGCAATCTTAGCGTACTGAGGCACGAACCTGTTGTAGTAGTTGGCGAAGCCTAGGAACTGCTGTAACTCCTTCACGTTCTCCGGTACTTTCCACTTCTTGACGGCTTCGATCTTCCGCGGGTCCACGTGTACGCCCTCGGTACTCACCATGTGCCCGAGAAACTGCACCTTCTTCAAGGCGAAGTCGCTCTTCGACAGCTTCACGTAGAACTTGCATTTCCGCAGGATCTCGAACACCTTCCGTAGATGCTCCACGTACTCCTTCATGTTCTTGGAGTAGATGAGGATATCGTCCAGGTACACTACTACGCACTCGTCCAGCAGGGGCCGCAGGATATGGTTCATTTCCGCCTGGAACGTCGCTGGTGCGTTGCAGAGTCCGAACGGCATCACCAAGTATTCGTAGCAGCCGTATCTGGTACGGAACGCCGTCTTGTGGATCGAGTTGTCCGCCATCTTGATCTGCCAGTAACCCGACCATAGGTCCAGCTTCGAAAAGATTGTTGCACCACGCAGTTGGTCTAGAAGATCGTCTATGCGCGGTATGGGATATTTGTTTTTGACTATCTGTTTGTTCAGTGCGCGGTAGTCGATGCACATCCGTAAACTGTCGTCTGGTTTTGGAGTGAAGAGGACTGGTGCACCGTAGGGAGAGGTGGATGGGCGGATCAGTTGTCTGTCCAGTAGATACTCTATCTGTTTCTTCATGTCTGTCAGTTCGGTCGGACTCAGTCGGTATGGTGCACGTGAGACGGGTTTCGCACCTGGTTCCTCCACGATCTTGTGCTCATGGGTGCGTGCTGGAGGTACGCCTGCGGGTAGGTCGTCGGGCATTATATCCTTGTACTGCTCCAAGACCTCCTTCACTGCTGCAGGTAGTTCTGCGTTCGGCATCTCCTCTTCTACTGCTGCCATAACTAGTGCTAGGTATCCCGTGTTACTCTCGTTCACCGTCTGTTCAAACCATGCCAGTGTCATTTCAGGAATGTTCCCTGTATCTGTCCAGCTTCGTAGTGCTATCCGCTTCCCGTTGTTGTAGATGCACACCTTCCTGTTGACCCAATCGATCTCGGGGTTGAACCGCTTCAAGAAATCTCGCCCTAAGATGAAATCTAGCCCTTTGATGTTCGTGATCGGCAACGTCGGCTTCCACCTTAGCGCCCCTGTGTGCAGCTGCAGTGATGCTTCGCCGTGGATGGGAAGTTTCGTACTGTCCACCATCGTTGCCGAGAACTTGGTCTCCTCGGAAGATTCTCCAATTTTCTCCAACGTCCCGTGGTCGCACATCGAGTGAGACGCACCGCTATCCACCCGTGCCTGGAGGCGTCGCCCGCTGCAGATCACCTCGAGTAGTACTGGTTGTTGCTGCTCCGAGTAACCGTAGATGGTCTCGCTTACAGAATCGTAGGGTACGTCGAATAGATCATCCCTCGGTCTTGCGCTCGAAGCTGCTGACTCCATATCAGTTTTCAACTGAGTAGGGTTGGAAGGATTTATCCGAGGCCGATTCAGCTTCGTCTTGGCCTGGAACCTTCCCTTAAGCCTTTTTCATTTTCCAACACGCCAAGAGTCGATGTCCTGCTGCGCCGCAAAATTCGCATTTCTCATATTTTGTCGGCCGCTGCTTCGCGTCGATCTTGTCGATATCCATCGGGTCGGCGGTCGTGGGTGGTGCCGATCGCTTCGTGCCAAATGATCGGTTCGGCACGTGGCGTCGTGTCTCGGGTTCACATCGCATCAGCGCATCGAATCTCTCTGCTGCACACACCATGTCGCGGTAGTTGTTGTAGTTCGCGGCAATCACCTGTCGGCGGACTTCCATTTTTAGCCCCTCAGTATATGCTTGGATTTTTTCCCCTTCGGTCAGGTCGGTAATTCGGTTGAAGAGGCTCTCCATCTGCTGCGTGTACTGTGTTACACTGCCGAAATGTTTATGCCGATGAATCTGCTGCCGCGCCATGTAGCTGGAGTTGATTGGTTCGAAACGTTGAACTAAAGCTTCCCGAAACTGCGTCCATGACCCCTCGCCTCGGATCTTATTCCTGTTGTAAATCCACTCAAGCGCCGGGCCTCGTAACAGTGTCGCTGCGAGCCGAATCCGCATTGCATCATGTGTCGGGGTCGTACAGCCAACGGCCTCGAAGTAAATTTCGAGGGTCGCAATGAATCGACGGACGTCGGTGTCTCTCGCATTCGGATTGAACGTCTCCGGTTGCCTCGGATGTGCCGCCTCAAGATTCACTGTAGCCACTGCCGCTGCTGCTGGGTGAAGTGTCGGTGTCGCTGCTGCTGCTGCTGCCGTTGCTACTGCATTCGCTGCTGCGTTCGCTGCTGCTATGGCGGCTGCCGACTGGTTCGCGAGAAGCTCCTCTATTCGCTGGAGTGCCGCTCGCATCTGGTCCAAGCTGGTGTGTAAATCCGTATTTTTTCATACGGAATTATCACCATTTTCCTCCATTTGGCGATTTACAGGAAAATGTGCGACGAAAAAAAATGAATTCTAGGCGCTGGTCGTCTTACTGTGAGTCGAATCGACTGTAGAAATGACGAGCGCTGATTCTGTAGGTCGCGTGATTCTCCCTTAAAGCAAGGGTGCACTTTGGGGGGGGTGGAGGCAAAGGTTTATCACTTGCCTCTGGATGGTTACCGGGTTTTGGTAGGGCGTGGGAGGCGACAAATGTTTGCCCCAACCCCTGCGGAGAGTGACGAGGTGTTCCCCCCTGCCAGTAGTGCGCGAAGGAAATGGGGTTGGGAACTTGCAAGTACCGCAGTGGAGTTTGTGTACCAAAACTCACTCCACAACAACCCAACCACAAAAGCAGAGGGCCCGCCAACCTTAGGAAGCGTTACTCAGTTTAGAACATCACGCTATCCGTCAAAACAGACGGATAAATTGCCACTTGTTCAAATGTCGCAGTTCGTCGCTTGCCGATAGCTCGCCTTCCAAGTCATCGTTCGTCGGCGTGTTGACGCCATTTATCGTCTTATAATCGTCGTGTTTCGCCGTCGCCTTCCGCTCGCATCTCGAAGCTCGATTGTCCGCTAGTCGTTGCGTGTCGCAGCCCACTCAGTGGCGGTCGCCGCAGAACTGGCGTTGCTCGTTGCAACCAGCACGTCGCGATCCGCTTGCTCGCTGCATCCTGCTCCCCGCTATCAGCTCATCGCTCCGCTCCTGCTTTCCGCACCCCGCTTTCAGCGTTGCCACTCGTGCGGTTCCGCTCGATGCTCGCCGTTTCCCCTGCTTCGCTCCGTTTCGCGGGCGTGAGCCGCGATTACGCGGGAGGCGCGGAAGGGAGGCAGCAGCGGTTTAGCGCAAGGCGTGGACGCGAGGTAGCAGGACGGGAGGGGCGGACGGGAGCAAGGAGCAATCTCGCGCGCGTGGCGGGCTGGAGCGAGCAGCGACGGGGAGGGAGGGGGTGCGAGGGGGACTGAAGGAGCCGCTTCTACATCCCCCTCCCGTCGACCTCGCTTTCCCCCTCCCGTCGACCCCGCTTTCCCCCTTCGCTTTCCACCTCCCGTCGACCTCGCTTTCCCCCTCCCGTCGACCTCGCATTCCCCCTCCCGTCGACCTCGCTTTCCCCCTCCCGTCGACCTCGCTTTCCCCCTCCCGTCGCCCTCGCCTTCCCCCTCCTGTCGCCCTCGCCTTCCCGTCCTCACTCTCTTTCCCCCTGCTCACTCCTCTTTCCCTCTCTGTTTGTCCCTCATTCTGTTTCCCCCTGCTCACACCCCTAATCAGCCCCTACATAGAGTTCAGTGCAATGCAATGGGAGAGGTTAGAGGGAGATGGAGTGCATTCATGCCATGCGCGCGTCCCACTCCCCCCGAGTCCCCACTCGTTGGCTAAGCTCGCTGCTGTAGTGCCGTGGGCCACTGTCGCCATGCGCCTCCCCGCTCCCTCCTCTTCCCCACTCCGCTCGCGTACTCCCCTCTCCCCTCCCTGCCCTCTCTCCCCATCCTTCCCTTTCCCCCCTCCCTGTCCTGTCCCGACTCCCCTCTCTCCTATCCCACCTCCCTGCCCTGTCCTGTCCCCCCGCTGCCCTGTCCTATCCCCCCTCTCCGCCCTGTCCTATCTCCTCACTCCGCCCTGTCTTACCTCCTCACTCCGCCCTGTCCTATCTCCTCACTCCGCCCTGTCCTATCTCCTCACTCCCTGTCCTATCTCCTCACTCCCTGTCCTATCTCCTCACTCCCTGTCCTATCTCCTCACTCCCTGTCCTATCTCCTCACTCCCTGTCCTATCTCCTCACTCCCTGTCCTATCTCCTCACTCCCTGTCCTATCTCCTCACTCCCTGTCCTATCTCCTCACTCCTTGTCCTATCTCCTCACTCCCTGTCCTATCTCCTCACTCCCTGTCCTATCTCCTCACTCCCTGTCCTATCTCCTCTCCTCACTCCCTGTCCTATCTCCTCACTCCCTGTCCTATCTCCTCACTCCCTGTCCTATCTCCTCACTCCCTGTCCTATCTCCTCACTCCCCGTCCCATCCCCTCACCCCTCACCACCGCAGGCGAGCATGACACTGGCTCAGACAAGCTGCATGGATGTGCCGCCTCTTCTTGAACATGCTTTCAGCATGTCAGAGGCCCAGACAGGCTACATTGCGTACAGGGGCCGTCAGCAGATTCAAAACGGAGCAAATGCTTCCCTCCCTATCCTGATATGGCATGCTTATACCGTATTATATGTACTCACATCTCACTAAATATATGGTTCTAAAATGTTTACATCTTGTCGCGTGATTTGGACAAGGGGTTACACACAAAACCAAGAGGCTACCATGACAACAGCATGAACAGCAACTTGAGCACAGTATCAATATGTTATACCGGTAATCAGCCGTTGGATGGCACAATGAGGCACACATTAGCCTAAAAAGAAATGAAATTGTACTTGATTGTTCTTGCTTTTTGAGAATTCTCAGATGCTGCAGTGGCCAGCAGCAGCAGTACTGGCAAGAGCAGTGGTAGCAGCAGTGATCGCAGCTGCAGAAAAAGTGGAGGGAAAAGAGGTGGCTTGCTTGGCGAGGTTGAGAAGAGAGGCGAGGAGGTCCCCAAGGGCGTAGGTGAAGGCGTGTCCAGGAGCAGAAGCATCAGCAGGAGGGGCAACAGCAACAGCCATCATTGAGCAGGCGGCTAAGGGAGGTTTGGACTGCCAGTTCCCATGCCACCATCTCCCTCGCTTGCCTTGCTGCCGCCCCCTTGCCCCTCCTTGGCACGCCCAAGCAGCGCAGCAGATAGGAGAGCAGGGGGTGAGTTGATGATGTGAGAGCATGGTGTGAGAGCAGGCTAGGCTGAGGGCAGGTGATGAAGTGAGAGGGCTTGGTGCGACTGGGATGAAAGGCATGGGATGAGAGGCATGGGATGAGAGGCATGGGATGAGAGACATGGGATGAGAGGCATGGGATGAGAGGCTTGGGATGAGAGGCTTGAGATGAGAAGCATGGGATGAGAGGCTTCGAATAAGAGGCTTGGGATGAGAGGCCTGGTTTGAGAGGCTTCGAATGAGAGGCTTGGGATGAGAGGCATGGGATGAGAGGCATGGGATGAGAGGCATGGGATGAGAGGCATGGGATGAGAGGCTTGGGATGAGAGGCTTGGGATGAGAGGCTTGAGATGAGAGGCATGGGATGAGAGGCTTCGAATGAGAGGCTTGGGATGAGAGGCTTGGGATGAGAGGCATGGGATGAGAGGCTTCGAATGAGAGGCTTGGGATGAGAGGCCTGGTTTGAGAGGCTTCGAATGAGAGGCTTGGGATGAGAGGCTTGGGTGTGACAGTAGCGAGGAGAGAGAAGGTCACCTGTCATACAGTCACACTGGAAGGAAGGGAATTAGGTGATGAATCTCTTGGAAGGAAAGCAGGGAGAGGGAGGGGAAGGCTAAGGAAGGCAATGTAGACGTGGCAGGGTAGAGCAGGACAGGCGGGGACCAAGCGAGGAAGTGAACAGAGAGAGCGGAATCAGCATGCAGACGCATGGAGGTGAGAACTGGGGCAGGTAGATCTGGCAGAGGGTAGAGGACGGGAGGGACGGCAGAAGATATGAACCCAGGGAGGCGAGCACCAGGGCAGACACGAAAGGCAGAAGATATGAATGCAGGGAGTTCAGGAGACAATTGGGGTCTGGAGAATGGCAGACATGTGAGGAGTCTGATATAGATGGTAACTCCTTAGATGAGCATATAGAAACTAGTATTTGGTCCTGAGTCAGCCACGTGGCCGTTGACCTGTGCATCAAGAGAATCGGACGGTTGCAACGGTTTCTCGCCACGTGGACCTTCGAGATTGGCCGAGTTTTGAAAGACCGTGGGGAATAGGAGGGGTAGGAAGGTAAAAGTGCAGGGTGGAAAAAGGAAGGGAAGGAAATGGAAGGAAAGGGAAGGGAGGAGAGGGGAAGGGAAGTGAAGGGAGGACGTCAAAAAGGGAAGGGAAGGGAAGGGAAGGGGAGGGAAGGGAAGCGAAAGGAATAGAAGGGATTGGAGGGGAAGGGGAGGAGCGACCTAGGGGGAAGGGGAAGTGAGATGTGGGGGAAAGGGGAAGTGCGACCTGGGGAGAAGGGGAGGAGCGACCTGGGGGGAAGGGGAGGAGCGAACTGGGGGGAAGGGGAAGTGAGATGTGGGGGAAAGGGGAAGTGCGACCTGGGGGGAAGGGGGAGGAGCGACCTGAGGGGGAGGGGAGGAGCGACCTGGGGGAAGGGGAGGAGCGACCTGGGGGGAAGGGGAAGTGCGACCTGGGGGAAAGGGGAAGTGCGACCTGGGGAGAAGGGGGAGGAGCGACCTGAGGGGGAGGGGAGGAGCGACCTGGGGGGAAGTGGAGGAGCGACCTGGGGGGAAGGGGAAGTGCGACCTGGGGGAAAGGGGAAGTGCGACCTGGGGGGAAGGGGGAGGAGCGACCTGAGGGGGAGGGGAGGAGCGACCTGGGGGGAAGGGGAGGAGCAACCTGGGGGGAAGGGGAGGAGCGAACTGGGGGGAAGGGGAAGTGAGACGTGGGGGAAAGGGGAGGTGCGACCTGGGGGGAAGGGGAAGTGCGACTTGGAGGCGACGAGGAGGCGGCGCGCCGATGCGAACGCGAGGGGGCGAGGCGGCGATTTTGCTGTGATGCGCTGATGACGAGGCGCACAGCCGGGGGCGCTCAGTAGCACGGATGCGAGTTTAGCGGATTAGGGAACACTTAGTGCGAGGTGGCGGCGATGTGGCGGCGATGCGCCGATGAGGAGGCGAGGCGGCACAGGAGGTCGCATGGTCGGAGCGCGAAGCAGCGTGGAGGCAAGAGGCTGAGGATGCTGGGAAACTCGGGAGTCGGGGAGGCGGTTGCGACATGGCGACTCGGCGATAAGGCAGCGACGTGGGGAAAACGATCTGAATCGCCGTTTGAGACTTCGCGAGCTAGCACAAGATATCGCCAGCAACATACGACGAGGCTTGTGTGTACGCGTCGGGGGCCGGAAACTCTACTCTCCGGACTCTATCGTCATGGCGATAGGGAAAGTACGCTTATATGCAATGGTGGTACCAAGTGGTCTAGATGCAAATCTGCTTTCACTCAGGTTGATGTTATCACATGGTTCCGTTCCTTGGTTGCGCCAGACGCTTCGTTTCCGCCGTTCCGCGGTGTATTCCCCTGCCCAATCTCTGTACGAAATTGGTTGGCATCGCCAGCCAAGTTTGAATCCCTCGCGCCAGCTATCCGTACCCTAAACATTTCGCTGTCGAATCAGACCCCGTCAAAGGGTGTACACAAACATTGCCCCCCAAAACCACCCCCAGGAATGTGCACCCTTGCTTTAATCGAAATTCGCGTCCGATCTCGGCCGTTGAGAAGAAATTCGATCCGACACTCCCAATTCCAACTTTTTGGGCGAAATTCTTAGGGCCATTGAGATTCGAATCGATCCGACGGTCGAAATTCCAACTTTTTCGCCACTGGACCTGAGGAGTGTTCGAAAACCGGTTCGAGGGGGACGTTAAAAAATAGCGCGGACCTGGTTTGCGTACCCGAAATCGGCGCTTTCCGTCGTCGCCCCCGCGGTTTTAAAAGCTAGTTTTTCGCGGTCGAAAAACCTCGCTTCTAAACAGGCTCTGATTACCAAATGTGAGGATCTAGGATCGAGCTCAGAAAAGAAAGTTTGAATTGAATGAGTCACCTGGGTACAACACGAGGCTATTTATAGTCTCGACACAAGACCAGTTACCCAGGTGTTACGCGAATGTTCTGAGGGTCGCGAAGCGTCCCAAACAGAACCTTCCCGAACTCAGTAGAAAGCAATTCGGTGGAAACCGAATAGGCTTGAGTTCGGTACACGTAACCTGGTTCGGTGCTATAACTATAATAACATATAGGAATGCACCTAACCTAGGAAATCAAGCATATCTATGCATGATAAATAAATCCCAAGCTAGATATAACATAATAAAGTCTAGGCAAGCTAGCAAAGCCAGCATAAGTCGTCGTACTCTCACAACCATCACCTAGAGCAGCAGACTCTATACCTGGGTCGGGCGGCACGCACAGGTAACAGGCACCCTCAGCACTACTAGGCAATGCATACATGGCCGTGAGGATAGCATCATAGTCAAGTGCAAAGATATCCACCTGCTGTCTAAGCAGCTCCACCCAGTCGGGGAGCTCAGCCTCGTCGCCAAACTCGGTACGCCAGGCGTCGCTCAGACAGGCGAAGCAGCGGGACTGCCTGTGACCAATCGTCCCGCAAGTCTGACCAGCCCGATCACCTGTGCGAATGACGTACGGGCAGCGAACAGTGCTCCAAGACCCTCTACTCTGAGCGTACCACTCACGAAGCTGCTGGGGCGTAAGGGTCTCGCGCGGACGCCGCTGCAGCAGCATGTGGCCACCGCCAGAAACCCCCCTCCGAACCGCTCCACCGAGACTGCCACTTTGGTCGAAGGTAAGAACAGTAGGTCTAGCCATGGCGGCAGTAGCAGCAGTAGTAACAGTAGCAGCAGAAAGAGCGCGAGGAGGGCAGCGCAGCGCAGTAGGGCAGGGCGGCGCGGTCCAGCAGAGCGGCGCGGCTCGGCTGGGCGGCGCGCGGCCAGAGCAAGCAGTAGCTCCTAGGGCAGAAGCACCAAGAGTTTTTATTATTATTAAGGGTTAATTTATTTATTTATTTTAGGGTTTGGCAGGGTGCACAGGGCGCTGCAGAGGCGGCGCGGGCAGGGCAGGGCAGGGCGCCAGTGCACGGCGCTGGCGCTTTGGCAGGGTAGGGCGCTGGCGCGAGTGCAGGCCCGCGGCGGGCGCAAAACGCAGGTACGGCGGGCGCAAGGGGCGGGCCCGCGGCAGCCAGCGGGCGCGGCGGCGGCAGGCAGCGGGCGCGACGGCGCGCTTAGCAGGGCGGGCGCTTACCAGGGGCAGGTGCAGGGCAGGACCGCAGGTGGCGGTTAGGTCAGGGCCGCGACTGGGGCGGCTGTAGGGCAGGGCCGCGACGAGGCGGCGGCAGAGGAGGGCCGCGACGGGGCGGCAGCAGGGCAGGGCCGCGACAAGGCGGCTGCAGGGCAGAGCCGCAACGGGGCGGCGGTAGAGCAGGGCCGCGACGAGCGGCTGAGGGCAGGGCCGCGACGGGTGGCAGCAGGGCAGGGCCGCGACTGGCGGCTAGGTCAGGTCGCGATGGGCGGCGACAGGGCAGGGCCGCGACGGTCGGCTAGGTCAGGGCCGCGACGGGCGGCAGTAGGGCAGGGCGCGCGACGGCGCAGGTGAGGCAGGCGCGAGGCGCGCTTCGGGCAGGGCAGGAAAAAAAAGGTTATCGTGGTGGGCCCTAAAAAAAACGTTCCCACTAGGGAACCTGCTCTGAAACCATGTCAGAAATGTGAAGGAATGAATGACTAGAAAGAGAGCAGTACAAGGTTTGTATAGGCAAAACTTAATTTGGGCTGTACCCCATGAGGAGTGCCCCACTACAGCCTAGAGCATATATGCATAGTTCTGACACACTGCGCGTGTAAAGAGCCTCCCTTCACTGCGCGTGTAAAGAGCCTCCCTTCACTGCGCGTGTAAAGAGCCTCCTTTCACTGCGCGTGTAAAGAGCCACTCCCTCCCTCCGTAGGTCGCTCCCCTTCCCCTCCCGACAAGCCCCCCTAGCAAGCCCCTCCCAGCAAGCCCCTCCCAGCATTTCCTCCCGAGCATTCCCTTCCATGCAAGAGCCTCACATCAAGTCGCGTTGCTTGTCATCTGAGCTCCTCCCATCCCCTTTCCCACCCGCTCTCTCTTCCCCACTCTGCTCTCTACTCCCTATCCCCCCTCTGCTCTCCCGCGCGACTCTCTTGCAAGCTAGCTTCAGTGTGACCATCGCCCCATTCGTTGCCCACCAAACAGGTCCGAGTCTCAACCAAATCCTCCAACCAAACATAACCCAAGCAATCATTCCAGTCACCGCCCCATATCCCCCTTCCCCTCTCCCAATTCCCCCCCTCTCGCCCCCCTGCTCAATCTCCCTCTCGCCCAACCGCTCCTTATCCCACTCCACCGTGTGTTCCCTCACGCGCCCTGCCCTTGCAGGCTTTATTCACAGTGCCAGCCGCTATGCTCCTGCCCTTCACTCTCTGCATCCCTTTTGTACTGGCCCTGTCTGCCAAATGAGTGTGTTGCAGAATTCGAGTAGGTAGCTTGCATACCAAGATTGAGTGGGGACCTCACATCGTGATTTCGAGCGTCAGACTGCTTATGTGTTAATATGGTAGCTGAAGCATGTCACAATGGATGAAGCATGTCACAATGGATGAAGCATGTCACAATGGATGAAGCATGTCACAATAGATGAAGCTGTCAGACTTATATGCTATAGTCTGTGTAGGCTGTAGTGGGGTAGACAATATGGGGTACAACACTTTTAGGTTTTCCTACTTGTACCCACCTGTTTCCTAGTGCATTCATTCCTTGTTCTTATTTTCACATGGTATTAGAGCAGAATCGTTCTTAGGGCCCACCGAACGTTCCGCCCTGCCCTAACTGAAATATTTTTTTTTTGCTGCCCCTGCAGCCGCGCTGCCCTTGCAGCCGGCGTGCTCCCCCTGCGACTGTGCTGCCCCTGCAGCCGTGCCCGCCCGTGCAGCCGTGCCTGCCCCTGCAGCCCGTGGGAGCTGCCTCTGCATCAGTGCCTGCCCCTGCAGCCCGTGGGTGCTGCCCCTGCAGCCAGCGCGCTGCCCTGCCGAGCCGCGTGTCGCCCGTGGGCGCTGCCTCTGCCCTGCCGAGCCGCGTGACGCCCGTGGGCGCTGCCTCTGCGACCCTCGTATCGCCCCCCCGCTGCCCCGTCGCACTGCCCTGGTAAGCCGCGCGCGACCCCCCGCTGCCACGTCGAGTCGCCCTGGGGAGCCGCGCTCGGCCCCCCGCTGCCCCGTCGCGACGCCCTGGGGAGCCGCGCTCGGCCCCCGCTGCCCCGTCGCGACGCCCTGGGGAGCCGCGCTCGGCCCCCGCTGCCCCGTCGCGACGCCCTGAGGAGCCGCGCGCGACCCCCCGCTGCCCCGTCGCGACGCCCTGCGGAGCCGCGCGCGCCCCCCCCCCCCCCCCCCCGCTGCTCCGTCGCGGCGCCCTGGGTAACCGCGCTCCGTCCCCCTCGCTGCAGCACGCGAGCCGCCTCTGCAGCGCCGAGTGCGACCTGCCAAACCCTAAAATGAATAATTAGTTTAAAAAAAAAAAAAGGAGCCCTAGCTGCTGCTGCCCTAGGTGCTACTGCTGCTACTGCTGCTACTGGCGGCCGCCCCTGCCCCGCCCTGCAGCAGCTGACGTCGCGGCCCTGCCCCGCCCTGCAGCAGCTGCCGTTGGGGCCCCTGCCCCGCCTTGCAGCAGCTGACGTCGCGGCTCTGCCCCGCCCTGCAGTAGCTGCCGTTGGGGCCCCTGCCCCGCCCTGCAGCAGCTGACGTTGCGGCCCTGCCCCGCCCTGCAGCAGCTGCCGTCGCGGCCCGGCCCCGCCCTGCAGCAGCTGCCGCAGAGCTCCCTGCCGCGGTCGCGGCCCCGCCCTTCAGCAGCTACCGCGGAGCCCTCGCCCTGCAGTGGTAGCGGCCTCGCCGTTGCCGCCGTCGTACGCCTGCCCTTCTCGCCACTGGTGAGCACTGCCCTGCCCGTACTGCTGTTACTGCTGCTCCTGCTGCTACTGCTTTTTCTACTGCTACTACTGCTACTACTGCTACTGCTGCTACTGCGGCTACTACTGCTACTACTACTACTGCTGCTACTGCTGCTACTGCGGCTACTACTGCTACTGCTGCTCCTGGCGGTGGCCAGATGCAGCTCCAGCGACGTCCGCGTGAGTCCCTCACGCCCCAGCAGCTTCGTGAGTGGTACGCTAGTTGGGGTTGTCGGGGTGGCCGTAGTGGGAGTCGTCCTGGAGTGAGTAGTTCGGGAGCTTCTTGTAGTGGCCAGGTGCAGCTGCAGCGTCGTCCGCTCGCGGTCCTTTCGCCCCAGCAGCTTCGTGAGTGGTACGCTCAGCGTGGAGGGTCACGGGGTACTGCTCGCTGCCCGTACGTGATTCGCACTGGTGCTCGGACTGGTCAGCCTTGCAGGACGTTTGGTCATACAGAGTCCCCCTGCTTTGCTCGTCTGAGCGACGCCTGGCGTACTGCGTTTGGCGACGCGGCTGAGCTCCCCGACTGGGTGGAGCTGCTTAGGCAGAGGGTAGATATCTATGCTCTTGACTCTGATGCTATCCTCACTGCCATGTATGCATTGCCTACTAGTGCTGAGGGTGCCTGTTACCTGTGTGTGCCGCCTGACCCCGGTATCCAGTCTGCTGCTCTAGGTGCTGGTGAGGCTGCTGCTCTAGGTGCTGGTGCGTCTCCTGCTCCAGGTGCCGGTGAGGCTGCTGCTCTAGGTGCTCGTGAGTCTACTGCTCCAGGTACTGGTGAGTCTGCCCTCTCTGGTGCTGCGCCTGCTGCGATCTTTTACACCTTCACCCTTGACTCGGGAGCTTCTCGCTCCTTCTTTCGAGACCGCACCACACTCACGCCGCTTAGTCGGCCGGTTGCAGTCTCCCTGGCAGACCCCTCTGGGGGTCCTGTCCTTGCCCACTACTCCACTGTCCTACCGTGTCCGGCGGCCCCTTCTGGCTCCCTGTTAGGTCTTTACCTCCCCTCGTTCTCTACGAACTTGGTGAGTGGTGCTGACCTACAGGATGGGGGGGTTGACCAGTTCACTCCTGCGAGTCAGCGAGTGACCCACTGCACGTGTGCTCGGACGGGCCGACACTTGGCCACGTTTACCCGTCAGCCGGGGTCGAGCCTGTACACACTCACTACCGAGTCTCCTTCGGTTCCTGCGTCTAGTCAGGTAGCTGCGTCGAGTCAGGTGTTTGCTGCAGCGTCCAGGTCTGGTCTTGAGTCTGCCCCCTGCTCGTGTCGTCTCCTGTCTCACCAGACTCTCCTCTGGCACCACCGCCTTGGTCACCCCTCCCTGCCTCGTCTCCGGGGCATGGCCTCCCGTGTCCTTGTCTCTAGTCTGCCCCGGTCCCTCCCTCCCCTTCCCCCGGGGCCTGCCCCTACCTGCGTTCCCTGCGTCGAGGGGCGGCAGCGCGCCGCTCCTCACTCCTCCGAGTTTCCTCCGACAGAGGCTCCGCTGCAGACTCTCCACATGGACGTGTGGGGCCCAGCCCGCGTCCGTGGACAGGGTCACGAGCGTTACTTCCTTCTGGTGGTTGACGACTACTCGCGTTACACCTCAGTCTTCCCCTTGCGCCGCAAGGGTGAGGTCACTGAGGTGTTGATCGACTGGATCCGCGCTGCCCGTCTCCAGCTCAGAGAGAGTTTCGGCTCGGACTTTCCTGTTCTGCGTCTGCACTCTGACAAAGGTGGAGAGTTTTCCTCCGACCTTCTGCGAGCCTTCTGTCGTGCAGAGGGCATCCGCCAGACGTTCACGCTTCCGGCCTCTCCACAGCAAAATGGGATTGCTGAGCGCCGCAATGGCATGATCATGGACGTCGCTCGTACGTCCATGATCCATGCGGCTGCTCCCCATTTTCTGTGGCCGTTCGCGGTTCAGTACGCGGCGCATCAGATCAACCTTCAGCCCCGGGTCTCGATGCCGGAGACCTCCCCCACTCTGCGGTGGACGGGGAAGGTTGGCGATGCATCTGCGTTCCGTGTCTGGGGATCTCGAGCTTTCGTCCGCCACTTGTCTGCGGACAAGCTGTCCTCCCGTGCTGTTCCCTGCGTCTTCCTTGGCTTCCCCCCTGACGCGCCTGGCTGGCAGTTTTACCACCACACCTCGCGCCGTGTTCTGTCCTCCCAGGACGTCACGTTTGACGAGTCGGTGCCGTACTACCGTCTCTTCCCCTACCGCGCTGCCCCCCTCCCCCCCCCCGCCGCTCTTCCTCGTGCCAGGTCCCCCCCTGGTAGACCCCCTTCCCCCTCAGGGTCCTGCCCCCTCAGGTGTGTCTCAGGTAGACGCAATCGAGCCTGTCGAGGTAGCTGTTGACTCTGGTGCTGCTCGGGGTGCTGCGCCTGCGGGTGCCGAGTCTGGGGGTGCTGAGCATGAGCGTGCGGAGCCTGGGGGTGCTGGGACTGGGGGTGCTGAGCCTGGGGTTGCTGAGTCTGGGGGTGCGGAGCCTGGGGGTGCGGAGCCTGGAGGTCCTTCGGGTGCTTCGCCTCGGCGGGAGCTACCCTCTCCACAGGAGTTGCGCGAGTGGTTTGCTCGGCGTTGGAGTCGTGCTGCTGGAGCTGGTGTTACTGCTGGTGCTGGAGGTTCTACTGCTGCTGGGGGTCCGGAGGTGCTCGTACTGGAGGTACTGGAGCTGCTGGGCCTGGTGGTTCTACTGGTGCTGGACCTGCTGGAGGAGCTGGAGCTGGGGGTGCTGCTGGAGTAGGTGCTGCTGGGGGTACAGGAGCCGATGCTGCTCCGTCTTCTGGTGGTCCTTTTGGCGCTGGAGCTGTTGGAGGTTCTGGAGCTGGAGGTGCTGCTGGAGCTGGAGCTGGAGGTTCTGGAGCTGGAGGTGCTACTGGAGCCGGTGCTCCTGGAGCTGCTGGAGTTGGCGGTGCTGGTGCTGCTGGAGGTGCTACTGGAGCTGGTGGCGCTGCTGGAGTCGGAGCTGACGCTGGGGGTGCTGGTGCTGTCCCTGCTGGTTCTGGAGGTGCTGCGCGGCCTCGGCCGTACTTCGTTCCCCTCCTAGAGCAGGTTCTTGGCCTTCCGCCTTCTTCTGGTCCTTCTCCTGCCTTAGAGTGTCCACCATCCGTCCCGTCCGTGTCACAGTTACAGCTGGCCTGTCCACTGCCTGCCCCTTCTCCCTACACTGGTCCTACTGGAGGTCTTGCTGAGCGTCGTGCGCCTGCGTTTCGCCCTGCGTCGCCTGTTCGTGCTGTTCGCGCTAGTCGTCGTGTTCCGCGTCAGCGTCCTCCTGCGGTCCCGGGCACGCATCAGATGGCACTGCGTCCTTCCACTGCTCCGCAGCGTGTCCCTTTGCCGTCTCCTCCAGAGTCCTCTCTTCCTGCTCTTGCTGACCCGGGGTCTGACTCTCTTCGTGCTGCCAGTCCTACTGTCACGCGTCTCCTGGCTACTGTTGTCACTGACCCTTCCTTTGAGTCCACTGCTGCGTCTGCCTTAGTTGCTGAGCTTGTCGACTTCGCTGCTCACTGTCGTCTAGACTACGCCGCGAGTCTTGTTGCTGAGTCTGAGTCTGTCTGTCCTCCGTCCGTCGGGGGGTGAGTGTGCTCTTAGCACGGACGTCCTTGAGGACAGGCAGGAGGAGTTCCAGTGTTTTGCTGCTGCTTTGCCTCATCTCGTGTCCATGCTGATTGCCCCTGAGGGAGACCCGGATGCACCAGACATCCCGACTCCTCGATCGTACGCTGAGGCGATCGAGGGTCCCTACTCCTCTCAGTGGCAGTCAGCCATGGACGCAGAGATGGCTTCCTGGAAGTCCACAAGCACCTACGTCGACGAGGTTCCCCCACCTGGGGCGAACATCGTCAGTGGCATGTGGATTTTCAGGGTGAAGCGGCCGCCGGGTTCTCCGCCTGTCTTCAAGGCGCGTTACGTGGCTCGAGGCTTCAGTCAGCGGCAGGGAGTTGACTACTTTCAGACCTTCTCTCCCACCCCGAAGATGACCACTCTTCGGGTGCTGCTGCACATAGCCGCTCAGCGTGACTACGAGCTTCACTCTCTTGACTTCAGCACAGCTTTCTTGCAGGGCAGCCTGCACGAGGAGATCTGGCTGCGCCGTCCACCTGGCTTCATTGGGTCGTTTCCTCCTGGTACCTAGTGGAGCCTCCGGCGGCCAGTCTACGGTCTCCGCCAGGCGCCCCGTGAGTGGCACGACACACTGAGGACTACACTTGCGGCTCTTGGGTTTGCTCCTTCTACTGCCGACCCGTCGCTGTTTCTGCGCACCGACACCTCTTTGCCGCCGCTCTACATCCTCGTGTACGTCGACGACTTGGTCTTTGCCACAGCTGACACTGCTGGACTCGCCCACGTGAAGTTCGAGCTGCAGAAGAGACACACGTGCACAGACCTGGGTGAACTGCGCAGCTACCTTGGCTTGCAGATCACCCGGGACAGAGCACAGCGCACCATTACCCTGACTCAGTCACACATGGTGCAGCAGGTCCTTCAACGCTTCGACTTTACGTACTCCTCGCCTCAGGCCACTCCTCTGTCTACTCGCCACTCGCTCTCAGCTCTGCCTTCGGATGAGTCCGTAGAGCCGAGTGGCCCGTACCCAGAGCTTGTTGGCTGCCTCATGTACCTGATGACCTGCGCACGACCTGACCTTGCATACCCTCTTAGCATCCTGGCACGCTATGTTGCTCCTGGGAGACACCGACCAGAGCACATGGCTGCAGCGAAGAGGGTGTTGCGCTACTTGTGCAGTATGTCGGGCATGGGGCTAGTGCTTGGAGGGCGGCGTTCAGTGGTCCTCACAGGTCACGCAGACGCTTCTTGGGCTGACGACCAGGCTACGCAGCGGTCGTCACAGGGTTACACCTTCAGCCTTGGTTCTGGATCTGTTTCGTGGCGGTCTACCCGCTCGTCTTCTGTTCTCGGCTCCAGCTGTGAGGCTGAGATCTACGCGGGGGCCATGGCTGCACAGGAGCTACGCTGGCTCACCTACCTGCTGACTGACCTAGGAGAGCCGCCTCGTTCTCCTCCAGTTCTGTACGTAGACAACAAGGCCATGTTGGCCTTGTGTCGGGAGCACAGACTGGAGCACAGAACGAAGCACATTGCTCTTCGCTACTTCCTTGCTCGTGAGCTACAGCAGCGTGGTCAGCTGCGCCTTGCTTACGTGGCCTCTCAGGCCAACACTGCTGATATCTTTACCAAGGCACTTCAGCCTTGTGATCATCAGTGCTTTTGTACGATGCTAGGTCTTGTGCCTACTTGGCCTCACTTGCTTACTTCTTGACCTTGCTTGTACTGTGTTCTATGTATACCTGCACTTGCTTGTTTACCTTTATATATATGATCCTGCATGTGAACTGGCCTTGTGGCCTTGAACCTGTGCTCGGAATGTGTGGTGACGTTGTGATCCACCCTGAGCTTGCTTTGCTTTGCTTGACTGGTCTTGTGACCCCTTGTTCTCCCCCACTTTGCCTATGGGGGTGTGTCAGACTTATATGCTATAGTCTGTGTAGGCTGTAGTGGGGTAGACAATATGGGGTACAACACTTTTAGGTTTTCCTACTTGTACCCACCTGTTTCCTAGTGCATTTATTCCTTGTTCTTATTTTCACAGAAGCATGTCACAATGGGTGAAGCATGTCACAATGGATGAAGCATGTCACAATGGGTGAAGCATGTCACAATGGATGAAGCATGTCACAATGGGTGAAGCATGTCACAATGGCTTCTCACATCGCACTTATCACCACGTGGCGCGCATGCAAGCTCCACATCAACACCAAAGCATCCAATCCTTATCATGCACATGCTCCCAGCTTTTCACGTCTCATGCACACTCCCTCCTCTCTGCTTCCCTCGTCTTGCTGCTCCCTGCCCCACCCCACATGTGTCAGCTTAGCCATTGGATGGATGAGAGGCGCAACTCACACAGAGACCATTGTCATGTCACCTGATTTTTTCACCGTCACCATCTCATCCCTCGGCGCGGACAAGCATAGGCAGGGCAGCACGCCATGGGTGCGAGCCATCATGGTGCAGGACTTGGACTCCCCACAGCCGCTGCCACCCCCCCCAGTGCATAGCATCGTTGCTAGCGGTCCCTTCCCTCCTCCTGCCCCCGCCATGCACAGTTCAGATGCTGCTGCGAGCCCAAGGGTGCCGGCAGGGTTTCAGCCAGAGCTGGTGTGTGCGATTGTTGACGCGCAACAGGAGTACCATTTTGGCAAGCTCCTGAATAACGCAGAGAAGTACTGGGTGGTGGGCAAGCTGTCGCACCACTTGCATACAATGCGCATGCACCCAGCGCAACACTGGGTGTGATGTATGGCAGCACTGTATGCTATGGAGCTAAAAACAGAGCAGCAATTTTAACTACTGGGTACCTTTTGCTTTGCGAAACAGAGAACAGCTTATCTCTGTTTGCTCTCGTGCAGCACACTCGCAGCGCATCCTGAGTGGTGTGCGGTGTGTTGTGCAGGGGTCTGCTGCCTACCTGACCCAGCAAGCCCTCTGTGCCTGGGAATGATTTTCACCTTAACCTAGGACATCGGTCCATGATGTCTTACAGAGTAAATAATCCATGTAATAATTTGTATGACATGTACGTTATTTGGCCGCTGTACGTGTTTGCTACTTCGGTGGCGAACCTAGCACGTGTAAATCAGAGATGCTATGTGATAGGTTCATAAACTGTAAGATTAAGTGTATTAATATGCTCGCAAGCTGTTATAGGAGACGGGGTAAGGCTACAACTCGCCATGCGGAGTACGTCGTGAGAGTCGAGGAAATTCGACGGATGAGATTTCTCTTGGTTTGATAAGGTCGTCGATGCGGCACGAAAGCACACGCAGAAACGTGCGAGCAAAGCTCCTCTTGGGGTCGCCTCGGATCACACGGACGGAACACCCATGCCCAAGTGCACAGAGGTTCACAAGCGAAACGGAGACATTTCCACACTGCACTGTTGTAGGTCATGTGACTGTCCACTACAGCTAGTAGAAACACATTCCACTCCACCACCACACATTCCCTTTCGAGTCCTTTCCCTTTCCCGTATCTTTTCCGTAACCTTTCCTTCTAGTTCCAGTCCTTGCCGTGCTGAGCGCGTTACCAGCGAGTGCTTGTTGGAAGCCTTGCAGCTGTCGATGTAGGAGGTATTAGTTGCGAGCCGCCATGTTTCGCAACGGAAGCTTAGGCCTACCAGGATTCGGTGGAGATGACGAGGAATACAACAGTTTAAAGCAGAAACTCGCGTCTCCGTCCAAAAAAAGGTATATCAGGACAGCATTCTACATTGACGATGCCAATCTCTTCATGGCAATTTTTTTAGATGTCCCAGCTTTACCTCACATAAAGTTCCTGGTTGATGTTATGCCGAAGCGCCAGTTAATGCCAATCCATAGTTCAGGAGGGCCTATCTAGTGAACCTTAGGCTGGAAGAGCGAAGTCCTCCCTGTTTATCTCCGCGCTTATAGCTAACTCAACACGCCAACACTGCGCAAGTCGGAGTGCACGTTTAACCCAACTCCCTCCTTCCGTTCTTCCCAACTCCCTCGCATCCGCGCAGCGTGCGGTTACCACCGTCGTCGTCAGGGTCCGCTGCTTCGTCCGCGTCGAACCGGGATGTGCCAGCAGCGGGTGCGGCGGCGAGTGTGACGAAGGCAGACGTGAAGAAAACGGATGTTCCTCTGGAAAGTGCACGTACCGCAGCCAATGTGTCACCTGCCGTAATCACAGCTCCTATTGTCCGCCCTGATATTTTCAGCGACGCTGCTGCAACTCCCAGCGCCACCGCTGCTGCTCCAGACCCTTCGCCCGACGCCAGTAGTGCGACAGGGAGCATTTCTAGAAAGGCTAGTAACGAGTCTCGCACTAACGAATCTGTCCAGGCTGGAAGCAGCGGGGCAGACGAGACGGGGAGTAAGAAGGGGAGCCTACATGCGCGGCAAGCAGGCACGTCTAAGAGGGTTGCCTTTGCTCTTCCCTCCTTAGAAACAGGCGAGCCAGCGAAGGGATTCACTAAGGCAGTTGGCGGGGCTGCTGATGGCGATGGCGGTGATAAGCGTGAGGCCGGGACTTCTCCACTGCCGGCCATCGGATCCCGACCATCCGAATCTCAACCGTCCGATGCGTCTTCGCTGTCCACTTCGCCACCAGCTGAGAACCCCATAGAGACAGCTCTCGCCGTGGCTTCTGATTGGCTGAGACGGCAGGGAATAGGAGTGCGCGCAGTGGCTGCTATCGACCATGCGATTCACAAGTGAGTCAAGGGGGGAGGGAGGGGGGGAGAGAGGGAGCGGGGGAGGGAGCGGGGGTGGGAACGGGGGATGGAGCGGGAGAGGGAGGGGGGGGAAGAGTGAGCGGGGGAGGGAGCGGAGGAGGGAGCGGGGTAGCGTACGCTGTATGCCCCCGTGATTTTGAAGTACCGGCTGTATGCCTCCCCATGGAAGGCAAGGACGGTACGAGTGTAGAGAATAATACAGCTGGTTGTTCATACGAATACGCTGTACGCTCCTCCTGTTTCACTCCCTGCTTCTACATTCGTACCTTCCCGACCCCCCGTTTCAGCATGGGGCCAGCAGCACAGGGGGCGGCGCAGGCCGGGCGGCAGCTGTGGGCGGCGCATGGGCGGCAGGCGGTGGGGGAGGTGGTGAAGTGGCCGATGCTGGCACATGTGTGCATCGGCGTGGGTCTCACGTTCCTCCTCTGCCAGACGGGCTTCCTTCTCTCCCTGCTGCTGCTGCCATGGGCTGTGCTCTACTTCTGGCTGGTACGCCGCTGCTGCTGCTAGATATTTTTTAGAATTTAGAAAATTGCTTTTCCGTCACCCTTTTTTTTTCTCTCACTGATGCTGTCGCGGCCGCGTCACCACAAGCTCCGGAAAGTGACCATCCCCTCCGTTTCCACCCCAACCGCCCTTGCCGTTCCTGCCCCCTCCTCCCCTTCCCTCCACCCGTGCATGCAGCTGTGGACGCACCATTACGAGCGCCTGAAAGTGGCAGTCAGAGCAGCCGTGCGCATCGAGCAGCTCATGTCGCGGGTGAGACACCTGCAGCAGAGCTGAATAGCACTTAAAGGCGTTTTTCGTGTACTGTGTCTGTGGTGATGAGCGGTGAAACAAGCCTTTCAGTTGTTAGACGTAGAAGCATGAAAAACATGCTCACTGCTGCTGGGCAAGGCCTGGCCCCCCTTCCTCAACCACCACTTTCTCACTCCCACTCTACTCCCCGCTCCCCGTTCCTCTGCTTCCTACACACAACACAGGCCATGCCCTAGGCTGAAACGGCCTTCTGGGCGTCGGTGCTGCTGTCCAAGGCGTGGCCGCTCTTCCTCAACGCCTCTCACACCCCCCACTCCTGCCTCCCCCCCTTCCTTGTTACATTGCAGGCCATGCCCGAGGCAGAGACAGCCTTCTGGGCGTCGGTGCTGCTGTCCAAGGCGTGGCCGCTCTTCCTCAACGACCTCGTCTCCACCAAGCTCATGCCCAAAGTCGCTCCCTGGTTCCTCTCCCGATACAAGCCGCCCATGCTCGTACGTCCATCCGCCTCTACCTTCCCACCCGATGCCGGATGCTTTCCCATGCTGCTCCATTCCTCCATGTCCGTCTGTTACTGTCGGACGTACAGCAACTATCAGTGCCTGTCAGTGACTCACTGTCTGTCCTTCAAGTCCGAATTCCTTAGGCATACGGGATGGAAATGCCTGTGCCTGCCACATGCCACTTGTGTGCCTGACGCGTGCATGCGTGTCCCCCTCTACCATGATAGGCGAAGGTGGAGGTGGTGAAGGCGAATTTCGGTGACACAGCGCCCGTCATCACATCCATCAAGGCGTTCCGGGAGGGAGGAGGGCGCAACCATGTGGTGCGTGAGAGAGTGAGAGTGAGGGAGTGAGTGAGTGGGTAAGTGAGTGAGTGTGTGAGTTAGAGAGTGAGTGAGGGAGTCAGTGGGTGGTGCTGGCAGCATGTGGTGAGTATTTGCTTCCTCCCTCCTGCTTTCTCTCTCCCTCCTTGCCCATCCCTGCCTATTACCTTCCTCTTTAGGAGCAGGTGATAACCGCCACACTACGTGCTCCGTACCCTCCTCTCTATCACTGTGCAAGCCAGCACCGTCACTTCCTTGTTGCCTCACCTCTTCAACTCTCTTGCTCCTTTCATCACACCCGGTTGCCTCATCTCCCTTGCCGGGAGCTGGAGTGTGCGGTGCTGCATACACCACCATTCCACACTCCCCTCGCCTCACCCCTTCCCCCTCAATTCTCCGCACCTCACCCTGTCCATCACCAGGAGCTGGAGGCGAGTGTGGAGCTGGTGGGGGCGGACAACTTGAGTGTGCAGGCCACGGCCTATGTGGCGGGCATGGCCAGCATCCCCTGGACCGCCTACATCACCGGGCTGCAGCTCACCGGCACGGTACGGCACGGTGGGGGTTTGGCTTGGTGATGGGTGCTTGGCATGCACTGCCTATATCACCAGGCTGCAGCTCACCGGCATGGAGCGAGGAGGGCTGGGTGGAGTGGCAAGTGGTGATGGGAAGGGAGGGGGGTTCGGAGTGCAAGCATGGCCAGCATCCCCTGGACCGCGTACATCACCGGGCTGCAACTCACTGGCACGGTGGGGGTTTGGCTTGGTGATGGGTGCTACTGCCGTGGACCGCGTACATTACCAGGCTGCAACTCACCGGCACGGTGCGAGAGCGGCTAGGCATGGCATTGTGGGGATAGACATATTCTGGTTTAGGGGTGAAAGCATGGCTACCATCCCGTGGATTGCATCACATCTCAGGGCTGCAGCTCACCAGCACGGTAGGGCAGTGTGAAAAGGAAGGAGGGTTAAGTGAAGATGTGCTGTGCTGGATTCGAGTCCTTGACACACCACTCCTCTCTCACCCCCCCCCTCCTTCCCATCCCCATCCCTGCAGATGCGAGTGGGGCTGTGCTTCCGCTGCTCGCTGCCTTTTGTGGACTGGGTCAGGCTAAGCTTCATGGGACTCTGGGCATGCTGTAGAGGCATTGTGAACGCCCCTTTCCCTCCCCATCCTCTCTCCTCCCCTTCCCGCCCGCCCCATGGCCCGCCCTCCAGATGCGGGTGGGGCTGCGGTTCCGGCGCTCGCTGCCGTTTGTGGACCGTGTCACGCTGAGCTTCGTGAGGCCCCCCCAGGTGTCGTGTGCCATCAAGGTCATGGGCGCGCTGGACGCCGCCAGCATGCCGCTCGTGGCTTCCTACGTGGTGCGTGGGGTGGGGTGGGGTGGGATGGGATGGGGTGGGGTGGGGTGGGGTGGGGTGGGGTGGGGTGGGGTGGGGTGGGGTGGGGTGGGGTGGGGTGGGGTGGGGTGGGATGGGGTGGGGTGGGTGGGGTGACATGTCCCATGCTCATGCTCATGCTTTTTCTATGGTGGTGTTCGACAGGCAGGCAAGCCCTTCCGCAGAATCATCGCGGCTGTTTCCACTTCGGTTTTTTTTCCACGGTCAGCCCGCAATCTGGTGTCACTGGGCTTTAACGCCCTGGAACCTGAAGGGTTAAGGGTTAGCCTGTCGAACGTGACGTTAACCCTTCAAGTTCATCCCCCCCGAAAGCTCCCAGTCCCTTCTCTCCCGCACAGATTTTAGCCTAGCTCTAGCCCAGCCCTCCAATCCCCAGAATGGAGGTTGGCCAAGGGCTAGGCTAGGGTTCCATACGGGAGGGAATACCCACTCCATACCCTACGAAAGTTTTCCCACCAGTGCCCATGCTCTCGCCTCTCCCATCTCTGCCCTGAAAAAGTCCCTTCCTCCCACAACCAAACCAGCCACCAGCCACGCACGACTCTCACTTCTCCACTTCTCCAATCTTTTTTATTCCCTTGAGTTACCCAGGTTTCCCTATGCAAAATTTTAGACCCTGCCCACGATGAAGATGGTGGAAGGAGGGGTTGCAACATCGCCATGACGACCCCCTCCTTCCGACCTCGGGAGGCGCTGCTTCCGATTTCGTGGGTGGGGGGGTAGCCTAGGGGAAGTTACTTCGAAAACTCCTCTTAGCTCTAGCCTAACCCTAGCTCTCCAAGGAGGTGCCTGCCTGTCGAACAGGGCCTATATGTTTACTCCTGTTCCCCTCCCCATCCCCATTGTCCTCCCCATCCCCATTGCCCTTCCTGTCCCCATTTCTCTCCCCGTCCCCATCGCCCTCCCCATCCCATCGCCCTCCCCATCCCATCGTCCTTCCCATCCCCATTACACTCCCCATCCCATATCCCACGCGTGGCGCCCTGCAGGACTACACGCTTCAAAACGCGCTCAAGACGTCGCTCTGCTGGGTATGTGCCTCTGGCAACCCTCCTGCTGCCCATGGCTGTTGCTTCGGACCAACCGTGCCGTGCCATGTCACATACCCCCCCATGCCACCATCAGTAGTACCCTCATGCGATACCATACGTTTGCAAGCCTGACCCCTGTCATAGCGTAACGTTCATGCATGCCATATCCCATTGTGATGTCTTATGCAGCGCCATGCCATGCCACGTCATTCCTTTTAACTCCCATTGTCAGCCCATCCAGCTGGTGGACGCGGTGAGGACACTGCCTTGGTGCGGGACATACCTCGGTGTGTCGCCTCTTCACATCTGTTGCTCCCCCTTTTTCGCCCCAACCCATCACCCCACCCCATCCATCCACAGCCCAATCGGCTGGTGGTGGTGGATGCGGTGAGGGCAGCCGCCTTTGTGCTGGACCTGCCTCGGGGTGTGATCCCTTCTGATTCGTTTCTTCCCCCTTCCTTCCCACCTCTTCTAACTGCAGCCCAATCGGCTGGTGGTGGTGGATGCGGTGAGGGCAGCCGCCTTTGTGCTGGACCTGCCAGTGCCGCCCCCCACGCCCGAGGAGATCAGCATTGTCACTCCGCGGCCCGTCACCAAGAGCAAAAGTGAGTGGCGTGGGACAGAAGTACTGGGGTGTGCGTGGTGAGGGAGTGAGTGGGCGGTGTGCGTGGGTGAGGGAGTGAGTGGGGGGTGTGCGTGGTGAGGGAGTGAGTGGGGGGTGTGCGTGGGGAGTGAGTGGGGGGTGTGGGTGGGGAGTGAGTGGGGGGTGTGCGTGGGTGAGGGAGTGAGTGGGGGGTGTGCGTGGGTGAGGGAGTGAGTGGGGGGTGTGCGTGGGTGAGGGAGTGAGTGGGGGGTGTGCGTGGGTGAGGGAGTGAGTGGGGGGTGTGCGTGGGTGAGGGAGTGAGTGGGGGGTGTGCGTGGGTGAGGGAGTGAGTGGGGGGTGTGCGTGGTGAGGGAGTGAGTGGGGGGTGTGCGTGGTGAGGGAGTGAGTGGGGGGTGTGCGTGGTGAGGGAGTGAGTGGGGGGTGTGCGTGGTGAGGGAGTGAGTGGGGGGTGTGCCCTCATGCTTTTCAACTACCAGTGCCGCCCCCCACGGCTGAGGAGATCAGCATCGTCACCCCTCGGCCCGTCACCAAGGCGAAGAGTGAGTGATGCGGTGGCAAGGGGCCGGGTGAATAGTGAGGTTACAAAGAGGGTGATGGGGAAGGGTGGGTGTTGGCCGACAGAGAGAGTGGAGCTGACAGAGAGAGTGGAGCTGACAGAATGAATGGGGGTTGGGGGCACGAGAGCGGGAGGTGTGGGAGGTGCATGTAACTAAGGAGCAGGTATGGCGGTTTGTGACGTGCCATGGCGTCGCATGCACCTGTCACTGCCCTCGTTTCATACCTGAGGAAATCTGCATTTTCACTCCGCGCAAATGGTTGTCAAAGAAAGGAGGGAGTGATGTGCTGTGATTGGGGGGAGTGAGGGGGGTGCTCTCAAGGGAAAGATTGAGTACTTTGCTCCCTCCCGCCTCACCCACCTCCCACTCTCTCACTTCCCACTCTCAGCACCCTCTGGATCCCGTTCAGTTGCCTCCTCTGCTCTTCGCAATCCTTTTCTTCCCTCCACGCCAACCGCCTTCCCGCTCTCGCTCCTCTCCTCCCCTCTCTCCCCACCCACTTTGTGCATGCCCCCAGGTACCATCTCTGCTATCTCTAAAAAGTTCCTTTCCAAGAAAGGCCCCACTGCCGCCTTGCCAGCTGTCGCCACGCTATTGGTCGAAGTCATCGAGGCAAAGGATCTCCTGGCGGCAGATTCGGGCGGCACGTCTGACCCCTATGTGAAAGGGTCGATCGGCGCCGCCCGCTTCCAAACCGCGGTCATCTCGAAAAACCTTAACCCGCAGTGGAAGCAAAAGTTTGAGGTGCCCGTGGCGGACTGGTCGCTACCCGAAAGCTACACTCTGGTACTGCGCGTGAAAGACTACGATATGTTCTCAGCCAATGATGCGATCGGGCGGGCTCAGATGGACATTAGTGCGGTCAGGGGGGCTGGGAGGAAGGAAGAGTGGCTGTCACTAGTGGACGGTGGAAATGGAAAGATCAGAGTGGCTGTAGAGGTGAAGGAGGATGGGGGTGTTGGTCCCAGCGGCAGTGACTCCGATCCTGCTGGCCCTTCTGCTGTCGCTGCTGGTGGTAGTGCTGGTGGTGAGAGTGGTGGTGCAGCTGTGGGTGGAAGGGGAGTGGAGAGAGCAGCGTCAGACGCATCAACATCCACATTAGAGTCGTACACTCACGACTCGCAATCCGTGTCTCCTGCCCGCTCAGAGGATGCTGCTCGAGTTGCTGCGCCCACCACAGCCACAGGTACGCGACTTCCTTGGAGCTCTTCCCTTTACCATCCTCTTGCTGTAAAACAGCAAAACCTCCTCTCTTATCTTTTTTTCCTGCATCTCTACCTTTGCTTCTTTGCCCTCTAGCCGCGCCTGTCAAGCTGCACCTGCCAACACAGCATGCACGCCTCAAGGGGTTTAATGTGCCTCAAAACACGTCCCACGAGCCACAGCCTCATTTCCCTTCTTCCCTCTTCCCCCATCCACCTCCGCCCTCCCGCCCTACCCTCTCCCACAGTCGTTCCGCGTTCAGCTACCTCCGAGGTCCCCCCCTCCCCGTCTCTCACGCCCTCCTCCTCCTCATCCGCCAAGAGCAGCAGCAGTTGGTTCCGAGGCCTGTCCAGCACCAGCCGTGGCAGCCGCAACAGCCGCTCAGGCAGCAGCGCCACCTCGTCCCAGCCTACCTCCCTTGACGAAACCACCCCTGGGGCCACAACTCCCAAGGAAATCACTCCTGCACCAAAAACGCCCAAGGAGGGCACACCGCGGTCAGGCAGCCGGAGCTGGTCATTCAAGTCGGGCTCGCTCAGGCGCTTGGGGTCAGGGTCTGGTGCCAGCTTGAGTATTGCCGTGGCCACTGTCCATGTGGAGGTGATCGAGGCTGATTCCCTCGTTGCTGCCGATAAGATTGGTGAGTGTGTGGGCTGTTGTAGCGGGGACGATTGGGGTTCTGGTGAGGGCTTGAGGGCACTGTAGTGGTGGCTGTTCACGTGCAGGTGAACGATGCCGATGAGGCTGACTTCCTCGTTCCCGCCGATCAAACGGTTACGTTGTTGTGCCTTCTGGGTTGTAACTTGTAAGCTCGTACGTGTGGGGATCTTGGGTTGGATAAGAGTTTTGCAGTGGGGCAAGCATCACTGGGTTCCATCAGGTCTCGAGTTTAGGTGTTACACTTACTGGATCCTCTTGCTTACAGTTCACTCAACCTCGGGTTCTCTTCAAGAGTTTTTATTAAGCGCCATGTTCTGATATTCGTTTCCTCCACTTTATCAGTCCTTCCTCATCTTAGCCCTCATTCTTGCTCTTTGTCGGTGCTTCGGTTGGCTCATACCAAGCAGGCACATCCAATCCAACCCCATTCTGAAAGGCTTCGTAAAGTCCTCCGAATATTCCATGTCCACCTCCCGCGACTTCCTACCTCTTTTTCCTCTTCCCTGCCCCTTTTTCCTCTTCCCTGCCCCTTTTTCCTCTTCCCTGCCCCTTTTTCCTCTTCCCTGCCCCTTTTTCCTCTTCCCTGCCCCTTTTTCCTCTTCCCTGCCCCTTTTTCCTCTTCCCTGTCCCTTTTTCCTCTTCCCTGCCCCTCCTCTTCCCTGTCCCTTTTTCCTCTTCCCTGCCCCTTTTTCCTCTTCCCTGCCCCTTTTTCCTCTTCCCTTCCCCATTCCCCCTTCTCTCTGGCCCCCACACGTGTGCCATGCAGGTACATCTGATCCCTACCTGAAAGGCTCCCTGGGCTCTTCCAAATTCTCCACCAAAATCATATTCAAGACGCTCTGCCCGCGATGGAACGAAAAGTTTTCGCTGCCCGTGAAGGAATGGCCGCCTGCGGGCAGCCCGTTCCTCTTGAAGCTGAACATTTTCGACCGTGATATGCTGACTCAGCACGACCCGTTAGGGAACGCTGCCCTCGATATAATGCCGCTGAGGGATGGTGCGAGGCATGCCCTGTGGGTGAAACTAGAGAACGTGGCTACAGGGAGGGTGCATGTGGCTGTGACTGTAGAGGATCACATGGGGCAGGCAGAGACTGATGATGAAGAGAATGAGTCAGTGGAAGGAGGTGAGGAGGGTGGGGATGGGAAGGCGGGGGTTATCTCTGCCCCCACCAGTGCCGCCCAGTTAACACCTGCACCAGAATCACCTTCCCGGGTGTCGTCACGGTCGTCCAAGAAGCCAGCAGGCAAAGCACCTGCGCTCTCCAGCATTCCTTCGGGGCAGGAGCTCTCAGCCATGGCTGACGCTCCTGCTGCCTCTTCCTCTTCCTATGGGCCTTCCAGCCCCCCGGCTGCCAGCGACTCCCCTGTGGCAGGAAAGGGGGGAACGGGAGAGGCTGGGGAGGCAGGGGGGGGGGCAGAAGGAGGCTGGGAGTCTGATGCGCAGGGGCTGCAGGGAGTGGAGAAGGAGGTGCCGCAGGTGTGGGTGGCTCATGTGGAGATTATTGAAGCGACGGATCTGGTCGTTGCTGACATGACAGGTGAGAGATCGGGTAGAGCTTGTGCTCGTGCTTGTGCCTGCCATTCTGCTTCTCCGTTTTCTGCTTTTATTTCTTTTTTTTCTTCTTCTTCTTCTGGTACTGCTGCTGCGACATGGCTTGATGTGATTGTTTTGGAGTATCGTGACAAACACGTCTTCCATGAATCGTTTTTAACAGGTTATTCGGATCCGTACACAATCGGCAAGATCGGAGAAGCAACGTTTCAAACGAAGCATATCTCGCGAACGCTCAACCCTAAATGGTACGAGGAGTTTAAGGTCTCCGTACCCGTATGGGACCCTGACGTCACGTACCTTCAACTCGTCGTGAAAGATCGAGACACCTTCTCTTCTGATGAATCTATAGGCAAGGCGAATGTCAACTTGAACGTGTTACGGGATGGACAGCGCCACGCGCTGTGGTTACCGTTACAAGGAGTGAAGAGCGGCAAGGTGCATGTGGCGGTGACGTTGAAGGAGCAGAATGTGGAGTCTAATGTTGTGGTGCACGAGCTTATGCCTGGCTGTGTCATCGAGTGCTATGATGCAATCAAGCTGGTGCTCTAACATACTATTGTGAGTGCTTTAGCTACTTACTGTAGCTTGGGCTAGTGCAGGATTCCTAGAACGGAATGTGAGCAAGACTCTGTGCATAACACGAGTTGAGAGGATTGACACTTCTAGTGCACTTCCTGGGTAAAGGACCCTGGACGTGTTCCACATGTGTCATATAATATGTAGCGTTTTGCAGAACGTGAGATTATCGTGAGTGTGAGTAAACGTAGTTAGGAAACGGCGTGAAGAGCACCTTGTTGAACTTTTGTCGTTCATCTTTTTCGTGCGTCGCTATGGTCAAATAGGTCGTTGCATGCCAGCGAGGCACCGCCAGCAAGTCAGCGAAAGGCAACCTTGCCTCGCTGGGCCATCGAGGCTCAACCACCACGTGGAGAGACTGGCAATGACAGCGAATCAAGCCCAACAACTCACGACTGGACTGGAATGCACCGCACTGAAATCTTCTGCGTCACCTGATATGCTGCACATTAACCAACTGCACCGTAGCTAAACGAACCAACACCAGAGTCGGGTATTCCACCCACTCCACAATGTGCAGCTGTGCTGACCCAAGGAGAGCTCCCCACCCCACCCCAACATGCGCTGGTCATTCAAATCCCCCGTGCTATCTCTGTTGCTCTGAACATCAGTGATCATTTCCAATTCACTTAGCACTTACTGCTTTATCACTTTGCAGCACTTCAAATCAAACACCTCTTACTTTTACCGCTCGCATCGGAAAACCTATTTTCGCACCAGCGCCACCTAGCTGCAGCATTGCCCGACCACGACGATGGGTAACTCAACATGCGACGCGCAGCTTGATGAAAAGGCGCAAGCAACGGCGGCTGCAATGTCCGAGGGAACCGCCAAGTCCGAACCCGCGCATCCGCCTCCGCCTGTCTCTCACCCCCCGGCTCCGCCTCCCCCCGCAATGGGAATTCCCGCTGTAGGAGTTCCCGCGACTTCGTGGCCTCCTCGATACTGCAAGCCCGAATCGAGCCGCGTGGTACGCCCGTCGACTGCTCTTTTTCGCTTTCTCGATTTCAATAGATAGCATCAGTAGATGTAACCGTGTAGCGCGATGCGTCATCCCTTATTCAACACGTCACCACGCCCCGCCGAAGAATCCCACCGCGGAGTCCGCACCTCATCCGCTGCGATTCTGCGATTCTTCTTGTGCCCATGGCAATGCACATTTCAGGAAATGGCGAGGAGGGAGGGCGCGCTGCACGTCCGCATACCCGCGCCGGGCTTCTTCCAACGCGGCGCCGTCGGCTGGATCATGTGCCTCCTCGCGCCTCTTTTCGTGAGCACCTCCTTCAACCCTCACCCATCGGACCGCCCTTATCCCGCGTCCTTCGGTGCCGGTGCAAGCGCATTTCGGTGATGCCCTACTCCTCCAAACGAGACGTTTCCTTCCCACTCGTTCAGTGACCTTTCGCGTCTCAACCTCCGTCACCTTTCCCCTCCCCAAACCCTACGGCCTTCGCCCCCTCCCCCCATTCCCAACGGCGCGTGGCAGTTGATACTGGCAGTGGCGGCGTCATTCTTCTTCATCGGCACCTTCTGGCTCCTCCTCGGCATCGCCATGTGAGCGCGCCCTACCGCATCACCATCACCATCTACATTGCACCGCCCCATCCCTCCTGCAGCGCCCCTCATAATCGATCCCACTCGCATCAACATTTCGCTTTGCATTCCTTCCATTCCATGATTGCTTCTTCTGTCAATGCCTCTTCTATCTGCTTCCCGCCCATCTCACATGCTGCACCCCCCATTCGTTCCAACCCTCTCAGATCCACCATCTCGTGGGTGGGCGTGGCGACGCGCAGGGAGAGCGTCACGTTGGGCCCCGACGCCTTCTCCATCGTGCACACGCGCTACGGCGTGTCCAAGAAGCGCGAGGACAGCACGCACCTCATCCACTCCATCCTCGTCGTCGATCGCAACGCTCCGCGCCCGCAATCCACAACGGCTCCCGGCATTCCCGTCCCGGGTCCTACTCCCCCCACTGCAGCCGCTCCTGCTGCCGCCAGTGGAAGCGCACCCACTGCCCGGCGTGGTCCCGCCGCAGCTGCTGCCGCCACCGCTAATGCCCGCGCGCGGGAGACACCAGCAGAGCCTCCGGAGCTTGTGTGTGTGTTTGCGCTGCCGGGCACAGTGCATAGGTTCGGCGCGAACCTGAGTGATGCGGAGAAGTACTGGGTGGTGGGTGAACTGGCGTATTACTTGCAGAGCGTGCGCTTGCACCCGGCACAGCAGAATGTATGATGGATAGCATGTAATGTAAGCTGGCAGTACAGCAGGAATCTCGGTTTAAAACCAGGGTGCACATTCAATTGGATTTCTGTCAAAGGTTAAAACCAGGGTGCACATTCAACGCGGTTCGGCTTGAGATGTTGGGAAGGGGGTTTGGAGAAAAACAGTGATTGGCTCACGAGGGGCGACAAAAAAATGATTCCGCTAGAGCTTCGGGCATTTCGTAGGTGGCGGGAGGGGGTGAAATGGCGGGAGTGGGTGAAACCGAATGGCGGGAGGGATGAAACAGATTGGCGGGAGGGGGGGGAAACGAAATTGCGGGGGAGGGGGGAAACAAAATTGCGGGGGAGGGGGGAAACGAATTTCGACGGGGAGGGGGAAATGAAATTGCGGGGGCGTGGGGAAACGAAATTGCGGGGGAGGGGGGAAACGAATTTCGACTTGAAGGGGTTGAAAGCACACCTCGTAACCCACTCAGTCAAGGGATAACCTTTGATGCACATTCAGCTGAATGTGCACCCCGGTTTTAACCTTTGACCTCGGGGTTACTCAGTGATTTAGGAATATCTGGGGGGAGTGTTCGCTTCAGCAGGTGAACATTTGAACCCTCGAGATTTGGCAAATGTATACCGAAGTCATCGAATGTGCTTCCGCCAATTCGTTTCCCCCCTCCCCATACCTATTCCGCTCCCACCGAAATTGTTTCCCCTTCCCCCACAATATCGTCTCACCCCCTTTCCCCTTTCCGCCAACCCAGTTGCCCTCCCCTTGATCCCCAATTTCTAGATCCAAGTGTTATCAATTTCTCCCCTGCCAAGCCTCATCTCTCACGGACGAAAAGCCCCATGCTCGCCCATTCTCAACTATTTATTCGCTACTCGTCAACCAATCAGCAGTTCCCGCAAACATGCCGCCCAAAATTTAGCCTGGAGTCGCGTTGAATGTGTACCCTGGTTTTAACAAGACCTTGAGAGTTGCAGAGCAGTGTTGGGTGGTGGGCGAGCTGTCATACCACCTGCACTCCATGCATGTGCATGCACTCAGCACAGCATGCCGTGTAGACCATAGCTGTATTATACTACACTTAGGATTTGGTCCGGTCACATAGCAATCCCACAACCTGTTTTAGATCCCATGCTCCTGAAGCTATTTTGAGCTGACATTGAATAGAAGTCGCTCCTTAAACACTTTAGCTTCCCTGGGTTTGATTTGAAGATAGTCTCTGCATATCAGCTGCTTACACTCCATCCTTCGGCCCACTAACAGGAGAGTCCCTTTCCATGGGATGAGTTTTGCGCTGCTCACAACCAGCACAGTGGGACCTCGACCAGAGTAGCCCACACGAGAACCTTTGCAGCCCCCAGCATCTATCGGTACAAGACAACGCTGGTGCCCACGGCCTCTGGGTAGCAAGGTGCAAGAGACTCGCATCAACACACTCAGGGGCATCCCACCACGCTATCATCGTGAGACTTAGCGTGGCGATGTTGTCGTGGCCCAACTCCATCTTGAGGAGCAGTGACTCAAATTCCACTATGGATATAATGTTCGTGTGCGTATTTTGGTGTTTGCATGCTTGGTTGGTTGAAGGACCAGGTTCGTGTTTTATTGTGAAACAACACTTGGTATTTGTGTACCCATAGATTTTTCTAGTTCATTCTTTCTCAACATACACCCAGCGAGTTCCATTCCAATGCACCATCCTCTTTCCGGAAGTGTCTTGGCGAGTCAGGTCGCTCTAGTCAACGTTGGAGGGGATGATGTGGCGCCAAGCTAACAACCTCGTGATTGTTGCGTTTTCAGCGAGAACGCGGGAGTGGCGGAAACGGCTGTGCCCCACCCCGGCCTTCCTTCCTTTCTCCCGCTCACCAACCAACAATGGTGACGCCGCAGATGCACAAATGCCACCAGCGCAGCCACAAATCCCCATTTTCCGCACCTCGCCGCCATTTCACAGCAAACATTACGTGCTATAAGCGACACCATCGAAGTTCCCCCTCCACTAGAGGCGGTGCGACCGCACCGACCAGGCCGCTAGTAAGACGAAAATTAGAACCGCAATGACAGCTAACCTGGGGAGCACGGTGCAAGAAAAGCCGCAAGAGGCGGCGGGTACAGCGCTTGAGCGAGCCGAATCGGAGCGTGCGCCTCCGATAAGCGCCGCTGATGCTCCACCTGCCGGGTGTCAGAATTATATTCTTATACCTGCATGTAGTTCTAGCTGTAGTGTAGATATTAACTTTATAGGTGGTGCACCTCTTTGTTTGCTATATGTACCCTAGTGCTATAGTGAACATCCATTCTCCTCTCTCCTTGGCACAACTCACTCGACTCCCCTTGGCCTAGGCTACTAAGCCTAGGCCCTCACTTAAACCTAGTCCCCACTTGTGCTAATATTGTGACATCGGGAAGGGCATTTTCGAACCGTCGCCGTCGCCTGCTCGTTGCGCCAAACCCGATCAAAGTCGCGTGGTATGCGCTTTTAGCAATGTCGTAATATCGATCTTTGTGTGGGACCCTTTGATGGCTCTACTACCGCGGCTTTAGGATGCGGCACTCGCTAGGTATTATCGGCATTTCTCTCTTCGCTGCCTTGCCCGTTTGGCCTGTACTCCTTTCTGAAGAAAACTATGCTCAAGAAAGCCTCCTTGTTATGATCAGCCCGCCATACCGCAGTGTTGGTCCCAGCTGACGACTGACGTGACGCGGCTTGACGTATGACGGGCACGGTACTTGAATTCTGACATGGCATTGCACTGGACTCCCCCCTACCTGGTTCCGCGGCGCGCAGGTGACATCACAGGTGGAGGGCGGGGCGCTGGAGGTGCGAATACCCGCGGCAGCTCGGTGCATCGACGTGCTCACCACCCTCCTTCTAGTGAGCCATTGCCTCACTCCTTTTCAGTGAACCAATCTTCTCAGGCTCCCTTATAAGCGAAATCTCTCACTCAGTAAGTATCTCTTCTCTTTGCTCAGTCGCTCCTTTCCCATGCAAGCCCCTCCCCTCGCATTTATTTTCAGCCGAGCTCCTCCCTTTCCCACCTATTCCTGCCTCCAATCTCCTCCTGTCTAGCCACTCCCTGCTCGTTTCCCCGCCCTCCCTCTCAACCCTCCCCACCCTCCCTCACAGTTCGTGGTAGCAGTGAACGTCGCAATCTCCTTGCCCATCGCACTCTGCATTTTCATCTGGTGGGTACCTCCAACTCCCACTCCCTTTGAGGCCGCCTCTAGCAACGCGGTAGGCGTAGCATGTCAAATCGGCAATATGATGCTGCATCTTGTATACCCACATAGCATGCAAGCCCTTAAACACACAATCAGTCGTCCAGATTTTCCTACATTCAGCTTCCAGCTTTCCACATCCATACCCACTCTCCCTCCCTCAGTCTCCCACCTTCCATTCCCGTGCTGCTCACGGTGCACCCGTCTCAGCATCAGACCCGCTCTTCGATCCGAAACCATTCTGCTGTCGCCGGATCGCTTCAGCATCACCAGCAGGTGGCCAAACAGGGTCATTGAGCAGTGCGGCAACACATCAGAATTACAAGCCATTGAGGTGCAACTCTTGGATTCGCCACCGCCGATGCCGTCCCCACCAATGCACGGGGTAGGGTATCGACCAGTGGCCAAGCCGCCAAATCTGGTGTGTGTGTTTGTGCAGCAGCAGCAGGATTACAGGTTTGGCACGACCCTGAGTGATGCGGAGAAGTACTGGGTGGTGGGGGAGCTGTCGCACCACCTGCAGGAAATGCGCATTCACCCGGCACAGCAGGCTGTTTGACAAATGGATGGCAGTTTACGTTGGAGATGCAGCAGGAGTCTCGGTTTGGCGAGACTCAGAGGCACTAACAGAAGCACTGGGTGGAGGGCGAGCTGTCGTACCACCTGACCGGCACCCCATGCACGTGCATGCACCCAGTGCAGCAGGCACTGCATTCTGCGCTTTGGCCCACCAGCAGGAGAGTCCCATGCTGATGGTCACACATCTGCCACAACCAGCACGGTTGGACCTCACTGGTGTAGAGCGCACTACAGGATTGCAGACGCCAGCATCACCAAGACAGTGCTGGTGCCAGCAGCCTCTGAGCAGCAATAGACTTGCACCAACGCACTCAGGATGGCATCCCATCCCGCCCATGCGGGCAACGGTCGCTCCTGCTTGCTGCCGCACTTCCCTCACTGCCAAGCACCAGCACAATAGTCACTGCTACTGTGCAAGCTACCATGACACAACAACTGCTGGCAGAGTGTTGCAGATAGTGAGCCCACAGGCGCACGCACACGCCTTCTGGAACTGCAGGATGTCATTCGAAGATTGACATTCGACATGTTCTTGCTGCCTAGCCACGTCTTGATAAGCAACGACCAATCTCCACATAGACATACGGTACGGTATTTTGGTAGGCCTTGAAGTTTTGTGCATGGATATGGATATGCAAATCATTATGAGATGCTATTTTATCTGAATGTCATGTTTGTTATTGTTTTAGCTTGCGCATGCTTGGGTAAAGAAACGGTTGTGACAGTTTGGATTTACAGTATGTGCCTTAGTTAGAAATATCTTTTACATTTTCGCAATATCGGAACTGCCCAGCATATTCTGACATCTGCTTTCCTGAAATGTCTACCCAGTCCAGTCGCTGTAGTCAACGGCGGGGATGCGATGCAAGCGGGGCGATGCCAACTACCGCGCGCGCGCTCCATGCGTTTTCCGCGAAAACGTGGGAAGTAGCGGAAAAGGCATTCCCCCCTGCCCCACCCCCCTACGTCCCTCCCCTCCCGCTCACCAACCGTTGGTTCACCCGACAACGATGACGCTGCTGCAGACGTACAAATGCCGCCATCGCAGCCACAACACGAATTTCCGTTTTCCCACACCTCGCTACCACCATCTCAGGGTTAACATCGCGATTAACAAGGCACACCATCCGATTTCTCCCACCATTGGAGGCAGTGCGACTGCGCCGACCAGGCCGCTAGGGCGAGAATAAGGGCCGCAATGACAACTAACCCGGGGAGCACGGCGCAAGAAAAGCCGCAAGAGGCGGCGGCTAGAACGCTTGAGCGAGCCGAACCGGAGCCTGCGCCTCCGATAAGCGCCGCTGATGCTCCACTTGCCGTCCCCACAGCCGTTTTCCTTCCGCAGCCTGTTCCGCCTCTCCTACAATACGTTCCGCCTCTCCCACAACACGTTCCGCCTCTCCCCCAATACGTTCCGCCTCACCCCCAACTTGTTCCGCCATTCGCCGTGATGGGCACTCCCGTTTCGTCGTCGTGGCCTGCTCGTTGTGCCAAACCCGATAAAAGCCGTGTGGTACGCGCCTTTAGTAGTGTAGTAATGTCTAGTTAAGTGGGGGACCCATGATGGTGCTAGTAACGCGCCGTTATTAGGGTGTGGGACTCCTTGGGAATCTTCGGTATGTCCCCCTCCCCGCTGCATTGCCATTCCGCTTGTCTATTTTCACGTAGAGTACCCTTCAGTTCATGCTTGTTACAGTCAGCGCGCTATGCTACCCCCCTGTTGGTGGCGCGGCACTGACGCCAAGGAGCTGGCGTCTGACGTGGCACGGCGTGACGTCTGACGTGGCACGGCATTGGACGCCCCCCTACCTGGTTTCGCCCCCCCCAGGTGATATCACGGGAGGAGGGCAGGGCACTGGAGGTGCGAATACCCGGGGAAGGTGGATGCTCCTTCTGGCTCCTCACGCTCCTTCTGGTGAGCCCATCCCCTCATGCTCCTTCTGGTGAGCCCATCCCCTCATGCTCCTTCTGGTGAGCCCATCCCCTCATGCTCCTTCTGGTGAGCCCATCCCCTCACTCTCCTTCTGGTGAGCCCATCCCCTCACGCTCCTTCTGGTGAGCCCATCCCCTCACGCTCCTTCTGGTGAGCCCATCCCCTCACGCTCCTTCTGGTGAGCCCATCCCCTCACGCTCCTTCTGGTGAGCCCATCCCCTCACTCTCCTTCTGGTGAGCCCATCCCCTCACTCTCCTTCTGGTGAGCCCATCCCCTCACTCTCCTTATAGTGAACCCATGCCCTCACTCTCCTTCTGGTGAGCCCATCCCCTCACTCTCCTTCTGGTGAGCCCATCCCCTCACGCTCCTTCTGGTGAGCCCATCCCCTCACGCTCCTTCTGGTGAGCCCATCCCCTCACGCTCCTTCTGGTGAGCCCATCCCCTCACGCTCCTTCTGGTGAGCCCATCCCCTCACGCTCCTTCTGGTGAGCCCATCCCCTCACGCTCCTTCTGGTGAGCCCATCCCCTCACTCTCCTTCTGGTGAGCCCATCCCCTCACTCTCCTTCTGGTGAGCCCATCCCCTCACTCTCCTTCTGGTGAGCCCATCCCCTCACTCTCCTTCTGGTGAGCCCATCCCCTCACTCTCCTTCTGGTGAGCCCATCCCCTCACTCTCCTTCTGGTGAGCCCATCCCCTCACTCTCCTTCTGGTGAGCCCATCCCCTCACTCTCCTTCTGGTGAGCCCATCCCCTCACTCTCCTTCTGGTGAGCCCATCCCCTCACTCTCCTTCTGGTGAGCCCATCCCCTCACTCTCCTTCTGGTGAGCCCATCCCCTCACTCTCCTTCTGGTGAGCCCATCCCCTCACTCTCCTTCTGGTGAGCCCATCCCCTCACTCTCCTTCTGGTGAGCCCATCCCCTCACGCTCCTTCTGGTGAGCCCATCCCCTCACTCTCCTTCTGGTGAGCCCATCCCCTCACTCTCCTTCTGGTGAGCCCATCCCCTCACTCTCCTTCTGGTGAGCCCATCCCCTCACGCTCCTTCTGGTGAGCCCATCCCCTCACGCTCCTTCTGGTGAGCCCATCCCCTCACGCTCCTTCTGGTGAGCCCATCCCCTCACTCTCCTTCTGGTGAGCCCATCCCCTCACTCTCCTTCTGGTGAGCCCATCCCCTCACTCTCCTTATAGTGAACCCATGCCCTCACTCTCCTTCTGGTGAGCCCATCCCCTCACTCTCCTTCTGGTGAGCCCATCCCCTCACGCTCCTTCTGGTGAGCCCATCCCCTCACGCTCCTTCTGGTGAGCCCATCCCCTCACGCTCCTTCTGGTGAGCCCATCCCCTCACGCTCCTTCTGGTGAGCCCATCCCCTCACGCTCCTTCTGGTGAGCCCATCCCCTCACGCTCCTTCTGGTGAGCCCATCCCCTCACTCTCCTTCTGGTGAGCCCATCCCCTCACTCTCCTTCTGGTGAGCCCATCCCCTCACTCTCCTTCTGGTGAGCCCATCCCCTCACTCTCCTTCTGGTGAGCCCATCCCCTCACTCTCCTTCTGGTGAGCCCATCCCCTCACTCTCCTTCTGGTGAGCCCATCCCCTCACTCTCCTTCTGGTGAGCCCATCCCCTCACTCTCCTTCTGGTGAGCCCATCCCCTCACTCTCCTTCTGGTGAGCCCATCCCCTCACTCTCCTTCTGGTGAGCCCATCCCCTCACTCTCCTTCTGGTGAGCCCATCCCCTCACTCTCCTTCTGGTGAGCCCATCCCCTCACGCTCCTTCTGGTGAGCCCATCCCCTCACTCTCCTTCTGGTGAGCCCATCCCCTCACTCTCCTTCTGGTGAGCCCATCCCCTCACTCTCCTTCTGGTGAGCCCATCCCCTCACTCTCCTTCTGGTGAGCCCATCCCCTCACTCTCCTTCTGGTGAGCCCATCCCCTCACTCTCCTTCTGGTGAGCCCATCCCCTCATTCTCCTTCTGGTGAGCCCATCCCCTCACTCTCCTTCTGGTGAGCCCATCCCCTCACGCTCCTTCTGGTGAGCCCATCCCCTCACGCTCCTTCTGGTGAGCCCATCCCCTCACTCTCCTTCTGGTGAGCCCATCCCCTCACTCTCCTTCTGGTGAGCCCATCCCCTCACTCTCCTTCTGGTGAGCCCATCCCCTCACTCTCCTTCTGGTGAGCCCATCCCCTCACTCTCCTTCTGGTGAGCCCATCCCCTCACTCTCCTTCTGGTGAGCCCATCCCCTCACGCTCCTTCTGGTGAGCCCATCCCCTCACTCTCCTTCTGGTGAGCCCATCCCCTCACTCTCCTTCTGGTGAGCCCATCCCCTCACTCTCCTTCTGGTGAGCCCATCCCCTCACTCTCCTTCTGGTGAGCCCATCCCCTCACTCTCCTTCTGGTGAGCCCATCCCCTCACTCTCCTTCTGGTGAGCCCATCCCCTCACTCTCCTTCTGGTGAGCCCATCCCCTCACTCTCCTTCTGGTGAGCCCATCCCCTCACGCTCCTTCTGGTGAGCCCATCCCCTCACTCTCCTTCTGGTGAGCCCATCCCCTCACTCTCCTTCTGGTGAGCCCATCCCCTCACTCTCCTTCTGGTGAGCCCATCCCCTCACTCTCCTTCTGGTGAGCCCATCCCCTCACTCTCCTTCTGGTGAGCCCATCCCCTCACTCTCCTTCTGGTGAGCCCATCCCCTCACTCTCCTTCTGGTGAGCCCATCCCCTCACTCTCCTTCTGGTGAGCCCATCCCCTCACGCTCCTTCTGGTGAGCCCATCCCCTCACGCTCCTTCTGGTGAGCCCATCCCCTCACTCTCCTTCTGGTGAGCCCATCCCCTCACTCTCCTTCTGGTGAGCCCATCCCCTCACTCTCCTTCTGGTGAGCCCATCCCCTCACTCTCCTTCTGGTGAGCCCATCCCCTCACTCTCCTTCTGGTGAGCCCATCCCCTCACTCTCCTTCTGGTGAGCCCATCCCCTCACGCTCCTTCTGGTGAGCCCATCCCCTCACTCTCCTTCTGGTGAGCCCATCCCCTCACTCTCCTTCTGGTGAGCCCATCCCCTCACTCTCCTTCTGGTGAGCCCATCCCCTCACTCTCCTTCTGGTGAGCCCATCCCCTCACTCTCCTTCTGGTGAGCCCATCCCCTCACTCTCCTTCTGGTGAGCCCATCCCCTCACTCTCCTTCTGGTGAGCCCATCCCCTCACTCTCCTTCTGGTGAGCCCATCCCCTCACTCTCCTTCTGGTGAGCCCATCCCCTCACTCTCCTTCTGGTGAGCCCATCCCCTCACTCTCCTTCTGGTGAGCCCATCCCCTCACGCTCCTTCTGGTGAGCCCATCCCCTCACTCTCCTTCTGGTGAGCCCATCCCCTCACTCTCCTTCTGGTGAGCCCATCCCCTCACTCTCCTTCTGGTGAGCCCATCCCCTCACTCTCCTTCTGGTGAGCCCATCCCCTCACTCTCCTTCTGGTGAGCCCATCCCCTCACTCTCCTTCTGGTGAGCCCATCCCCTCACTCTCCTTCTGGTGAGCCCATCCCCTCACTCTCCTTCTGGTGAGCCCATCCCCTCACTCTCCTTCTGGTGAGCCCATCCCCTCACTCTCCTTCTGGTGAGCCCATCCCCTCACTCTCCTTCTGGTGAGCCCATCCCCTCACTCTCCTTCTGGTGAGCCCATCCCCTCACTCTCCTTCTGGTGAGCCCATCCCCTCACTCTCCTTCTGGTGAGCCCATCCCCTCACTCTCCTTCTGGTGAGCCCATCCCCTCACTCTCCTTCTGGTGAGCCCATCCCCTCACTCTCCTTCTGGTGAGCCCATCCCCTCACTCTCCTTCTGGTGAGCCCATCCCCTCACTCTCCTTCTGGTGAGCCCATCCCCTCACTCTCCTTCTGGTGAGCCCATCCCCTCACTCTCCTTCTGGTGAGCCCATCCCCTCACTCTCCTTCTGGTGAGCCCATCCCCTCACTCTCCTTCTGGTGAGCCCATCCCCTCACTCTCCTTCTGGTGAGCCCATCCCCTCACTCTCCTTCTGGTGAGCCCATCCCCTCACTCTCCTTCTGGTGAGCCCATCCCCTCACTCTCCTTCTGGTGAGCCCATCCCCTCACTCTCCTTCTGGTGAGCCCATCCCCTCACTCTCCTTCTGGTGAGCCCATCCCCTCACTCTCCTTCTGGTGAGCCCATCCCCTCACTCTCCTTCTGGTGAGCCCATCCCCTCACTCTCCTTCTGGTGAGCCCATCCCCTCACTCTCCTTCTGGTGAGCCCATCCCCTCACTCTCCTTCTGGTGAGCCCATCCCCTCACTCTCCTTCTGGTGAGCCCATCCCCTCACTCTCCTTCTGGTGAGCCCATCCCCTCACTCTCCTTCTGGTGAGCCCATCCCCTCACTCTCCTTCTGGTGAGCCCATCCCCTCACTCTCCTTCTGGTGAGCCCATCCCCTCACTCTCCTTCTGGTGAGCCCATCCCCTCACTCTCCTTCTGGTGAGCCCATCCCCTCACTCTCCTTCTGGTGAGCCCATCCCCTCACTCTCCTTCTGGTGAGCCCATCCCCTCACTCTCCTTCTGGTGAGCCCATCCCCTCACTCTCCTTCTGGTGAGCCCATCCCCTCACTCTCCTTCTGGTGAGCCCATCCCCTCACTCTCCTTCTGGTGAGCCCATCCCCTCACTCTCCTTCTGGTGAGCCCATCCCCTCACTCTCCTTCTGGTGAGCCCATCCCCTCACTCTCCTTCTGGTGAGCCCATCCCCTCACTCTCCTTCTGGTGAGCCCATCCCCTCACTCTCCTTCTGGTGAGCCCATCCCCTCACGCTCCTTCTGGTGAGCCCATCCCCTCACGCTCCTTCTGGTGAGCCCATCCCCTCACGCTCCTTCTGGTGAGCCCATCCCCTCACTCTCCTTCTGGTGAGCCCATCCCCTCACTCTCCTTCTGGTGAGCCCATCCCCTCACTCTCCTTCTGGTGAGCCCATCCCCTCACTCTCCTTCTGGTGAGCCCATCCCCTCACTCTCCTTCTGGTGAGCCCATCCCCTCACTCTCCTTCTGGTGAGCCCATCCCCTCACTCTCCTTCTGGTGAGCCCATCCCCTCACTCTCCTTCTGGTGAGCCCATCCCCTCACTCTCCTTCTGGTGAGCCCATCCCCTCACGCTCCTTCTGGTGAGCCCATCCCCTCACTCTCCTTCTGGTGAGCCCATCCCCTCACTCTCCTTCTGGTGAGCCCATCCCCTCACTCTCCTTCTGGTGAGCCCATCCCCTCACTCTCCTTCTGGTGAGCCCATCCCCTCACTCTCCTTCTGGTGAGCCCATCCCCTCACTCTCCTTCTGGTGAGCCCATCCCCTCACTCTCCTTCTGGTGAGCCCATCCCCTCACTCTCCTTCTGGTGAGCCCATCCCCTCACTCTCCTTCTGGTGAGCCCATCCCCTCACTCTCCTTCTGGTGAGCCCATCCCCTCACTCTCCTTCTGGTGAGCCCATCCCCTCACTCTCCTTCTGGTGAGCCCATCCCCTCACTCTCCTTCTGGTGAGCCCATCCCCTCACTCTCCTTCTGGTGAGCCCATCCCCTCACTCTCCTTCTGGTGAGCCCATCCCCTCACTCTCCTTCTGGTGAGCCCATCCCCTCACTCTCCTTCTGGTGAGCCCATCCCCTCACTCTCCTTCTGGTGAGCCCATCCCCTCACTCTCCTTCTGGTGAGCCCATCCCCTCACTCTCCTTCTGGTGAGCCCATCCCCTCACTCTCCTTCTGGTGAGCCCATCCCCTCACTCTCCTTCTGGTGAGCCCATCCCCTCACTCTCCTTCTGGTGAGCCCATCCCCTCACTCTCCTTCTGGTGAGCCCATCCCCTCACTCTCCTTCTGGTGAGCCCATCCCCTCACTCTCCTTCTGGTGAGCCCATCCCCTCACTCTCCTTCTGGTGAGCCCATCCCCTCACTCTCCTTCTGGTGAGCCCATCCCCTCACTCTCCTTCTGGTGAGCCCATCCCCTCACTCTCCTTCTGGTGAGCCCATCCCCTCACTCTCCTTCTGGTGAGCCCATCCCCTCACTCTCCTTCTGGTGAGCCCATCCCCTCACTCTCCTTCTGGTGAGCCCATCCCCTCACTCTCCTTCTGGTGAGCCCATCCCCTCACTCTCCTTCTGGTGAGCCCATCCCCTCACTCTCCTTCTGGTGAGCCCATCCCCTCACTCTCCTTCTGGTGAGCCCATCCCCTCACTCTCCTTCTGGTGAGCCCATCCCCTCACTCTCCTTCTGGTGAGCCCATCCCCTCACTCTCCTTCTGGTGAGCCCATCCCCTCACGCTCCTTCTGGTGAGCCCATCCCCTCACGCTCCTTCTGGTGAGCCCATCCCCTCACGCTCCTTCTGGTGAGCCCATCCCCTCACTCTCCTTCTGGTGAGCCCATCCCCTCACTCTCCTTCTGGTGAGCCCATCCCCTCACTCTCCTTCTGGTGAGCCCATCCCCTCACTCTCCTTCTGGTGAGCCCATCCCCTCACTCTCCTTCTGGTGAGCCCATCCCCTCACTCTCCTTCTGGTGAGCCCATCCCCTCACTCTCCTTCTGGTGAGCCCATCCCCTCACTCTCCTTCTGGTGAGCCCATCCCCTCACTCTCCTTCTGGTGAGCCCATCCCCTCACGCTCCTTCTGGTGAGCCCATCCCCTCACTCTCCTTCTGGTGAGCCCATCCCCTCACTCTCCTTCTGGTGAGCCCATCCCCTCACTCTCCTTCTGGTGAGCCCATCCCCTCACTCTCCTTCTGGTGAGCCCATCCCCTCACTCTCCTTCTGGTGAGCCCATCCCCTCACTCTCCTTCTGGTGAGCCCATCCCCTCACTCTCCTTCTGGTGAGCCCATCCCCTCACTCTCCTTCTGGTGAGCCCATCCCCTCACTCTCCTTCTGGTGAGCCCATCCCCTCACTCTCCTTCTGGTGAGCCCATCCCCTCACGCTCCTTCTGGTGAGCCCATCCCCTCACTCTCCTTCTGGTGAGCCCATCCCCTCACTCTCCTTCTGGTGAGCCCATCCCCTCACTCTCCTTCTGGTGAGCCCATCCCCTCACTCTCCTTCTGGTGAGCCCATCCCCTCACTCTCCTTCTGGTGAGCCCATCCCCTCACTCTCCTTCTGGTGAGCCCATCCCCTCACTCTCCTTCTGGTGAGCCCATCCCCTCCTGCTCCTTATAGTGAACCCATGCCCTCACTCCTTCTTCAGTGAACCCATGCCCTCACCCCCTTCCTAATTCCCTCAAAAAGCTCTGCACACTCCTGTCGTACTAAATAATTCTGCTGGTCAGTCGCTGCCCTCCTATGCAAGCCCCTCCCCTCACATTTCTTTTCAGCCGAGCTCCCCCCTTCCCACCTGCTCGCTCCGCTTCCCCGCCCGTCCATCACCCCACTTCCCTGCTGCCAATGCCACTCTCAACTCTCTCCCCACGCCTTCACAGATTGTGGTCGCAATACCAGTCATAATCGCTTTACCCATCGCAATCTGCATCGTCCCCTGGTGGGTACCTCAAGCTCTGAGTCCCTTACAGACTGCCTCTGGCAACGCTGTAGGTCTATCATGTCACAATGGCATATGATGCCACATGCACAGCCACTTGGCATGCAAGCCCATCACTACATACCGTAGTTCAAGCGCCCAATTTTCCTAACTACAGCTCCCAGATTTTCACATCCCATGCCCACTCCCTCCTCTCTCTGCCTCCCGCCTCCCCTTCCCGTGCTCCTCTCGGCCCGCCCACCCATCTCAGCGTCATCGGTGCTCGCTTCCGAGCCGCAGCTCGCTCTGAAACCAGGTGACTTTTGAGTCGACTCAAAACCCACCTTCCATGCCCGTGCTGCTCTTGGCCCACCCGCCCGCCCATCTCAGCGTCATCGGTGCTCGCTTCCGAGCCGCAGCTCGCTCCGAATCCATTCTGCTGTCGCCGCACCTCTTCAGCATCACCATCAAGCTCCCAGACAAGGTCACAGAGCAGCGCAGCAGCACGTCACGGCTGCAAGCCATAGTGGTGCAGGACTTGAACTCCCCACCGCCGCTGCCGTCCCTACCAATGCACGGGGCAGGGTATCGACCAGTGGCCAAGCCGCCAAATCTGGTGTGTGTGTTTGTGGAGCAGCAGCAGGATTACCGATTTGGAACGACCCTGAGTGACGCGGAGAAGTACTGGGTGGTGGGGGAGCTGTCTCACCACCTGCACTGCATGCGCTTCCAACCGGCACATGATCATGTGTAACTTAAGGATACCAGCAGATTGCGCTGGAGATACAGCAGGAGAGTTGGTCTGACAAGACTAGGAGAGTTACAGAGCAGCACTGGGTGGTGGGCGAGCTGTCACACCACCTGCACTCCATGCGTGTGCATCCGGCACAGCACGGCATGTGGACCATGGGTTGTAATACCTACCCCAATCGGTTGTACAATGCACATCACATGGTCCCACTGCTGCTCCGTGGGCTGCTTCGGGTCGGGTCGCAGGCTCTCATAGCTGTGCCACTGTGGCACGCTTGAACTGGCATGTCTCTTGCACCTGCAGGTCGCTCACCTGCACTTCACTTGAAAGCCCTGTGAACAGGTCACTGAAAGCAAAGCTTGTACCCACACTGCAGAAGCAGGTGAGATGGCCACGGCCACACTGAATTAACCGTGCCATAACTGCTGTTCACTACGGCCCACCAGGCTTGCTACTGGCCTCAGTTCTTCCCCTGCCACTTAACACAGTTCCTGATTCCCATGAAATGAGAGCTTTTTCATTGCAGCAAGAGCTGTACAACAGGGGCTGAGCAACAGCCTAAGTGAGGCAGCACCTCCCAGGGCAGAATTGCTTCCGGAGAAGCGTGTAAAACGAGACATGGAGTCTCACACGCGGAGAAGCGAGTCTCCCATAAGGCGCTCCACTGCCCTCACACCACCCGGAAGACTGCACACCTGCGATTCTGCAGCGCGCGGGCAAAGAGAACATGCAACAAGCACGCAGAACGCGTGTGAGTCCGTCAACTGCACATGCTGCCATCACAACGAACAGTACTGGCAGAACATGGTAGATGGTGACTCTGCGTGGCAGATACTGAATCAACAAGGCAGGCCGCGAGCCCACGTTGCAGGTAGAGGGGCAGGTAGAGGTGTCACGAGGCAGGTAGAGGGGCAGGTAGAGGCGCCACGTGGCAGGTAGAGAAACCAGGGGCGCACGCACCTCTGGGAACTGTGGGTTGTCGTCGCGGGTGGTGAGCTTGGCGATGTTGTTGCGGCCCAGCCCCATCTTGATGAGCAGCGACTCAAACTCCACTATGAAGCACGTGCCCGAGTACTGCTGCTGCCATGCCCACACACGCCATGCCACGGCACACAGGACAAGAGAGGCAGGCGGTGATTCGCACAGCTTCATCAGCAGATTGCCATATACCATTGGAACCACATCGATGCCAGGCATAGTTGCAGAAGGAGGATGGAACAACGGCGGATATGACTGGTAAATGGAGACAGCTTTGCTCATCTCAATGACGCATGGTGCAGACGAGAACACAGTCTTGGGGGCAATCTTAGCAACGGGCAGGGAAGCATTCAGGCGGTGGCATACCCGCTTGGGGGACGCGCCTCGCACGACGAGCTTCATGCCGGCGCTGTTGACCAGGTCAAAGGGCGGACACGAGTGGCCGCGCTCCCCCTGGTGCCATGGGGTGGGGTCGTAGCATGGTGCCACCACGGGTGGTAAGGCGATTGCGATTTTTATTGCTACAGAGAAATGGACAAGGAAACGCAGAGCTAGGGAGTAAACGAGACAGGGAGTAGGAATACAGGGAGTAGGACAGGAGGAGGAACAAGGGGCAAGAGAGGGAAGGAGAGATGGGGGATGGAGGGAGGGGGTGGAGATAGGGAGGGCGAGAGTGAGAGAGGGGGGTGGGGGGGCAGGAAAGGGCAAGGCGAGCGCTGGTGGCGAGGAAAGAAGTTGCAGAGCGGGAAGCCGAGAGTGAGGGAGTTGGGAGGAAGAGGCGTACTCGTACTGTCCTGCATTTGTGCTTGAGCGTTCCGCCTATGACCGGTGCTGTTGTCCTCGTTGACGCACTGCCAAGCACCACCCGGAGGAGAGAGGAGCAGGCGAGACGAAATGAAGGGGAGAGCGGGTGGGGCAAACGAGAGGGGGAGCGAGTTGAGACGGAAGGGCGGCGAGAGGAGATGAGCACGCGGGCAAACGAGAGTGGGAGCGAAGTGAGCACTCACTTGAAGGGAAGGCTTACTCAAAGCTGAAGCTTTCTCAAAGAAAGGCTTACTTGTAGAACAGCAGCGAGTCGGAGAAGGGCTGCGAGGGGCGCATGGTGAGCAGCAGGTAGAACGGCACGAGGGCCAGAGAGCCGTTGAACGCGAAGTCGCACTCCTGCCATGGCGGCACGGGGGTATGGCAGCATGGCGGCATGGTGGCATGGTGGCATGGCGGCATGGCAGCACAGCGGCATGGAGCAGCATGACGCACACGTGTGATGGACGGGGCAAGGCACAGAGAGCAAGGAGGTTGGTTTGAGAGCACGCATGGATCGGGATGGGATACAGCCACGTTAAAAGACCTAGCAGATCCCACCTTTCCTCGCTCCCGCTCATTATCCCCCACCCCGCCCCGCTTCTCCCCGCCCCCCTCCCCCCCAACCCCCCTCCCATTTCTCTCTCTGGCCCGAGCGCACATGCCCGCTTCTCTTGCTGCCTTCAAGTTCCCCTCACGCTGCCCTACGGTCGCCCTGCACTGCCCTCCAATCTCCGCCATACCCGCTAGGCGGGGCTCTCCGACTCGAACCAATTGCCCTCCAACACGCCACTACCTCACGCGCCCCGCACTGCCTCGCTCTCTTCCCCACTGCCTCACACCCTCGCCCTCATCGCAGCCCCCACGCCCCCACCGCCCCACACTCCCACCGCCTGAGCCCCCACCGCCCCACATCCCTACTGCCTCACGCCCCACGGATAACCACGAACCCAGGGTTACCTGATTCGGCAAGACGCAGTCCAGCACTCCAGGTGCCTTCGCCTTTTTACCCTTCACAGCTGCATTAACTGCTTTGGCTTTCACAACAGCCCTCGCCGTTTTGCGTTTAGCCGCAGCCTCCGCTCTCTCGCGCTTCGCGGCTGCCCTCGCCGCTTTGCGCTTCGCCACGGCTTCCGCTTTCTTGCGCTTCTCCGCCGCCTTGGCCCTCTTAATCTCCGCGGCAGCTAGCGCCTGAAGCGCCCTCGCTTGAAGACCTTGCCATTTGACGCTCCTTCCGCCAGGTGGCTGACGTGACTCGTGCTCATGCCCATTGGTCTCTCCTGGAGCCGGCGCCGGCGTCCATGCGAGGATGCTGCCGGAAGTTGCGGCGAAAATGGCGGCGTTGAGGCCCCTAGGACGCGCGGACTCGCAAGCCGAGCAACGCGGTGTTAGTCTGGAGCCATTCGTGCGAGGCGAGGCGAGGAGGAGAAGAACGACCGACGCGACGAGAAGATTCCTCAAGATACCGCGTCGTGGGACGGCACGCCGCTGGCGCCTTCTGTCACCCTCGTTTTCGCTCCTAAGCGGCTCTTTGCAGAATGATGCTGTCAATCGAACGGAGGAAATCTGTCGGTTACTGCAGAAATTTCGCCATCTAGTGCTGTCGGGAGTGAAGGACAAATTACATGTTTCTAGTCTGCTCCGTCTTGAAAATGATTGGCTCGATAACGTAGAGAAGGTCTTAGTATGCGACGACATGATGCTCCAAGTGGAGTCTGGATGACGAGAGAGAAGACTTTCAACATAGGTAAGGCGTCATGAGAAACAGTCACAATGACGATGTTAGCCTTATTCGAACCCACAGATTCCACAGATTCTGTGCAGTACTTGGCTTCCTATTCGTCAATCTCTCGTCCGTTTTAAACTAGTAGTGCGTGAACCGGATAGTTGGTGCTTGATTCCTGGGGAGCAGCACGGAGATGACACGATGCGCTGTCAGAGAAAAGTGTAAGTCACTGACAATATATCATCGAAGTCCCGAGTGATGGTGTCCTTGGATGTGCAATGAAATGGTGCTGTTCGCCACTGCGAGCCATGTCCCCCAGTTATTGACTCTCAGCGGCGGCTGTGATGACATTTGGAATTCGCAAGCGCTGATCGTCCCTCGAGATGATCGTCACGCCCAGTCCCCAGCGCTGTGTACCAGGAGGGTGAGCTACGCGGGCCCACGCCAAGGGCAGCAAACGGGTCGCGATTCGCGAATGTTTCTGACCTCGAGACATTGGATTTCCCGCCAATTTCATTGTGCTCTGGCAACCGACCACATGGAAAAGCTTGGCACAGATAAGGACGCGTCACCTCCCTCGATCGATCGTGCAAAATCGAGGAAGATCGATCGTCCACCGCACTAAAAGCCCGCGTGTTGCATTTAAATTTGTTTGAAAACTTTTTGAACCGAATCAAAAATCGAACCTGCGCAGGATCGATCGAGGCAGGTGACGCGTCCTAATGCCGATAACGCTTTTGGACCTCGCACAAGCTGCACCACGTGTGACACTGGATGTTGGCTGAATGGAACAACCACTTAAAGCCCGAGGTCAGCATGGCAAAGCGTTTTTTGTTTCTAGGGTTTTAAACACTAGCTGGAAGAGTAGCGAGAACTGTTTTCGTTGAGAGTACCCTGGCGAAGCAAAACACAGGTTCGCCACACATGTTTGTATTCGACAAAAGGTGATTTGGCGACCAAGCATACGACCCGTCAGGTGCCAAGGGGCGCAGCCATTGCTTTGTGCTGTGCCACCATCAGCTATAAGAGGCTAACTTAGAAAATATCTCAGATTTCTTTGCCAACACGACACGGCATGATTTTTTTACCTGTTGTGCCCCTCTGGCTCGTGGTGGTCAAAGCCAGACCAACCTATCCAACCTCGAGGACGACAACCACCCCCGACTATGTCGCAAACACATCACTTTAGCCGTAAAGGCCGGGACTGCTCCGAACTTACCTGGTTTCCCCTAAAGTCGCGGAAGAATCAGACCAATTGCAGATTATGCAGGTCTCGCTCACTCGGACTCTCCCGACTCAAGGTAAGTCTCTCTCAACTAAGCCCCCCGTGTGTGTTTGTTTTGGGTGTTTTCCTTTTCCTTGCTTTCCCTCTCTGCCGCCCAGTGCCCCCAGTTAACCACCCATTGCCTCCTCAGCTCGCGCCAGCTAACACGCCTGCCAACCCACTGCAACTTGGCCCCCCCTCGACAACTCCGAGCAACGCTAACCTACTACGACCCGACAACCTCAACCACTCCCCTCATGATGCCCCCAATTTACGTTGGCAACTGCCAGTGGTATTTGATCGACTCCCCTTCGTCGCACGCGAACCACGCCTCGCCACCCACAGACAGCAACGCACACCCCCCGACAAAAACGACAGGCAGCCGCGAACTACTCGAACCTTCGGTAAGAACCCTCAACGTCTTCTTGTGCATGCCCGTCTGTCATCCCGTTCGGAAATCAAGTACAGCCCCACTCACAGCCCACAACACCCCACCGGTAAGCATCTCCGACCTCACTGGTTTATCCCCTGGCCTCTCCCCCGAGACGGGAGAATACCCTTTCATCGACGACGCGGAACAACAATCGTTTTCGACTGCCACAAAAAGGTGCGCTGGCAGCCTTGCTGGAGCAGCATTAATGCTCCGCCACCCAGCTGTAAAAAATTAGGCGGTCATCTCTCATGCGATAAGCATGGCTGCCGCTACCACCCCCACACCTTCCCCCCTGCTTCTTGCCACGTACGCGCCACGAGGAGCTCCCTCAACACCTTCCCTCCAACAAGGTACGTCCAGACTCTGCCTCCCCTCACCCACTTGGGAACTCTCCCAGTCACGCCACCCTGTTCCCCCAGAGAACCTCCTCCCGGCTCACGCTCTCATTGTATGCCCTCGAAGGTTGTTTCTCGACCCTTCCACCACTCACTTTGCCACCCTTGCCCCCTCCCGTCACCTGGAAATTGGCTCAACACCTCAACCCCACGCCGCGCTCTTGAGCCGGTACGGAACCCAGACTCGGAATGCCGATCAGGCTGCCGGTCACCCTTTCGGATACGCGATGGCCAACGCCTATGCGCCCGACAGTCCCCCCACGCCTCTGTCTACCTCCTGACGCGGCAGCCCCCAAGGACCCCGCGCCCCGAGGCACCGCCTTTTGCACGCGACAACCCCCACGTGGGCCGGGCGGCTATCTCGCCTGCTGCCCTTTCGCGTCTTACACGGCTCCGCAGTTACACACCCACTGGTACCTCGAGCGTTGCGGGATACGCCTCCCTCGTCCTTGCCTTGAAGTTTTGCTCGGCTGAATGCTTCGCTTCTCTCATACTTAACCCCCACCTTTCGAAGACCATAACACCCTCTTCCTCGCTGCCTCCCGTAATTCCCCCCCTTTCTTTCTGCTCCCTCGTTATGGCCGACGTTTCGCAGTTTGACGAAACGATGGAGATGACCGACGAGGAAATCGAAGCGATGGAGCTCCCCGACGACCCCGCCGGCTCTAACCTCCCACGCACCCGTTCGCCGACGGATCTCCCCGCGTCCAAGAAACCCTGCGTCGACGTCGACCCCTGCCCGCTGCCCCAGGAATCGGCGGCCGGCACGTCCGGATTCACGGAAGAACGCGCCGCCGTACCCGAGCAGCCCTTCCCGCAGCCCACCAGCACTCACGCCTCCGCAGCTGCCGTCTTCGCCTCCGTACCGAGCGACATGAACCCTACCCCAACGACCCCCGGCCCGAGCTCCTCCGCCCCGCACGGCCGTGCCGAGGTTGCCGATACGAACGACGCTACGATCCCGTCTGCGGAGACCCCCCCCGAACCCGAGCTGCCGCGCTCCTCCCGTCAACCGGCTCCGCCCCCCCCGATGCTGCCCCCGCCTATCCTCACGACGAGCAGCCGGTCCGTGGTGACCCTGCTCTTCCCAGAAGCGGGTGCCGACGCCATCCGCGCAACGCTCATCGCAAAGATCCTCGCGAAGCTGAAGCCCTCCCTTTTCGACTGCGGATACGTCCCCGATGCTCGCCCCACCAACGGCGAGACCATGCGCTTCGCGGGACGGTCTTACGCGACGATCTGCGTCTCGTGGCCGACTCAGCAATCTGCTGACGAGTTCCTGGTCATCTTCAACCACCCGATCGAGCTCTCCTCGGGTCGCTTCATCTCGGTCAAGCCATACACTGACCCCTACCCAGATTTCACCAAGGCCAAGGCGGATGGTGCCCCCATTCTCTCCCTGCGCCGTGTCCCGGCTCGCTTCGAAGAGGCGAACCTCTTCGCCTACCTGGTGCCTACTTGGCTGACGGGCATCGATTCCTTTCACCGCATGAAGGACCCCTACGACGGGGTCTTCCTCCCCATCCTCACCGGAATTCCAATCCCGCTTCCCACAGATCCGGACTTCCGCACCATCCCAGCGCGTATTCCGGTCGGCGGTAACGACCCGGACATCCTCGTCAATATCTCCACCCACGAATGCTCCATCTGCGCAAGCAACCACCGCGTGGAGGACCACGCGACCTTCCCCTGCAAGCGCAAGGGACGGATCGGCAACAAAGCGCAGCTCACGGTCGCCCAACTGCAGAAGGCCAACGGTACAACCTCCCGCCTCGCCTTCCCCCCCCAACCCACGCCTCTACCCCCCCCCCTTCCTTTCTGCTGCTTTGCCATCTTACCAGTAGGCTGCCCTTCAGTCAGGATTCCCAGACACCCGCCCCCCTCCCCCCTCTCCTCACCCGCTATCACTAACTTCCCCCTCCAACACCCCTGGCCCCGCCCCCCCCCTCTGACCCCGGCCTACAAGCGGCTCCATTGGAGCACACCCCGCTTCCAACGCCTTCTGCGCCGACCCTGCGCTTCTATTCATCGGCACGGACACGGATGTCGAGCCGTGGACCTGTGTGGCCTGCACATTCGAGTGTGGCCCCGCGCTCGACAGTGCACTGCAGCATATGGAGTCCGCAAAGCACCGCGCGCAGCTGCTCGCCAACACCAGCAAGAAGGCGCCCAAGGAGCCGTTCCTCTCCTGGAGCTACCCGGCCTTCCTGAAGGAAGGGGGCTTCGGGCCCTTCCTCAAGCAGCTGAAGAGCTCCTCCCGCGCCTAGGTGCACCACACTTGTCTCTGCTTCAATGCCATTGCTGTTTCTGCCTGAGATGTACCGCTCTGGATATCCTAATAAATCTCGGCTACGCAGGCTTGTTGAATAGTATTTTCGAATCTGCCCCTCCCCCCCAATCGAGGAAAACGAACAACTCAGTTACTAACATCACCAATACGGCACTCAATTGCATGCATAGGAGAACAGCCAGGGAACTCAATAACGGACCTTGGCCAGCACGCCAACCTGCACCTGACACCCAACACACGGCCCTGACGGATATACACCTCCCCAACAAGCACAATGCACTTACAACAGTCTACTCCAGACCCCATCGCCCTGCGCGACCACCCCCACTACGCAGTACGCGACACACCGTCCGCGAATACAATACAGGGACAACTCCCCTCCCACCCACAGGAACACGGTTCTACACTCCGCGCCGCCTCTCCCAAGCCAACCCCTCAGCTCCTGGGGACTATGCGCGGACCCCTCACCCCTCCCGACAACTGCCCCATCCCCCCTCGCAACAAACCTCCCGAAACCCCAGGCCGTGGATACGCACTCTCTCCCGTGCGGTGGCCTCCACAGCATGGCCATGTTAACACACCTACGCTTCCTATGTATCAATGTGAACGGAATCAACGAGACACGCAAAATGGACGAACTAAAGTCCTGGCTGTCGAAACTACCCGCACCCGCTGACCTAGTCATCCTCATCGACACCCGGCTAATCCAAAGAATCCCCAACCTCGACCTGAAACTTAGACCTCACTCCTCCGCCCACGCCCCAGCACTACTCTCTACCGAGAGCGCAACGGGAAAGCCCACGCTCATCGGCGGTGTCTCCATTCTCTCCTTCAACAGGGCCATCTCACTGTCCTCTCCGACTCCCTCCGCAGACGGCAGACTACTCACTGTACACCTCAACTATCTGCGAGAGCAAATCCGCCTCATCGCCATCTACGCCCCCACACAATTCTATGGACGCAGAGTATGGTGGACCTCCACACTCGTCCCTGCACTGGAGGCCCCCACCGCCGCCTCCGCATCCATGCTTGCAGGAGACTTTAACTCGGTCGTCCTCCCCATCGATAGGAATCGCCCCCCCAAAGACTTCGAGGCTCGTGAGGGCGCCTCTTTCGCCAAACTCATGGAAAACCACGCCCTGGTCGACACATTCCGCGAACTCTTCCCCACGCCGACCGACGTCTTCTCCTTCTTCGGGAGGCAACGTCTCAACATTGCGACACCCCCTACCTCCTCCCGACTCGACAGAATATACATCTCCCGAGCTTTCGCATCCCGCCTAACTGCAAGCCCGTACATCCAAACCCGCACGGCGATCACGGACCATCTCTACGCCCCTCTTTGCTCGCTCAGCTTCCTCAACCCCACAGTCGCCCCCCGACCCTGGCACCTCCGACAGCATCTACTTATGCGCCCCCATCTCTCACAAATTCTCGACTCCTGCCTCGCAGTTTTCCCAAGCTCACCCTCCCCAGACTCCTGGGACGCATGGAAGCTCGATCTCACCCTTAACCTCAAACGCTTTTCCAACCAGGAGAGGCGCCGCGTCGACGGCACAGTCGCACATCTGGAATACACCATTGGCTCACTTCAACGACACGCTGGTACACGCCCCTGACCCAGGCCGAGTCTAACCGCCTCGAACAAGCAAGACTCCACCTGGCCCGGTATGAAGCCTCAAAAGCCTCCGAAATCGCGCTCAAGGCCAAGCTTAAAGTGGAAGGGCACAGGGAAATGGGAGTTTCCTCCCTCCTCTCTGGCCTCAACTCGCGAATCAAGGGCTCAATCATCAGCTCCCTAACCCTACCGAACGGACAAACAACGTCGGATCTACCCACCATGACAAACATGTGCTCACATTTCTTCCAGACACTTTACAGCGGAAACACCCCTGCCACTGCAAACACGGCCTTCTGGCTACACATTCCTCCCTCCTCCGTCCCGAACCCCCTTTTCCTACGACTCGGCGCCCCCTTCTCCCTAGCCGAAATTGGGAAGGCAATACTCTCTCTGTCCCGAGGAAAAACCCCCGGCCCAGACGGCCTGCCCGGGGAGCTCTTTCGGCAGTTCGCCCCACGATTCGCACCGGTCTTCCACTCCCTGCTCTCCCCTCCACAATCTCTCTCGCGCCTACCCCCGTCCATGCTGACCGGACGCACTGTCCTCATCCCCAAACGGGGCGATTCCTCGCTCGTCGAAAATCTTCGCCCCATCACCCTCATGAACGCGGACTACAAAGTACTCGCGCTGTGCCTTGCCAACCGTCTCCAGCTAGTTCTTCCCCAGCTCATCCACCCATCCCAAACCGCCTTCATCAAAAACAGGAAAATCGGGGACACAATCAACGATACCCTGGATATCATGGATTGGGCAGCATTCTCATCTAGCCCTCTCCTCGCGCTTACGGTCGACTTCCGAAAAGCCTACGACCTAGTCGACCGCCCCTTTCTCCTGCAAGCCTTAGCGGTCCTGGGAATTCCAGCTCCCTTCATACACTGGGTACGACTAATGCACTCCGACACCACCACACGAATCCCCGTCAACAACATGCTAGGCCCCACCTTCCCTGTCCGCACGGGCGTCCGACAGGGTTGTCCTCTGGCACCTCTGCTTTTCGTGTGTGTCATAGAGATCTTCCACCGATACATGTCCCTCTTCCTCCCTGGTTTCGCTCTATCTCCTGTCCAGCGCCGACTCATGGCGTGCTACGCGGACGATGTCACTCTCTTCCTCACCTCTGACACAGAGCTCGGCCTCGCAGTGATACTCCTTGGCGTCTTTGGATCCGTATCCGGGGAGGTACCCAACTGGAACAAATGTTCCATCATTCCCTTCAATATCAACCCCACCGACCTCACACACGCCGGGCCTATCCCCGTACGAGGCCCCGGCGAAGCAGAACGCATTCTTGGAATATATGTTGAACGACTACACCCTGGATCCACCACCTGGACCAATGCTCTCGCCCGCATACAAAGCACCGCCAAATTTCTAGCGGCCTTGCACGCCACTGTCACGCGTCGCAAATCTCTGTCATCGATCTTTCTGAATTCCGTCATCTCCTTTCCCGGCCGCTTCCAACCTGCACCACCGATCACCATCAAGCGACTTGACATTTCAGTGGGAAACCTCCTCTCGTCCTCAAAACATAAACAAGACGGCCTCGCACAACGCTTCCTCCCCAACGGCCTCCTCTATAATTCACCCTAAGACGGTGGGGTTGGGGCGATCGCACCATCCACCCAAATCAAAGCTCTCGCTGTCCAACGTGCTTTACGCAGATTTGGACCCACCCCAGCCGAGGAAGTCACTCGGACCCTGACCCCGTTCCCATACGGGCTACATGGGCTGTTCTCCCATAAGGCCATCCTCGAACGAGACTATCTCCCCTCCTTCATCCCACCACGAGCACTGGACGAACTTAAATCCCTCCTCGCTCTTCCCCTAGTTATCCATGGCCCACCCCTACGCATGCAATGCATCCTTACCGAACCCCTCGCCTTTAACCGGCTGCTCCTCAAGCCCGACGAGCGACCTTTCGGCACCCGCCAACACGAGCGCTTCCTGCTTGTACGACAACTCCGCATTGGACACATTGTCCGAATCACCAACTTTGACGTCTGCCCCATCTCGGCTCAGGAGTTCTGCTCCCAACTTCCGGAGGAATTCCACGACGACGCCACTCGCCTCCTCCCGGATCTCATCGAGGCCATCAAGCCCCCCTGGTGGGCCGGACTCCGATCCCCTCACTCCACCTCTGCCTCCCCGGGAGACTGGTTCATGATCTCGGATGATCACTACTCCATTTCCCACCGCGTTATCCAGGTCGTCGATTTCATCCCCCCCTCTACTGTTTCGGCTACCGTCCACCCAGTCTCGCCCAACCATCGCATCGGCCGCACCCCAATCAATACCGGACTGTTTCGTTTACAGGACCTCATCGAGGTGTACGTCAGGGAATGGTGGCTCGCAGGGCCACTCCATACAGGGACAGGTTTAGGAGCTAGGGTAGAACTTCTACAGGACGGTACCCCCAGCCTCGCCGACATCCGCCGCCTCCTTTACTCCTCACAGCCACTCACTCACCACAGTCGCTGGACCCGAGACCTCACCCTTCCTCCTCCCCCTCTCCCTGGCCTCAAGGACCCCTTCCTCAAAGACCAGCCAAGCCGCCAACGGGATATCCTCTTCAGACTCTACACACTCACTCTCCCCTCTGGATCACGCTTCCAATACTTCGACGACCGAGGAGTTTGCCCCCGATGCCCTGCTGCTGTGGTAGAAACACTGCCGCATATCTTCTTCGAATGTGCCTCTGCCGGAAACGTCATCTCTGCTCTGCGCACTGTCGCCGACCGCCACCTCGGACAAACCGCACCCGCCGAACACATCTTCTTCCCTATACAGTCACGGAACGGAAGCTCCCCACCTTGGAGCTTACTAGTCGGAGCAGCAGTCAAGACGCTGTGGAATAATCGCTGTGACCACAGGTACCGCAACTCCTCCTCCTCGAGCTTTGAGACACTGCAGTTCATCTTAGCCCAGTTCCTAATCGCTTTCAAGATCTATATGTGGAGAGGCAAACGACAATCGGCAAAGAAACGTCAGCGTATAGCATCCAGCATCAAGCGAGCGCAGAAACTCCGATTCCTTCTCTTCGACAGGACCGGCATACCCTCTATTCACCCTGACCTAAGGTTCTCTTGGCTCTTGGGAAATCCGTTCCGACCACCATAGTCACCCATTGCATAGAGCGTCTCCCCAGGCAACTGGCGGTTGTCCGCAAGGACAAGGAATAACGTGTGTTCCACGTGCTCCGCTGTGGATGCTGGCCACCTCGGCCATGTTTCTAGACTGCTCTATCGATACTCTCTGTAAATTGATTAAGATCAATATATAACCTTAGCCAAGGGGCGCAGCCAATCAGGATGGTGGAATTGATAGCTCAAACAAGCACAAGCAGGGCAACCAATCAGGGTAGGGACAACAAGAAAACGGGGGAATACAACTCGGTGATGGGATGATACAACTCGTGAGTCAAACAGTTCGTGTGCAACCCGCTTACCAACCTTAGTAGGACTGGAGCAGAGTAAGAAAATCGGTGCGACAGAACAGCTAACAACTCATTCAGTCGCTTTAGAATCCGACCATCGCACACCAGCTAGGGTTTTTTAGTGAACACAATTTACGTTACTTGAATTAGTAGGTGCAGCGCGTATATGCAAACGAAAGGAAGCGCAGGCGCAAGATTCGAGTGTGAAGCCCGGAGAAAATGGGTGTGAGGAGAAGAGAAAGGGTCGCTTTGCCTACCTCGCGACCCTCGCCCGTCGCCCTTGCTTTCTCCGCCCACTGCCCTCGCCCCGCCCGTCGCCCTTGCCGCCTCGTCGCCCGTCGCCCTCGCTTCCTCCTCCCGCCCTCGCTTCCTCCGCCAGCGCGCTTCTCCCATACCGTCGACCTCGCTTCCCTCGCCCATCCCCCTCGCTTCCCCCGCCTGTCGCTCTCGCTTTCCCCGCCTACCACACTCGCCTCTCCCTCCGCCCTCGCCGCCTCCCCGCCCGTCGCCCTCGCTTCCTCCGCCCATCTACCTCGCTTTCCCCCGCCCGTCGCCCTCACTTCCCCGCCCCATCGCTCGCCCCTTCAATCGCTGCTGCTTCCTTTTTGCAGAGGCCACTTTCCCTCTTCTCACTCTCCGTTTTCAGTCGCATCTCCCAATCCGCCCACGTCGCAACTTGCATTCCTGCCTCATGTCGTTCTCGCTGCTCAGATTCTACAGCAGTTTGCGCTCAGTCTCCCCCCACCCTTCACACCCCAGACTACGCTCGAATTTCCCCCTTGATTGCGCTCGGTTTTTCCCCCTGATTGCGCTCATTCGCCCCCCTGGTTGCGCTCGGTTTCCCCCCCTGATTGCGCTCAATTTCATTCATAAATGTCCTCCGGCATCCTCCTGCGTACCCTCCCCCCTTTTCTATCACTCCTTCACCCTCTCCCCTCTCTTTCTATCTCTGTCGATCCCTCCCCCTCTCTTTCCCTCATGTCCCCCCTCCAACCCCAATTCCTTTCCCTCCTTGCCCTCATGTTCCCCTGTTTCCCCCCCCCTGGTTCCCCTGTTTCCCCCCCCCTGGTTCCCCTGTTTCCCCCCCCCTGGTTCCCCTGTTTCCCCCCCCCTGGTTCCCCTGTTTCCCCCCCCTGGTTCCCCTGTTTCCCCCCCCCTGGTTCCCCTGTTTCCCCCCCCTGGTTCCCCTGTTTCCCCCCCCCTGGTTCCCCTGTTTCCCCCCCCCCTGGTTCACCTGTTTCCCCCCCCTGGTTCCCCTGTTTCCCCCCCCCTGGTTCCCCTGTTTCCCCCCCCCTGGTTCCCCTGTTTCCCCCCCCCTGGTTCCCCTGTTTCCCCCCCCCTGGTTCCCCTGTTTCCCCCCCCCTGGTTCCCCTGTTTCCCCCCCCTGGTTCCCCTGTTTCCCCCCCCTGGTTCCCCTGTTTCCCCCCCCTGGTTCCCCTGTTTCCCCCCCCCTGGTTCCCCTGTTTCCCCCCCCCCTGGTTCACCTGTTTCCCCCCCCTGGTTCCCCTGTTTCCCCCCCCCTGGTTCCCCTGTTTCCCCCCCCCTGGTTCCCCTGTTTCCCCCCCCCTGGTTCCCCTGTTTCCCCCCCCCTGGTTCCCCTGTTTCCCCCCCCTGGTTCCCCTGTTTCCCCCCCCCTGGTTCCCCTGTTTCCCCCCCCCCTGGTTCACCTGTTTCCCCCCCCTGGTTCCCCTGTTTCCCCCCCCCTGGTTCACCTGTTTCCCCCCCCCTGGTTCCCCTGTTTCCCCCCCCCTGGTTCCCCTGTTTCCCCCCCCCTGGTTCCCCTGTTTCCCCCCCCTGGTTCCCCTGTTTCCCCCCCCCTGGTTCCCCTGTTTCCCCCCCCCTGGTTCACCTGTTTCCCCCCCCTGGTTCCCCTGTTTCCCCCCCCCTGGTTCCCCTGTTTCCCCCCCCCTGGTTCCCCTGTTTCCCCCCCCTGGTTCCCCTGTTTCCCCCCCCCTGGTTCCCCTGTTTCCCCCCCCCCTGGTTCACCTGTTTCCCCCCCCTGGTTCCCCTGTTTCCCCCCCCCTGGTTCCCCTGTTTCCCCCCCCCTGGTTCCCCTGTTTCCCCCCCCCTGGTTCCCCTGTTTCCCCCCCCCTGGTTCCCCTGTTTCCCCCCCCCTGGTTCCCCTGTTTCCCCCCCCTGGTTCCCCTGTTTCCCCCCCCCTGGTTCCCCTGTTTCCCCCCCCTGGTTCCCCTGTTTCCCCCCCCCTGGTTCCCCTGTTTCCCCCCCCCCTGGTTCACCTGTTTCCCCCCCCTGGTTCCCCTGTTTCCCCCCCCCTGGTTCCCCTGTTTCCCCCCCCCTGGTTCCCCTGTTTCCCCCCCCCTGGTTCCCCTGTTTCCCCCCCCCTGGTTCCCCTGTTTCCCCCCCCTGGTTCCCCTGTTTCCCCCCCCCTGGTTCCCCTGTTTCCCCCCCCCCTGGTTCACCTGTTTCCCCCCCCTGGTTCCCCTGTTTCCCCCCCCCTGGTTCACCTGTTTCCCCCCCCCTGGTTCCCCTGTTTCCCCCCCCCTGGTTCCCCTGTTTCCCCCCCCCTGGTTCCCCTGTTTCCCCCCCCTGGTTCCCCTGTTTCCCCCCCCCTGGTTCCCCTGTTTCCCCCCCCCCTGGTTCACCTGTTTCCCCCCCCTGGTTCCCCTGTTTCCCCCCCCCTGGTTCCCCTGTTTCCCCCCCCCTGGTTCCCCTGTTTCCCCCCCCCTGGTTCCCCTGTTTCCCCCCCCCCTGGTCCCCCTGTTTCCCCCCCACTGGTCCCCCTGTCCTCCTCTCTCCCCCCTGTCCTCCTCTCTCCCCCCTGTCCTCCTCTCCCCCCCCTGTCCTTCCCTCACCCTCCTGTCCTCCCCTCACCCTCCTATCCTCCTCTCTTCCACCTGTCCTCCTCTCTCCCTCCTTTCCTCCTCTCTTCCCCCTGTCCTCCTCTCTTCCCCCTGTCCTCCTCTCTCCCTCCTATCCTCCTCTCTTCCCCTTGTCCTCCTCTCTCCCCCCTGTCCTCCTCTCTCCCCCCTGTCCTCTCTCCCCCCTGTCCTCCTCTCTCCCCCCTGTCCTCCTCTCTCCCTCCTATCCTCCTCTCTTCCCCTTGTCCACCTCTCTCCCCTCTGTCCTCCTCTCTCCCCCTTGTCCTCCTCTCTCCCTCCTATCCTCCTCTCTCCCCCCTGTCCTCCTCTCTCCCCCCTTTTATCATCCCTTCCTCACTCCTCTCATCCGTTCCTCCCCTCTCTCATCCCTTCCTTCCCTCTCTCAGCCCGTCCTCTCCTCACTTGTCCTTTTTCAACCCTGCTATTGTCTTCAACAGGCATGTAACTCGGAAGTGCTTGGGTGGTTTCACGACCATGTAACTCTATTTCATCGTTGCGCACTTGTGCGTTTTGTCCCAGTTCTGCGGTCACCAGTGTGTGACACTGGGCGGAAACCTGGAGGGTGCACTGTCAGCCTCTGAGCGGCTTTCTCGATATTTTTGTCTGTCTCCGTTTCCGTCTTGCTTGCCCTCTGTTTTGACTGTGCCTTTCGCTCATTTCTCCTGCTTGCACTCCGTGACTCACCTGTGTTCCCTTCCTTCCCTGTCCAGTCCTTCCCACCTTCCCTAACATTGTGAGCTTTGCTTTACAGGATGGAGCAACGAAGGACGATTTGGTTTCATTTGAGGCTACTCGGTGCCCTCATTATGCCCTCATTGATACTTTACTCAAGGTGCTGTTCATGCTGCTGTTATGGTAGCCTCAGTTAGTTTTGTTTGTAACCCTTTTACAGTAGATCAGGATACAAAACAGGCGATAAGATGTAAACCTTAGACACAGGTATACTTTATTTGAGATCTAACTAAACATGACATAAGCATGCAGTATCAGTATACAAGACAAGCTCGAACCATTACGCTGGTCTTGTGTGTTTCCATAAAGAATCTGCAAGCTGTCCCATTATGCTATGTGGCTCGTCTGGGCCATTGAGATGCTGAAAGCAGGAGCAAGCGGAGGCGGCATGTCCATGCAGGTCATCTGGGCCTCTTTCATGCTCGCCTGGGATGGTGCAGGGTGAGGGATAGGACAGGGCGGGGTGAGGGATAGGACAGGGCGGGGTGAGGGGATAGGACAGGGCGGGGTGAGGGGATAGGACAGGGAGGGGTGAGGGGATAGGACAAGGCGGGGTGAGGGGATAGGACAGGGAGGGGTGAGGGGATAGGACAAGGCGGGGTGAGGGGATAGGACAGGGCGGGGTGAGGGGATAGGACAAGGCGGGGTGAGGGGATAGGACAAGGGAGGGGTGAGGGGATAGGACAGGGCGGGGTGAGGGGATAGGACAAGGGAGGGGTGAGTGGATAGGACAGGGCGGGGTGAGGGGATAGGACAAGGGAGGGGTGAGTGGATCAGACAGGGAGGGGTGAGGGGTGACATAACACAGAGAAGGGGTGATAACACGTACAGGGCATTGAAGGGAGAGGGGGAAAGGGAGGGAGAAAGGGCACGGAGTGGAGAGAGGGAGGAAGACGGAGGCGGAATGGGGTGGGGCAGAATGGGGTGAGGCAGAATGGGGTGGGGCGGAATGGGGTGGGGCGGAATGGCGTGAGGCAGAATGGGGTGGGGCGGAATGGGGTGGGGCGGAATGGGGTGAGGCGGAATGGGGTGAGGCGGAATGGGGTGAGGCGGAATGGAGATGGGAAGGAAGAGAGGGTGGAGATGAGAAGGGAGAAAGGGTGGAGATTGGGTCGTTGCGTGTGTGTCGACAGGGGAGTGAGCGGACACGATGAGCGTGGGCGACGGAATGGAGTGAGAGCGTGCGACGTCCGGGCAGTGAGCGTGGGCGACGGATGGGGAGAGAGCGTGCGCGATGGGGAGGAGTGAGCGTGGGCGACGAGAGGGAGTGAGCGTGGGCGATGGAGGGGAGTGAAGATGGGCGATGGAGGGGAGTGAAGGTGGGCGATGGGGGGGAGTGAAGATGGGCGATGGGGGGGAGTGAAGATGGGCGATGGGGGGGAGTGAAGATGGGCGATGGAGGGGAGTGAAGATGGGCGATGGAGGGGAGTGAAGATGGGCGATGGAGGGGAGTGAAGATGGGCGATGGAGGGGAGTGAAGGTGGGCGATGGGGGGGAGTGAAGATGGGCGATGGAGGGGAGTGAAGATGGGCGATGGGGGGGAGTGAAGATGGGCGATGGGGGGGAGTGAAGATGGGCGATGGGGGGGAGTGAAGATGGGCGATGGGGGGGAGTGAAGATGGGCGATGGAGGGGAGTGAAGATGGGCGATGGAGGGGAGTGAAGATGGGCGATGGAGGGGAGTGAAGATGGGCGATGGAGGGGAGTGAAGGTGGGCGATGGGGGGGAGTGAAGATGGGCGATGGAGGGGAGTGAAGATGGGCGATGGGGGGGAGTGAAGATGGGCGATGGGGGGGAGTGAAGATGGGCGATGGGGGGGAGTGAAGATGGGCGATGGGGGGGAGTGAAGATGGGCGATGGAGGGGAGTGAAGATGGGCGATGGAGGGGAGTGAAGATGGGCGATGGAGGGGAGTGAAGATGGGCGATGGAGGGGAGTGAAGGTGGGCGATGGGGGGGAGTGAAGATGGGCGATGGAGGGGAGTGAAGATGGGCGATGGGGGGGAGTGAAGATGGGCGATGGGGGGGAGTGAAGATGGGCGATGGGGGGGAGTGAAGGTGTGCGACGGAGGGGACTGTCACGACGGGAGGGGAGTGAGCGAACGCGGCGGGAGGGAGTGAGCGTGAGCGGCGGAAGGGGAGTTGTTGAGGGCGACGGGAGGAAGTGCGCATGGGCGACGGAGGGGAATGAGCGACTGTCGGGGGTGAGCAGGGAAGCAGGGAACGGGACACGTGAAATGAGCAGAGAAGGGGATGGGGGGAAGCAGAGAAGGGGACATGGGGAAGCAGGGAAGGGGACACGAAGAATCAGGGAAGGGGATGGGGGGAAGAAGAGAAGGGGACACGGGGAAGCAGGGAAGGGGGTGGGTGGAAGCAGGGAAGGGGACACGGGGAAGCAGGGAAAGGGACACGGGGAAGCAGGGAAGGGGAGGGGGGGAAGAAGAGAAGGGGATGGGGGGCAGCAGGGAAAGGGACACGGGGAAGCAGGGAAGGGGAGGGGGGGAAGAAGAGAAGGGGATGGGGGGCAGCAGGGAAAGGGACACGGGGAAGCAGGGAAGGGGAGGGGGGGAAGAAGAGAAGGGGATGGGGGGCAGCAGGGAAAGGGACACGGGGAAGCAGGGAATGGGAGGGGGGGAAGAAGAGAAGGGGATGGGGGGCAGCAGGGAAAGGGACACGGGGAAGCAGGGAAGGGGAGGGGGGGAAGAAGAGAAGGGGATGGGGGGCAGCAGGGAAGGGGAAGGGGGGAAGAAAGGAAGGGGACATGGGGAAGGAGAGAGGTAAGCGGTGTGGAGGTGAAAGGCGATCATTAGGGGAAGGGCCACCGTGTGTGCGGGTTGGAAAGGGGGCGTGACTGGTCCGCCTGAGTTGGGAAGGGAGATGGGAGGGATGGCGAGCGTGACGGAGATGCCAGTGCGACGAGGGGAGAGAGATACGGGGATTGCGAGGGGACGAGCGGGAGGGAGGGCGATGAGCAGCAGGGAGCGCGACGAGACAAAGAGGGGCAACGGGCAGAAGGGAGCGCGGCGGGTGGTCGGGGGGGCAATGGGAGGAAGGGAGGGCGACGAGACGAAGGGAGGGCGACGAGACGAAGGGAGGGCGACGGGCGGAAGGCATGGCGACGGGCGACGGGCGGAAGGGATGGCGACGGCGGAAGGGAGGGCGACGGGCGGAAGGCGGCATGGCGACGGGCGACGGGCGGAAGGGACACCGACGGCGGAAGGGAGAGCGACGGGCGGAAGGGATGGCGACGGCGGAAGGGAGGGCGACGGGCGGAAGGCATGGCGACGGGCGACGGGCGACGGGCGGAAGGGATGGCGACGGCGGAAGGGAGGGCGACGGGCGGAAGGGAAGGTGACGGGAGGAAGGGAGGGCGACGGCGGAAGGGAGTGCGAAGAGCGCTAGGGAGAGCGACGGGCGGGAGGGAGTTTGATGGGCGTAAGACACAGTGACAGGTGCATTGGAGTGCAGGCACGCGGAAGGGAGTGCGACGGACGGAAGCGGGTGCGTCGAACGTACATGTGAGGCAAGCGTCCGATCCTTTCGCTTCGAACGTACATACATGCGCCATCGTCCCTATAGAGGTGGGCGTGACGCGGCATGACGTTTTTCTTTATGCTAGCTAATGCGTTTTTTGTTGTTGGCCAAAACAAACTGGCTGCTGCAAGGATACAGACATCTCGCTGCCATTGTCCACGTGAGATCTTACGCCCTTCAGTGGTCCTGAAGAGCGCAGCGCACTAGTATCTTAGGCTCAATATGGTTGCACATTAGTACAACTTGGTTTTCAAGTTTACTGAATGTGAATAGTGCTCCAACTCCCCTTCACACTTCACGCGGAGTACGTGTTTTGTCGCTGGCCAATCAGCTGTCAGAGTGGTGAAGTCACCTCCTCTGGGAGGCGACGGGAAGCTTTCCATCGGGTGGTTACCTGGTTTTTGGCGAGTTCATATTCAAGAATCTTGAATTTGAAAAGCGCCATGTGGAACTCGGGCTTTAAAGGTGAAAGACAAAAAACACAATAAGAAACCATGGTGGAAATCAGTACTAAGTAACATACCACTATACAATTTGTAGAAAGTTAGAAACATAATCTTCACTTCCATTGGACAGAGCACCAAAACAGCTCAAGGCACAACCCTTCGTACCCCTCAAACAGTCTCAGTAACCGCCACCATAACCACGTGCCCCCGGCTGCCCTCTCCTGTCCAGGGCCCTCGCAGCAGACCCAGGCACTGCTGCTCCCCCATATGGTGCTGCCCCTGCCCCTCCCGCCCCCCCATATGCCCCTGCTGTCCCCCCTGCCGCTCCCCCATACATTCCCGCCCCGGCTCCTCCCGCACCTCCTCCTGCTGCTGCTCCATATGCCCCTCTCCCTCCCCCTGCTCCTCCCCCATACCCGCCTCCCTCATATGACCCTCTCAGCCCAGCTGTCCTTGGCGTCCCCCCAACCCCCGGCCCCACCCCACCACCACCACCAGCACCACCAGCCGCTGCTCCCGGCCTGTACCCATCCCCAACAGCGGCCGCAGCAGCAGCAGAAGACGCAGCACCAGCAGCTCTAGCCCGGGCAGCAAGGGCAGCAGTAGTATCAGGCACAGGGAGAATGGCGGAGTAGGCGCGGGTGGCACTGGAGCCGGAGGAGGAGGAGATGGTGGACTGCGCGCCGTGGATGGTGGAGGCATTGTCGTACGCGCCCGAGGGGGAGGCGTGCAGGGAGTCGTCGGGCAGGCGCAGGCCGAAGCAGAACACGTTCACCCGCGTGCGCCTCAGCTCCCCCGGCAGCAGATCCGCTGACAGACTGTCCGCTATGCCCTGGTGGCAAGAACAGGGAGGGTTAGGGGAGGACGAGAGGGAAGCAAGGATCGAATTGGACAGCTATACTTTGACGTAGGCGTTTCAGTTTGGCAGTAGGAGAGCATAAAGGTTCACATTTCTGTGATAAGACGACTAACCTTGAGCTGCTCGGGTGTCTGCGGCGTGGGGATGTCCCTCTCCTCGCCCCACTCCCCCGACCGCATCCCGCCGCCCCGCGACAGCTGGCGCTCGTAGCTGGGGCGGTCGTCGGGCGGCGGGCCGGCGGCAGCGATGGATTGCATGGTGCGGTGCAGCAGCATGTCGCGCAGCTGGAATATTATGTCGTCCAGTGAGGGCGAGGCGAACGGCTGTAGCACCGCTTGGAAGTAGTCCAGCTGCACAGGGAGGGTGGGGGAAGAGGGGAGGAGATGGATGAGAGAGGATGAGGATTGGAGGTGCAGCAGCATGTCGCGCAGCTGGAATATTATGTCGTCCAGTGAGGGCGAGGCGAACGGTTGTAGCACCGCTTGGAAGTAGTCCAGCTGCACAGGGAGGACAGTGGGTGGGGGAGATGGAAGGAGAGGGAGAGACGGGGAGGGGGGGGGGCAAAGAGGAGGAAGTGGGGATGGAAGAGAGAAGCTGAAGCTGATTTCGTCCAATGAGGGCGACACAAATGGCTGCAGCACCACCTGAACGTAAATCCAGCTGAAGGAAGGGTGGAGGGGAGGAGATGGAAGGGATGAGATGGAGAGGCGGGATAGAGGTTACACAATGGAAGGATGCACTAGGACACAGGGGTTACGGCGGCAGTGGTGGATGTGAGACAGGTGCTCTCGAAACAGAGGTCTGCAGAAGTGCAGCGACGGTATGAGCGCAGGCAGCAGCAAGGGCGGACCTCAAGGGAGAGCTGGCACAAGGCATTGGCGTCGAGGCGCTGCAGGTCCTCGTGCTGGAAGGCCACCTGGTGCAATGCGTCCATTAATTCCTCTGCTAGCGTGTTGATGGCTCGGTTCACACATGGGCTGCACCCCGCTGATACCTGGCAGGCAGAGGCAGAGGCAGAGGCAGAGACGGACCTCAAGGGAGAGCTGGCAGAAGGCGTTGGCGTCGAGCTGCTCCAGGTCGGCGTGCTGGAAGGCCACCTGGTGCAGCGCGTCCATTAGGCCCTCCGCTAGCGTGTTGATTGCGCGGTCCACAAATGGGCTGCACCCCGCTGATACCTGCTCGCACAGACAGGAGTAACATGTGAGTGAACGCGGAAGTCACGGCGTGCTGGAAAGCCACCTGGTGCAGCGCGTCCATTAATTCCTATGCTAATGTGTTGATGGCGCGGTCCACAAATGGGCTGCACCCCGCTGATACCTGCTCGCACACGCACACAGGTGTGACGGGTGATGGAGCGGGTGGAGAGGAAAGGGATGATGAAAGGGCGCTCTTACACTGTTTGTCCGGGGCTGCTTGGGTAGTACTAGTAGAGAGCGTTTTGTGGAAGGCAGAAGTTAGCCATGCATGTGGGATTCTTATGACGGAGAGGGTGGGGGTTGAGGCAGGAAAAGGGTGGAACGTGCGGGGCATGGCGTTTGGTGTGGAGTGGTGGGAGAGAGGGGGAGGTAGCAAGGCACTGATGGGGGGCAGCAGAGGGTGATGGGAAGATGGGCTGACCTCAGCATGCACGGCGACGAGAGGCAGGATGAGATCCAGAGCCGAGTCCCGCAGACCCTGCATGCATGGCATGTTCACAAGGCGCCAACAGTGGAATGGACCAAAAGATGGATGCCATGATGACATGAGGTTCCCCTCCCATCAGCTGTACCCCTCACACACGCACATGCATGCATGCCCAACCATGCCATCGTGTGCCAGAGCTCACATGCGACATCCATGAGCAACAGAGCCCGGTTGGTTTCACGGATGCAGTACAGCAGTACAGCAGCGAGCACAAGCAGAAGCAACCCGCAACTGCTGCTGCAGCACATGCTAACACAAGCACCAAAGCTCGAGAACCCAGTGTTCAACACACAAGCCTCGATCACTCCAAACCTGAAGAGCCCTCAAAACTGGTCCAATTTAACAGGGCGAGCAGCAGCGCACCTTGACAGGAGGCGCAGCGGCCCAGGAGGTGCCGTCCTCAAGGAAGTATCGGATAACAGCCATGCCCAGGTGCTGCGCCTTGGCCGCGATGTACTGGTCGCCCACTGCTGTCTCCGCCTCCACAAACACGCGCTCCACGTCTGCCAGCAGCTGCTCCACCTCGCTTAGAGCCGGGGGGGTGTAGCCCGGCCTAGATGCTGTTGGGGCTGATGCACTGACGAGCACGGGAAGAGTGTGTGGGGAGGGAGTGGGGGGGTGGGGGGGAGGGTAGAATGAGGGGAATGTGTCTCGGCCTCCACAAACACGCGCTCCACGTCTGCCAGCAGCTGCTCCACCTCGCTCAGTGCTGGCGGGGTGTAGCCTGGACGGGTGGCTGTTGGCGCTGATGCACTGGTGTGGGCGAGGGAGGGACGGGAGGAGGAGGGTACGGGAAGGGGGGAAGCAGAGGGGAGGAACAGGAAGGGGGAAGTGGACGGGGGAAAGGGGAGGGGGGTGAAGGGGAGGGTGGTTGTGGGGAAGCAGACACAGGTGGGAAGGAGGGACGAACGGCTTTCCTTGAAGGACACGTTACACCTTGGGTCTCACATGTGCTGCCAGCCCTCTGTCAGGTCCTCTGCCTGCCATCCCAGCCCAGGCGCTCAACCCTCTCTCACCTCACCTCACCCCACCCAACCCCACCCCACCCCACCTGACCGCACTCCACCGCTGAGCACCTGGGGTCGTTCCAGAGGTGCTGGTAGCGCTGGGCGAGGTCACGCGCCACAACAGAGCGGCAGAAGCCGGCGTTGCTGAGCAGCATGAGGATGCGCTGGTGGGGGTTGCCCACCTCCACGCCCTGCTGTAGCCCCTCAAACTGCGGCGCCCCGCCCGCCCCCTCTCCACCCCCTTCCTCCTCGCCCTCCGTCCCCTCCTCCCCCTCGGGCGGGGCGGATCCGTCTGGCAGCTGCTTCGCCATCTGCCCCAGCGCCTCTGGTGGGGGGGGGGGAGGAGCAAGGAGGAAACGGGGGAGAGGCATGGGGAGGGGATGGTGAGGGGGGAGAGCGTGAGAGGGTGAGCGGGGGAGAGTGATGCCCCGTGGGGAGTGGATCCGTCTGGTAGATGCTTGGCCATCTCCAGCAGCGCCTCTGGGGGATGAGGAATGGGGAAACGGGGGAGAGGGAGGGGGAGGGCGAAGAAAAGAGTGAGAGGAGGAACGAGGAAAGAAACACCGTGACTTACTGCATTCATTGATCGATGAATGACTCGTACAAGGTGATCCGAGTAGACCCATGAACGCATCGCCACACCTCTGCTGTCTCGTGAGCCGATGCAAGCTCATGAGGGTCGAATACGAACGAGTCCAGCTCCCAACTAAGCTCACCGCATGCATCGACAAACGACTCGTAGAAGGTGGTCTTGACCGACGCATACATCCGCCACACCTCTGCTGTCTCAGGAGCTGATGCACAGCCCATGAGAGATGAATACGATTGACTCCCAACTCCCAACTCAGCTCACCGCATGCATCCACAAAGGACTCGTAGAAGGTGGTCTTGACCGACGCGTACATCCGCCACACCTCCGCCGCTGCCACCGCCTGCGCTGCTGCTGCATCCGACCCGCTCGCCACTGGGATGCTGGGGCCGTCCTTTGACAGCTGCGCCAGGGCCCTGCGGGATGGGAGGGGCGGACGGACGGGGAGGGAGGGAACCGGGGAGTGTTACACATGGAAAACGAAATCTGTGGCTGCCTGTGCTGCTGCTACAGCTGACCCGCTCGCCACTGGGATGCTGGGGCCGTCCTTTGACAGCTGCGCCAGGGCCCTGTGTCATGTGAGGAGCAAGACGGAGGGTGGGAAACGGAGAGTGTTGGAAATGATGCAGGAGACATGCTCTCAAGGGTGATGCAGCCAAGGTGCAATGCCTCAGACAAGACCTGCCAGGGCAGACAGACAGTACAGCACTGTGACGGCCAGTCCCTCTTCCCCACTCACTGTGACGGCCAGTCCCTCTTCCCCACTCACTGTGTGATCTGGTCCAAGGCAGCCCCCACAGTATCTCCAAAGCGCACGGGGAAGTGCGAGATGTCAAACTCGGAGCCCTTGATGAGGTGCGCGGGCGCCGGCACCCACTCCTCCTGCCGAGCCACGTCCCCCGCTGCCCCGCGCATGATGAAGCACAGCTGCCGCACAAAGCGGGCCGTGATGGTGATGCGGAACTGGTGCAGCGCTTGCACTGGGGGTGGGGGTTTGGGGGGGGGAGAAAGACAGAAGGGGAGGAGAGGGGCAGACAGAAGGGGGGGTTGTCCAGTTGCAAGGAGGGGCGGTGGGAGGCAGAGACAGGCTGCCACATGCACGGCCGGCCGCAACCCTGCTGCTCTCTAAGACTGTGGGCTAATTATAACAGTCACCCGCCTGTCTCAAAGGCTGCACACTCACCTGCCAGGGAAGGAGCCGCCTCGGCCGCAGCAAGGCTGGACGACGCCTGGACGACAGGCGTGGGGGCGCAGCTCAGCTCCCGGCTGCTCTCCCAATCGTGAGCCTGACAGGCTGACACTCACCTGCCTTCCTGAGAGGCCTCGCACCTGCTAGAGGAGGAGCCGCTTCGGCAGCAGCAAAGGCCAACGGCGCCTGGGCGACAGCGGTGATGGCCTGCAGCATGTGGGGGCGCAGCTCCCGACTGCTCTCCTAGTCGTGAACCTGACACTCACCTGCCTGCCTCAAAGGCCCACTCACGCACGCACCTGCCAGGGGAGGTGCTGCCTCCGCAGCAGCAAAGGCGGACGACGCCTGGGCAACAGCGGTGACGGCCTGCAGCATGTGGGGGCGCAGCTCGCGGCTGCTCTCCTAGTCGTGACCCTGACACTCACCTGCCTGCCTCAAAGGCCCACTCACGCACGCACCTGCCAGGGGAGGTGCCGCCTCCACAGCAGCAAAGGCGGACGACGCCTGGGCAACAGCGGTGACGGCCTGCAGCATGTGGGGGCGCAGCTCGCGGCTGCTCTCGAGCGCCGTGAAGGCGTCTGTGACGTGGCCCTCAAACACGCCCACGATGCCCATCACCATCGCCACCCCCTCCATCTGTGTGTGCTTGCGGTACGGGCCCCCTGTTCCTGCCCCGCCCCCGCCCTGGTTGGAGAGGCCCGAGTTGGAGCGCGGTAAGGGCGGCTTGGCTCCGTATGCCCCTGCGTAGGGGTACGCTGCTGCTGCCTGTGGAGTGCAGGGAGGAGGTGGGAGGGTGGCAGGAGGTGGTGGGGAAAAGGAAAGCAAGAGGGAAATAAGGGTACTGGAATGAAAGGATGCGCTACAGCTGTGCGCAAAGCGGCATTCTCTCGCCGTCCTGTCATCGCTCATTCTTCCGGCACACCCATCCACACAACTTGTATCAGGCAGTGCACACCACAACCAGCACCCTTCCTCTCGTTCTACTACCTTCTCCCCCTCCACTAACGGCCACATTCTTCATAACAAATCACCAGAATTTTCCAGGAAAAACAATGTGACAGACTTTCAGACGTCTCAAATGTCTTGTTGAAAACTACACAGGGACCAGCTTGTCTTTGAAGAAGTTGACGAACTTGCCAGTGAAGATGCCCAGCATGGCCTTCTGTGTTGTGAGGCGCTAAACAACCATCCACTCGCAAGCACCCACCCATGCTGTCACGCACCGGAGTGTCCTTGGAGAAGTTGGAGAACATGCCGGTGAAGATACCCTGCATGACCTGTTGTGTTGTGAGGCACCTAGACAACCCTCCACTCGCTCGCACCCAACCACAAACCCATCCATTCGCACATGCACCGGTGCATCCTTGGAGAAGTTGGCGAACTTGCTTGCCGGTGAAGATGCCCTGCATGACCTTCCACAGCCGCGGCAGCTGCTGCTGCAGCTCACCCACCCACACATCCACACACACACACACCTATGAGCACACACCCATGCTCGCACCCACCGGAGTCTCTTTGGAGAAGTTGGCAAACTTGCCGGTGAAGATGCCCAGCATGACCTGTTGTGTTGTGAGGCACTTAAACAACCCTCCACTCACTCGCCCCACCCACACACGCACCCACACACACACCCATCCATTCACAAACGCACCGGAGTCTCTTTGGAGAAGTTGGCAAACTTGCCGGTGAAGATGCCCAGCATGACCTTCCAGAGCTGCGGCAGCTGCTGCTGCAGCACGGCGGCGAGGCGGCACACGAGCAGCGCGTGCTGCTGCTGCACCTCCTCCTCCTCCTCCCCATCCAACACGTCCTCCGCCTCCTCCTGCTCCTCCACCTCCCCGTTCAGGAATGCCGCCAGCCCCGGCTCCAGCTGAGGGGTCAAGTGAGGGGCAGAAGGGGAGGAGTAAGCAACAAGAGGGAATGGAGAAGGTCAGTGCGCCTGTCGCCTCCTCCTGCTCCTCCACCTCACGGTTCAGGAGTGCCACTAGGACCGACCCCCTTCCCCCGCCCCACCCACCCTCCCACCTTCTCATGGGGGTTGCGCTGCAGCAGGCGCCACTGGTGCTCTTCCTCCTCCTCCTTGCTTCTCCTGCCGCCTACCCTGCCCTTCCCTTTCACACTGTGATTTCCCTTCCCAACCCCGCCCCCTGCTCTCCCACCCACCTACGCACCTTCTCATGGGGGTTGCGCTGCAGCAGGCGCCACTGGTGCTCCTCCTCGCGCTTCTCCTGGCGGCGCCGGCGAATGCCCTGCACGCGGCGCTCATGTTGCTGCACGCACGCCTCCAGCAGCCCTCGAATGCGCCGCTCCCGCATGCCCACGTACTGCCACACGGGGTCGCTGTCTGGGTCGATCTCTAACAGCAGCCGGATGGCGTTCTCTACCTGAGAAGAGGAGGTCAGGGAGGGGATTCATGCATGAGTCACGCTCCCGCATGCCCACGTACTGCCACACCACACCACACCACACCACACCACACCACACCACACGGGGTCGCTCTCCGGGTCGATCTCCAACAGCAAGCGGATGGCGTTTTCTTCCAGGCAGGCAGGCAGGCATAAAGGAGGGTGAACAAAGATGTGAGTAAGGAAAGGAGTGAACGCTCCCGCATGCCCACGTACTGCCACACCACACAGGGCTGCTATCCGGGTCGAACTGCAGCTGCAGCTGAATGGCGCTCTCCACCTGCGGGGAAGAGGGCAGGGAGGGAGGGCGTGGGGGAGGTGACCAGTGAAGTGAACCGACTGTTGCAGCAGGCGAATGGCAATCGCATCTGAGAAAAGAAACGGAGGAACAGAGGGGAGACACTTGGCTCAGATAGGGGAGTGCTGAGACTTGAGCTGTGAAACCTCAACCAAACAATACCAACGATATTCTGTGTGCATCTACCCCACCCTTCCGCAAGGGTGTTGTACCTGCTCGGATGGTTCTGCCTTGAGACATGGTGAACTCACGGTGGCGGGCGGGGCGTTGGGGTCGCTCATCTGTGCGTACAGGATGCGGCTGAACTCGTCCACCACCTTCTCCACCTCCTCGTTCACCCTCCTCAGGATGTTCGACTGGTGGCGCGAGAGGTGAAGGGGTGGTGGGGGGAAGGGACAGAGGCGAAGGGTGGGAGAGACACGGAAACGACGGACGGAGAAGTTAAGCTGTTCAGGCGAATAAACGGCGAAGGGAAGAGGGGTGCACATCGAACGTGATTACATGTGAGAAGCATGTTCATTGCCGCTGGGAGGGACTCACAGGCCCAGTGAGCGAGATGGACTTGGCCTTGAGATATTCATGCACGGCGCTGCCGTACCCGTGCTTGCGCAGGTGATGCGTGGAAAGCATGTTGCTTGTTCTGAGACTCACATGTGGGAGCTGAAAGGCATGTCCATCGGTTTGAAACTCACATGGCCAGTGAGCGAGATGGACTTGGCCTTGAGGTACTCGTGCACGGCGCTGTCGTTGCGCAGGTGAGGTATGAGATGCATGTCATCATTCTGAGACGCACTTCATCGTTCTGAGAGAGAGTGACTCACGTGGCCGGTGAGCGAGATGGACTTGGCCTTGAGGTACTCATGAACGGCGCTGTCGTACTCGTGCTTGCGCAGGTGGGCGCGGATGGCGGATGGCATGTTGAAGAGCGTGCGGAACCGCAGCAGCAGCCCCTGCACTGACTGGATCCGCTGCACTTGCGCCTGGAGAGGGAGAAGGTCCATGGATGGGTGGCATGAATGAGGAGGAGGGAAGGGGAAAAGGGGAGTATGGAGTGTGAGGCAAGGACCAAGCGCAGCAGCAGCCCCTGCACCGACTGGATGCGCTGCACTTGCGCCTGGCTTAGGGGGGGGGGGAGGTGGGTGTGGGTGCATGGGTGGCGTGAGAAACAGGGATGGGAAAAAGGAGTATAGGAGCATGCTCAGCAGCGCCCCTGCACCGACTGGACGCGCTGCACTTGCACGTGTCGTGGGGGGCGGGGGGTGGGCACACGGGTGGGGAGAGAAGAGACAGGAAGTTGCATGAATGAGAGGGGGAAAGAGGAAGGATGAGAAGTGGGCACAGGGAATGGAGCACCAGAAGAGCGGGCGACCAAACTGGGACGAGGAACAAACGAACAGAAATTGGCACGAGGCCAATGGAAGCAGCACGAGCAACACAGCACCACAGAAGCAGCAGCAGAAGGCAAGAATTGATAGGAGGCAAACGCACTCGGCGTTCGAGCAGCGGGCCGAAGGCGGTCTTGGAGTGGTGGTCCACATTGAAGATGGCCGCTGCCAGTGTGTCCAACGCACAGTCCCTCTTCATTGACGCTAGCCCGCGCTCGATGTCTGCAGCACACATGCACACATGCATGATAGAGAGGCATGCGTGGAAGGGGGGGAGAGACAGCTGTCTTGGAGTGGTGGTCCACATTGAAGATGGCGGCTGCCAGTGTGTCCAACGCACAGTCCCTCTTCATTGACGCTAGCCCGCGCTCGATGTCTGCAGCACACATGCACACATGCATGATAGAGAGGCATGCGTGGAAGGGGGGGAGAGACAGCTGTCTTGGAGTGATGGTCCACGTAGAATATGGCGGCTGCCAGTGTGTCCAACGCACAGTCCCTCTTCATTGACGCTAGCCCGCGCTCGATGTCTGCAGCACACATGCACACATGCATGATAGAGAGGCATGCGTGGAAGGGGGGGAGAGACAGCTGTCTTGGAGTGATGGTCCACGTAGAATATGGCGGCTGCCAGTGTGTCCAACGCACAGTCCCTCTTCATAGACGCCAGCCCCCGCTCGATGTCTGCATGCGAGCATGAGCACAACGTGGAGGGAGGGGAGCGAGGGTGAGAGGGGTGAGAACGGCGAGTTGGAAGAGGGGTGGGGAGAATGGAATGGAGAGCACAACACAAGAGACGAACCAGGCACACAGCTGTGAATCACCTTGAAGTGCACCCGCGCTCCATGAAAGAGCTTGTCAGGTCACACTTGCACTCCCTAGCCTCACATCCACCATTACTGATGGCCTTGCAGGAGATGAGATGCAGCACGCATGGACCGTTGATGGCGGTTTTGCAGGAGACGAAACACTGACCCACCATTGATGGTGGTTTTGCAGGAAACTCCAGCACCGGCCCACCGTTGATGGTGGTTTTGCAGGAGATGCAGCACCGACCCACCGTTGATGGTGGTTTTGCAGGAGATGCAGACTCACGCACCGTTGATGGTGGTTTTGCAGGAGATGCAGACGCACGCACCGTTGATGGTGGTTTTGCAGGAGATGCAGACTCACGCACTGTTGATGGTGGTTTTGCAGGAGATGCAGACTCACGCACCGTTGATGGTGGTTTTGCAGGAGATGCAGACTCACGCACCGTTGATGGTGGTTTTGCAGGAGATGCAGACTCACACACCGTTGATGGTGGTTTTGCAGGAGATGCAGACTCACGCACCGTTGATGGTGGTTTTGCAGGAGATGCAGACTCACGCACCGTTGATGGTGGTTTTGCAGGAGATGCAGACGCACGCACCGTTGATGGTGGTTTTGCAGGAGATGCAGACTCACGCACCGTTGATGGTGGTTTTGCAGGAGATGCAGACTCACGCACCGTTGATGGTGGTTTTGCAGGAGATGCAGACTCACGCACCGTTGATGGTGGTTTTGCAGGAGATGCAGACTCACGCACCGTTGATGGTGGTTTTGCAGGAGATGAAGCAGTCAAAGTTGTTCTGCACGAGGCGCTTGAGCTGCTCCTTCTCGCGCTGCATCGTCTCGCCCAGCTTCTCCCGCCCCTCCTCCAGCTCGCGCGCACTGCTGCCCCCGTGCACCACCGTCAGGTACAGCATCGGCTCAAACGCCTCGTCCAGATTCACCAGCATCTCTGCATGTGGGCGCAAGAGGGACGGTGACAGGCATATGCGTCCAGGGTTAGGTAGCACACAATGAACCCTCCAGCCATGCCCTGTCACGCACACCCATGTGCCATGTAAACACACACAGAATCCCATGCACATGTAACACACGAATGTCAGCAGCAAGCAAGAATGGAGAGACATGCCAATATCAACAGTATCCATGTAAGCACTCTCTACCTAGGGTCACAGCATTCGCCTGGACAGCCCCACAGCAGCCTGAATGAACATCACTGACCTGGGTGGAGGGATTGGTCAGGTGCAGCCTTGCCCTTGTCGTAGCGGCTCTGCAGACACATGTGCTCCACGTCTAGCGGCCTGCCGCAAGGCTCATGCACACACCAACCACATGCGCATCAGCCTGAATGAACAGGCGCTGACCTGGGTGGAGAGAGCGGTCAGGTGCAGCCTTGCCCTTGTCGTAGCGGCTCTGCAGACACATGTGCTCCACGTCTAGCGGCCTGCCGCAAGGCTCATGCACACACCAACCACATGCGCATCAGCCTGAATGAACAGGCGCTGACCTGGGTGGAGAGAGCGGTCAGGTGCAGCCTTGCCCTTGTCGTAGCGGCTCTGCAGACGCATGTGCTCCACGTCCAGAGGCCTGCCTCAGGGCTCATGGCACACGCGCACACCAACACCCACGAGCACATGTGTGGAGAGAAAAAGACACACATTGGTGGGGAAATGAACGGTAAGAGGCAGCGGAGCGGAGGGGTAGGCAAGAGAGGAAGTCAGAGCAGGTGGGAGGGAAAGTGGCAGGCAACAGCAGCGGGGAGGTGGAGTGAGGATGCACATGAACGGGCAAGGAGGCAGCGTGTGGGAGGGATGCAAGGAGGGAGGGTAAACGGAGAGCAGTCAGCCAGCCAATGTCTGGGAAGGAAGGCATGATGTGTCAATTATAATCCACTGGACTGGACTGTCTGCGAGCGACAGCACTCTTGCAGCCCCTCTAGGGGATGAAAGCGCATGTCGATGCTTGTAAGTGCATGACAGCGCAGGCATGGTGCTGAGTCTTTGACATGACACGGAGCACTCACCCCAGGCCGAGCGGGTCCACGATGGTGGAGCCCAGCGGCTCGTCCGTGCTGCCCTGAGACACTGCCTGCGAGGGGCCTCTCGAAATTGCACGGCGAAGCTCGAACGTGCATGACAGGGCGGCACACGATGTTGAGTCTTGCCTTGGGACAGAGACAAGAGCACTCACCCCAGGCCGAGCGGGTCCACGATGGTGGAGCCCAGCGGCTCGTCCGTGCTGCCCTGAGTCACTGCCTGCGACCGCACATTCGCCCGCCCGCCCAGCGCTGCTCGCAGCTCCCGCACCTTCCGCATCAGCTGCCCTCTCCAAGGCGCGTGTGCGTGAGTGAGTGGGAGAGTGAATGAGTGGGTAAGTAAAACAGTAATCGTGAGAGAGAGGGGGGGATAGGGAAGGTGCTGTTAAAAAGATGAACAAGGCATTAATCCCAGCTCAATGGTTGTCCTCACACACTCGCTCAGTGCCACACAGCCGCACAAGCCCCGTGACCCCCCAAACCAGCCACAGGAAAGGAACCCACACCCTTCCCCACCACCAATGCACGAACCGCATGCCCTCGCAGCAGAATGGCCCTGCATTCACCAACTCTGCTCCCAACATCCCTCGGTCCGCCCAGTCACGAGTTCCTTCCTGCCTCGCACCTCTCAGGGCAGCGAGACTGCTGAATGCACTGAGCCTGGAGCGCACTGCCACTCACCGCGTCCTCACCGACTTGGTCCCACGACGCCGGCTCTCCCCCGTCGACCAACTCCAAGGCTCCGTACCGCCGCGTCCCCATCCGCGTTAGAGCGCGTGACGATTCCCACTGCACACGTGGATTCCATCCATTGGTGGAGCGTCATGAGGTGCATAACAGTAGGATTTATTTTTTCAGAGGGCATTAAGGAAGTCATATGATTGGCAGACGCGTAAGGAAAGGGGTCTGAGATTGCACCTTCGCCGGCGCGCGCGGCGTGATCGCCGGGACGCTCGGGCCGCGTTCATCGTCTTCGTCCGACGAGATGCTCAGAATCTCGTCGTCGTCCGAATCGTCGTCGTCGTCGTCGTCGTCGTCGTCGTCCGCCTTTACGTCGCGAGCTAACTTACTCGCTTGCTGGCTAGACGCGCTCTGCGATGCGGCGCCGCGTGGCGCGGCAGACGAGCCGCTACGGGCAAAGCGGCTCGCCTTATCTCGTCCGGCGAGCCTGCCCAGGAGCGAGTAGCGTTTTTCCGACGGCTTGCCGCCTCGCGACACGGCGCGCACGAGCGACGACATGCCGAGAGACGCTGCGCGCAGTTACGACGCAGAACACGCTCTTACGATGTGAATGCTAACATATAAGACCTTACGGATGCTCTGAGCACGAAAATGCAAACATGGGACGCCAACGACGGTCTACGGAATGAATGCGAGCATGAGACGTTACAGAAGCTCTAAGGATGCGACGCAGGGCTCGCTAATGCTTCGCAATGAGAAAGCCCCGCGTGTCCGGCGTGCAGAACTCTCTCTCCAGAATCAGTGAAAGGATCGAGTCCTGCAGATGAGCTCACAAGCAAATCAGACAGCAGAAGCCCACGAGTTTAGTTCAGTTCATTGCCGTGAAACGCTGGTGTGCTGCAGTTTCAGGGATGCTCTTGAAAGCGTTTGTCAGATGGCATGGCAATCTCAAGGCTTCGCCAGAGAGTGACGAATTGCTCTGTTTCCAAAGGTGCTGCTGTACACTTTTGTAAAATTCTGAATTCAACAGAGCACCGCAAAGAGTTGAACCAAAACCCAAAGGCAATGTCAATTACAGTACCCAAACCACTCCCAAGGCTGGTGGTAATGCCTCGGGAAAATCGGTGTTTTGGCGGAACCAAGCTGAAAAGCCAGAGGTGTGACTGTAGCGGGAGCATTTTCAGTGGTGCTTGGTTGTAGACTGGTGTAGTTGAGTTGAAACATCACATGCTGCTAGCTCGCGTATTTTTATGTCAGCCATTGTGTCGTCGCTGTCCGCAGCAAATCATTAGTTTACAGCTTCCGTGGGAGCAAATATCGCGTATCCGGGGGAGAAACGGTCATTAGGCTCCGTAATTAGGTTTGACCTTTATATTTCGCTCTTCCTGGAGCACCTGCAGCTGGCGTTCTGTTTCGATTCCTGACATTACTCCCCAAGCTTAGGTCTTTCTGCGAGTGCCTCGCGCCGCCATGGACGACGAGGAGCCCGAGCGCTTAGGAGGCCGCACCTCGTCGCTCACGCATAAAGTCACTTCCACCGCTTCCGCCGCCGCCGCAGCCGCCGCTGCCGCCGCGCGCGGAGCCACGCAGTCCCTTTCCGCTGGCGAAGGCCGGTCGAAACGCTCCGCGACGGTGGGAAGCGGAAGGTCCACGGAAGCTTCGGATGCGACGAGCTCCATGCGACGAGCTGCGACGGGTGCGCTGGCGTCGAAAATCGCACAGCCGCAGCAGGCGGCAAAGAACCTCGTGAAAGTTTTCGCCAAGGCGAAGGGCGGCGTGGGGAAGCGCATTGCGCGCGCGCAGACGGCTGTCCGCGCGCGCACGGGGATTGGGCGGCGGGGCGGAGCGCAGGACGGGGATGGGGGGGAGGAGGAGGAGGATGAGGAGGAGGACGACGATGACGACGATGAGTCAGAAGCCGAAGACTCGGACGCCGAGGGCGGCGCGGGGTCGTCCGACGACGAAGAGAAGCCCAAGGAGGCTTCTGGCAAGGTGAGCACAGGGGAATTGTGACGGGGATGTCTCAGAAGCAATGGCGGTCCCAACCAAATCCAGTCGTGACTGTCCTCCTGCAAGTCCGTGGTTGATCATTGCGTGCGACCTCCCCTAGTTTTTGGAACTGTCACCGTGTGAGGCTTACTGGTAACTGGACACTGCGAGACTGTCTCCACCGCGTGTCTCTCTCCTCTCCTCGCCCTCTGTCTCTTCTGCAGGGAGGGAAGTTTCTTCGCAGCTTGCCGTCGCGGCGCATATCGATCTATAACGCGGATGGCTTTATGATGGACGATGAGGATGCGTCGGAGTGGAGCATGGTCAACGAGGACGTGGTGAGTCAACGAGGACGTGGTGAGTCACGGACGGTCAGGATGCATCGGTTGCTTGAGTCTGTGAGTTGATGGATGGCCAAGATACATTCTAATGCAGCGTGGCTACTCTCACAGCATGAGGTATCCGTCTCAGTCCATGTAAGTAAGGCTCTGTGCGCCATTCATCTCTACTTCTTCCAATGCATCTACCCTAATTCTGCTGGTCCGTCCCACTCTGTACGCTATGCTGGCCGCAAAGGTCCTGAGCTGCGCCTCCTGCCTTCGCCTCTCTGCCACACTGCACCGCACCGCACGCCCCCTCACCTCACCTTCCCTCCTGCTGCACGTCCCGTCCTCTTGCCACATCCCTCTACCCTCGCTTCTCCCCACCCCACTCCCCCCTTTCATCTGCCCCACAAGGTGCGAGAGCCGCTTGCAATAGAGCAATTTCCCCACACCTCATATTCCTCTTTCCCCCTCCCACCTTCCCCCTCCCCCCCCCCCTTTTCCCTTCCCCCCCAGCTGGTGCGCAAGGTGCACGAGCTGAGGGGCGACTTTGCGTCCGCCACGCCACCAACGCGCCCGCCACTCATTGTTTACATCCTCTCCCCTCCAACCCCTCCCCCCTCCCACCTCCCCCCTTCCTCCCGCCCCCCCCCTTCCCACTCCTCCCCAGTTGGTGCGCAAGGTGCGCGAGCTGAGGGAGCTGAGGGGCGACTTTGCGTCCGCCACCAACGCGCCCGCCACCAAGTCCGCGCTTGAAGGACTCGGCCTCTCCGAACTCAACGACCCGCTTGGCTACGGGTGAGAGATGCGGTGCGGTGTGGGTGGTAGATATGGGTGCACTGGTAGGGAGGCCACCAATGCGCCCGCCACCAAGTCCGCCCTTGAAGGACTCGGCCTCTCGGAGCTCAACGACCCCCTTGGCTACGGGTGAGCCGTGCGGTGCAGTGCGGTGCGGGTGGTAGTTGCGGATTCTCAGGTAGGGACGCCACCAACGCACCCGCCACCAAGTCCGCCCTTGAGGGGCTCGGTCTCTCCGAGCTCAACGACCCCCTTGGCTACGGGTGAGCCGTGCGGTGCGGTGCGGTGTGGGGCAGGTGATGATTATTGTTGGGGGGGCCACCAACCCGCCCGCCACATGCTATGGCGATTTGGGCGAACAGGTATACGATATGGGCATGCCATGTTCCTCCTATTCCGCTCATCTTCCCCACTTTGCTGCCCCCCTCCTCCCTGCTTCGCACCTCATACGCCCCTCCTTCCCCGCCCTCCCCTGCCCTCCCCTCATTACTCTCATGAGAAGACTTTGATCATCAGCGCTTTCAACTGCTCCCATCAATGCTCGCTCATCCCCCTCTCTCTCCCCCTCCCCACTTTCCCCCTCCCCCTCTCCCCCGCTCCTCTCCACATCCCCACCTCACCTCATCTTCCCCCTCCTTCCCCTCTCACCTCCAACCGACTCGTCTCGTCTACCAGGCCGCTGAACCGTGTGAAGGTGTGTCTCGCCATCAACGCCTCCCCTGCTGGCAGGCAGTCGTGCTCCAACCCCCAACCCCCCCCCCATGCTCTCCCCCTTCTCCTGCTCTCTCTCTCCCAACCCTCAACCGTCAGCCCACTGAACCGCGTGAAGGTGTGTCTCGCCATCAATGCGTCCACCATCCCCGTTCCTGACGACCGCAGCATGGCTGGTGAGAGCGGGGGAAAAAGGGAGTGTGGTGAGTGAGAGAAGGGAAGGGAGTGTGGTGGATGGGTGAGAGAGAGAGAGAGCGTAAAGGGTGAGAGAGGGGAGTATGACGGGTCAAAAATGAGTATGGCAGGTGAGAGTGAAGTATGGTGGGTGAGAAAAGGCAATGGACCTCAACCCACAGTGGGTGTGAGCCTTAACCCGCGGTGGCACTTTTATCAAGCAGCTGAGTTTGTGTCCTTTCCCTCTCCCCTCTGTGAGAAAACGAGAGGAAGAACCATTAATGATATTAGGAATAGAAGGGGTATACATAGTTGTGCTAGGAGGGATGGTTTGGTTGGGAACCCAGTCAACATTATTGGCCCCCACCAATAAGTTGGGTTGAGGAATTATTGGGGGGACCAATAATGTTGACCAAAAGTGGTTCAACATTATTGGGGGGGCCAATAATTCCCAACCCAACCTTGGGGGCCAAGTGTTGAGTTCCAACCCCCAACTAGGGTTAGCCCTAGCTCTACACCCAAACTACATTTGGGTGTCTACCTCTAGCCGAAGCTTATAGGATAGATGCAGGTTACAAGTGAGGATGGTATTCTAACACAACCCCTTAACCTGCAGAAATCCATAAGCTGTGGAAGAGGGAAGGGAACAACCCCTGAATCAGCCACCGCGGGGAGCAAGTCCCTGAAGGCGTAGGAGCGCAGAGTGGTTAGAACGGGGGAGAGCCTTGGTGAACAGATCTGCGAGGTTGTCGGAGGAGGCGATCTTGCGAACAGTGATGTGACCGTCCTGGACAAGGTCACGAACGAAGTAGTAGCGAAGCTCGATGTGTTTGGAGCGACCATGAAAGACGGCTTCTTTGGTGAGGTGGATGGTACTGACGTTGTCACACCACAACGTGGGGCAGGGTTGTGGGGAACCAAGGTCGGTGAGCAGATAGCTGAGCCAGCGTGCCTCCTGAGCCGCCATCGTGACCGCGTACAGTTCGGCTTCGCATGATGAGAGGGCGACGGAGGAAGAGCGGGTGGAGCGCCAGCTGATGAGGCCACTTCCAAGTGTAAAGCCATATCCTTGAGAGCTGCGACGGTCGGGCTGTGCGTCGGCCCAAGATGAGTCGCTGAAGCCTTGAAGAATGGGTGGGGTCACACCACCAAGAGTGAGGACATGGTCCTTTGTGCCCTGCAGGTAGCGAAGAACCCGCATGGCCGCCTTCCAATGCTCTTCACCATGCCTGCCGGTGCCAACGAACTGCGCCAGAACACTGACTGGGTATGCAAGGTCGGGACGAGTGCAGACCATGGCGTACATCAGGGCCCCAACAAGTTCTGCATAGGGATGAGGGGAGGTGACGGGAGTGGTGGGAGGGGCGAGCTGATGCCCGAATGCAAGTGGTGTGGGGATGGGTTTGCAGGTTGTCATGCCAAACCTCTCAAGAATCTTCTCGATGTAAAAAGACTGAGAGAGGGTGATGGTCTTGGCAGTGAGGTCGCGGGTGATCTCCATGCCAAGGTAGTTGCGGACCTCCCCCAGGTCTTTGCAGGCGAGGCGTTTCTGCAGCTCATCCTTGACCTCCTGGAGTTCAGCAGCTGTGCCAGCGGCCAGCAGCATGTCGTCGACGTAGACGAGGATGAAGAAGGGTGATGGGGTGAGGCGCAGGAAGAGGCAGGAGGCGGCACGGGAGGGGCGAAAGCCAAGTGCGCGGAGGGTGGAGGAGAGTTTGGCGTGCCATTCCCGAGGTGCTTGTTTGAGCCCGTAGACAGGGCGTAGCAGCTTCCAAACAGTGGTAGGGTCGTGAGGGGCGTGGAAGCCTTTGGGTCGTTCCAGAAAGATGAGTTCGTGAAGGTCGCCTTGTAGAAAGGCGGTGGTGACATCCATGGAATGAAGTATCATCCCCCGCCTCCCAACAAAGTCCAAAAACACGCGAATGACCGGTGGAGTGGCGGTGGGCGAGTAGGTCTCGAAGAAGTCTGAGCCATAGGTCTGTGTGAAGCCTTTTGCCACATATCGAGCCTTGTACACCGGAGCGTCGCCAGGGAGTAGTTTGACTCGAAAAAGCCACCTGCCTTGGACCACGTTGTGCTTAGAGGGACGAGGGACGTCGATAAACGAGCGGTTGCTGATGAAGGCATTGCTCTCCTTGACCATGGCCTCGATCCAGAGAGGTGCATCAAGGCAGGCAAGTGCTTGCTCATAGGTGGTGGGTTCGTAGATGGTGGGGGTGGTGGAGAAGAGAAGAACAGTGGTGCCAGCCATTGTGCGGACGACGGGGGCGACGGTAGGTGAGAGGAGGTGGAGGAACATTAGCTCATCATGAGAGTCCTCAGAGAGGTCCGGAGTGAGAGGAGGAGGGAGAGGAGGCGATGGAGGTGCAAGACAGCTGCGCTGGAGGGTCGGGCTGATGCGGGGACACAGCTGCACTGGTGCTCTGCTGCGCTGAGGGTCGGGGCGGGGAGACAGCTGCATTGCAGCTCGGCTTCGCTGAATTGCCGTGAGGGGCAGAGATACGGGAGCGCGACTGCCGAGAGAACCTGAGGGGCTGGTGCGGAGGAGAGGGGAGGTGCTATGGTGGCGGAGAAGGGGGATGGATGTGAGAGACTGGATGGAGGGGGGGGTGGACCTTGGGGTACCGAGAATGGGGACCGTGGACCGGGTGTGAGGGTAGTGGCGGAGTATGAGAGGGGGAGTGGGAAGTATGGGCCGGGAGGAAGGAGGTGGAGTGAGTGGGGGAGGGCGTGGCGAGGGGGGAGATGGGGAATGTTGTGTATGGGGGGAGGGAGGGGGAGGGGGTGGGGAGGGATGGGGAGGGGGAGCGGGTGAGGGAGGGGGAGGGGGTGGGGAGGGATGGGGAGGGGGAGGGGCAGCGGGTGGGGAGGGAGGGTGGACGGGGTCAAGGATGTCTCCTGATGAGGCGGGGGGGGGGGTGGGGAGGGGGTGGGGGTGCAGGTGGGACAATGGTGGGAGGGGGGAGAAGGGAAGGGGAGGGGAGGGGAGGTGGGGGGGGAATGGTGTCAGTCCAGAGGAGGGGACGGGTGGTTAGGGGGAGCGGGTTAGGGACTCTGGGGGAGGTGTAGTACGGGTGGGCTTCATCAAATTCCACATCCCGACTACGAATGAGGCGACCTGAGGGGGGATGGAGGAAGAGATAGTCTGGGGAGGAGGTGTTGTGACCAAGGAAAATGCAGGGGAGAGTGCGGGAGGCTAGCTTCCCAGCTTTGCAAGAGTGGTCGACAGGGTGTATGAGAACATACGCCTTGGAACCCCACACGCGCAGGGGGGTGACGTCGGGCTTTTTGGATGTCCAGAGTGCAGTGGGAGTGGTGGTGGGCCGGGAGGGATGAGGGTATAAATTAGTGAGGATGGCAGCGTGGAGGATGGCATAGCCCCAGAGAGAGGGCGGGCAGGAGGCATGGACCATGAGACACCGAGCAGTCTTGGTGACCTCGCGGACCCTACTTTCCGCCACGCCATTCTGCTGAGGGGAATGTGGCAGGGTGTAGGTGTGAATGATGGCACGAGCGGTGCAGTAGGAAGAGAGCATGTTGTTAAGGAACTCACCACCGCCATCAGAGTGGAAGCGGGAGACAGGGCGTTTGAAATGGGTGCATGCTTGTTCAGCCCAGGCAATGATAGCAGCCGGAGCCTCCGCCTTCGTGCGAAGGAGGGAGACGGAGGAGTAGCGGCTGTGGTCATCCACCAGGATGAGCAGGTATTTATGACCTTGCCTGGTGGGGGAAGGGTTGGGACCCCAGAGGTCCATGTGGACGAGATTAAGAGGCTGGGGGGAAAAGGAGGGATGACTCTTGTGGGGGGCCTGTTTCAGTTTGCTTTCAATGCATACTGAGCAGGGAGGGGAGGGTGACGGGGGGAGAGGGGGAAGGGTGAGGGGGAGTCCGTCGAGGAGTTGGGTGGAGACAGTTTGACGGAGGGTGGCAAAGTTGGGATGACCCAACCTATGGTGAAGGAGAACTACAGGGTGGGTGAGGTCACGACAGTGACAGGAGGAGGTGGGGGAGGGGGGGAGGGGGGGGGGGGGGGAGGAGGAGGGGAGGGGAGAGGGGGGGAGGGGATGGGGGAGGGGATGGGGGAGGGAATGGGAAGGGGGAGGGGAGGTGAGGGGAGGGGAAGGGGTGAGGTGGGGGCAATGAGGTGGTGAATGGAGGTGCGAGGGGTGCGGTACGTGTACAGGTTTGTGCGAGGGCAGAGGGGAATGCGACAGATGAAGCGACCAGTGGTGGTGTGAAAGAGGTCGCAGTGGAGTGCATGACCGGGGAAGAGGGCGGTGACATTGAACCTGGTGAGGTCACAGAGTGCTACCAGATTGTTACGTAGGGAGGGGATGTATAGACCTGTGACGGTACCTGAGGGGAAGATGGGACAGGGGAGGGTGGAGGTGTGTTGACTAGAGATGGTGAAGCTGGAGTCAGCTCCGTGGATAGTGGAGGGAGTGGGGAGGGGTACCAGTGTGCCCGCATTGCGCAGAACAGTGTGTGTTGCTCCACTGTCAATGATAAACTCAAGGCATGAAGAGGAGGAGGAAAAAGCGGAGTACTGGAAGAGAGACTCATTAATAGCATGGGCATACAGAGAATCAGCAGGAGCAGTGTTAACATGTCCTATGAAGCCAGCAGAGGGGAACGGAGTAAAGCCAGGAGGGTTGTTCGAGGAGGAGGTCTGTTCAGCAGCAGTAGCAGCAGGTGCTGGGGGTCCATGGCCATATCCAGCATAGGGAGGATAAGGCCAGCCAGCATAGGGTGGGGGATAGTGAGTGGGAGGGGCCGGAGGCGGAGGTGTGGGTGGAGGGGGAGTGGGAGTGATGGGAGTGGGGGTGGATGAGGGGAGAAGCTGCTGAACTTGCTGAAGGATGTGAGATGGGAGATGCTGAGCGAGGACATTGTGGAGGTTAGGAGTAGAGGGTTGATAGGCGGGGAGAGTGCGAATGTCATGGAGGGAGGGGCGTGGGAAGATAGTGTTCCAGCGAGGTGGAGTGCCAACGTTGCCACGTGCGAACCACTCGTCAGTGAGGGCTTTGAAGCACGTGTCAGTGGTATGAGTGGTCTGTGAGCATGGCTGACCTTTGTTGGAGCCATAGCGGATGATGTACTGACACGGGGGGAAGGGTGCCCGAAGGTGAGGCGTATCCGCCACGTCCGCCACGGCCACCACCGCGTCCACCACTGCGTCCTCCTCCTCGGCCTCCACCACGTCCACCACCACGGCCACCTCCACCACCGCCAGTACCGCCATGGCTGCCACCGCGCTGCTGGTCTGGTTGCCTGTGGGGGTGTTGCGAGCCTGAACTGCGTTGATAGTGGTGGAGTCACGTTGAAGGTCTGCTTCACTGTCAAGTAGCCATTCGATGGTGGAGGAGGGTGACGGTACTGGGAGGTAAAGGTGATGCGGTATGTGTCATATGTGGGGGGGAGGCAGTCGAGAATGCGTGCAGTGAGGAGGGATTCAGAGATGACAATGCCTCGATCGTTGAGGCGTTGTGCAGTATCAATGAGTCGGCGGGTGTAGGCAGCAGCTGTGGGAGAGGAGTCAAGAGTGGTGTCTTGGAATTTGCGAAAGAGAGCAAGGAGGGAGCGAAGATCTTGGCGATCATACTGAGTGAAGAGAGTTTTCCAGAGGCTGGAGGAGGAAGTGGGTCGGAGGTCACGTTTGAGGTGTGAGGGAATGCAGGAGAAGATGATGGCTAGAGCGCGTCGATCCGCAACACGCCATGCTGCGACATCCTTGTGAAGTTTGCGCAGCTCTTCAGCATGATCCCTCTCATACTGGAGAATGCGCTCAGTGGCGACAGCATGGGCTTCCTCAGCAACACGGTATGCCTCACGCTGGATAGTGTAGTTGTCACGTAGCTTATTGTAGTTGTTCAGGTTGGCCGCCCAGCGGTCCGGGTTATCATCATGAACTGGGGCGTGGGGGGCAGGGTCAATAGGGTCTGGACGTGGAGGGGCTTCGGGGGGGGGGGATCAAGAGGAGGAGGGAGAACGGGTGGAAGGCCGTTGGTAGTCTCAAGGACTATGTCAAGAAGACAGTAGTCTTGGATGATGACGGATCCAAGGTGGGTGTGAAGGGTATCCTCAAATGATGCCCAATTCACAGCCGTCGTGTCATGCAAGAGTTCGAGCTTGTCGATAGCGCCGAGCTCAAGGGGAGTAGAGTCGTCCGCCATGAGGAGGAGGGGGGGGGGGGGGGGGGGAGAGGAGGAAGGGGGGTGACGACACCGGCTTGAGGGCGGGCGTGGTCAAGGGAGGGACGACACCACCTGGAGGGGTGGTGTGGTCAAGTTGCACGCGGTCGAACGGTGGTACCCGCGGCTGCGCCGAGGCACGCGGGGCTGCGCCTTATCGCCCGTGGCAGCGCCGTCCGTCCGCGGCTGCGCCTTGTCGTCCGCGGATGCGCCTCGTCGCCCGCGGGTGCGCGTCCGTCCGCGGATGCGCTTCGTCGCCCGCGGGTGCGCGTCCGTCCGCGGATGCGCCTCGTCGCCCGCGGGTGCGCGTCCGTCCGCGGATGCGCCTCGTCGCCCGCGGGTGCGCGTCCGTCCGCGGATGCGCCTCGTCGCCCGCGGGTGCGCGTCCGTCCGCGGATGCGCCTCGTCGCCCGCGGGTGCGCGTCCGTCCGCGGATGCGCCTCGTCGCCCGCGGGTGCGCGTCCGTCCGCGGATGCGCCTCGTCGCCCGCGGGTGCGCGTCCGTCCGCGGATGCGCCTCGTCGCCCGCGGGTGCGCGTCCGTCCGCGGATGCGCTTCGTCGCCCGCGGTAGCGCGTCCGTCCGCGGATGCGCCTCGTCGCCCGCAGGTGCGCGTCCGTCCGCGGATGCGCCTTGTCGCCCGCGGGTGTGCGTCCGTCCGTGGATGCGCCTCGTCGCCCGCGGGTGCGCGTCCGTCAGCGGAAATCCGCCGCGGTGGTTGCGTTCGTCCTCGTCGGCGGGATGCGCCGCGGTGGTCGCGTCCGCCCTCGTAGGCGGAATCCGCCGCGGTGGTCGCGTCCGCCCTCGTAGGCGGAATCCGCCGCGGTGGTCGCGTCCGCCCTCGTCGGCGGGGTGCGCCGCGGTGGTCGCGTCCGCCCTCGTAGGCGGAATCCGCCGCGGTGGTCGCGTCCGCCTTCGTAGGCGGAATCCGCCGCGGTGGTCGCGTCCGCCCTCGTCGGCGGAATGCGCCGCGGTGAGGGAGGAGAGGGGAGGGGGGAGGGAGCGGGTTGCCGATCGTAACTTGTGCGGGGGAGGCACGGGAACGTGCGTGAGTGCAAGGGGGGAGGGGGGCCGTGAAGGCGTACTAGCGCAACTTAAGCGCGAAGAGCGGCAAAGAGCCGTGTGAGAGAGGGGGGCGTGATACGGCACGCGTTAAGTGTGGTTCTTAGGATCGAGAGACGGTGTTAACCGTTGTAGCTCTGATACCATGTGAGAAAACGAGAGGAAGAACCATTAATGATATTAGGAATAGAAGGGGTATACATAGTTGTGCTAGGAGGGATGGTTTGGTTGGGAACCTAGCCAACATTATTGGCCCCCACCAATAAGTTGGGTTGAGGAATTATTGGGGGGACCAATAATGTTGACCAAAAGTGGTTCAACATTATTGGGGGGGCCAATAATTCCCAACCCAACCTTGGGGGCCAAGTGTTGAGTTCCAACCCCCAACTAGGGTTAGCCCTAGCTCTACACCCAAACTACATTTGGGTGTCTACCTCTAGCCGAAGCTTATAGGATAGATGCAGGTTACAAGTGAGGATGGTATTCTAACACCCTCTCTTGCCTTCCCCTCCCTCTCACCCCCCCTCTCCTTCTACAGAGAAGATAATTGTATTCGGCCCCAAGTTCAGCCCGTTCTTCTATCTGGGCCGCGTGCACGACGAGACGTCAATGGAGGATCTGACCTGAGTTCCCCCCTCTTCTCTCTCTTCCGCTCTCTTCCGCCCTCTCCCACCCTCGCTCCCACCACAGAGAAGATCATAGTGTTCGGCCCCAAGTTCAGCCCGTCGTTCTACCTGGGGCGCGTGCACGACGACACGTCAATGGACGAGCTGAGGGCGGGCATGGGGACGCTGGGGGCGGACATGGAGAACCAGCAGCAGCAGCTCAAGACGCTCGTCAAGGAGAACTTTGACTCCTTCGTCTCCTGCAAGTCCACCATCGAGGGTGCGTGCGTGCTGTGTGCCAATCCAACAGCGTGGGTGGGTGGGTGGGTGGGTGGGTGGGAAAGTGGGCTGGGTTGGGCTGAACTTGGGCCCCACGAAGATTGAGAGGCACTTCTGAAGGGTGGTTTGATGAGATGAGACTCGAAGCACACCGCCCCATCCCTCCCCACACAAAAGCGAACAAGGTGGGGGAGATGGAGCGGTGGCTCTCGGGGCTGATCAAACAAAACCACTTGTATCGCCGTCCCTCCCTTACATGCCCCGCCACGTCCCCCCGCTTCCCTCCCCTCCTCCCGTGCAGACATAGAGAAGAAGGTGCGCGAGATGGAGACGTGGTTGCTACTTGCTATCACGACCACGCCACCCTCCCCCCTTTCCCTCCCCCTCCCGTCCTCTGGTGCAGACATAGAGAAGAAGGTGCGGGAGATGGAGCGGCGCAGTGACAGCGGCACGGAGGAGATTTTGGTGGCCATCCGCAACGTGCACGACATGGCCCAGGCCGCCTTCGGGCCGCTGCTCGACCGCCAGGTGGGCTGAAGGGCAGGCAGAGGTGCTCGATTGCCAGGTGGGGTATGAGAATGAGAGGCATGCATGGGGCAAGCAGCACAGAGGAGAGGAGATTCTGGTGGTCATCCGCAACGTGCATGACATGGCTCAGGCCGCCTTTGGACCCCTGCTCGACCGCCAGGTGGGGTATGAGTGAGGTGGGGTATGAATGAGGGAGGGGCATGCATGTGGGCATGCATGTGGGCATGCATGTGGGCATGCATGTGGGCATGCATGTGGGCATGCATGTGGGCATGCATGAGGAGATTCTGGTGGCCATCCGCAACGTGTGTGACATGACTCAGGCCGCCTTCGGGCCCCTGCACGACCGCCAGGTGGGCTGAGGGGCAAGCAGAGAGCTGCTGGACCGCCAGGTGGGCTTTAAGTGAAGGGCAAGCAGGTGTGGAATGCACACAGACAGGAGGTACGAAAGCAGGAAGATTTTGTTTGTGGACGTCCTTGCTTCCTCTTCTGATTCATTAGTTCACGTATTTTTATCAGAATGATAGCAAGTAGAACACATTAGATGGGTTCACAGGCTGCTTGTGTCTCGATCGAGCTCTTGCATTCTTTCGCCCCTTCCATCCCACATGCCTCCCCTGCCCTTGTTCACACACTCCCCCCTCGCATTGTTTCCCATCTCCCCCGTCTCCCCTCTCCCCCGTCTCCCCTCTCCCCCGTCTCCCCTCTCCCCCGTCTCCCATCTCCCCCGTCTCCCCTCTCCCTTTGCCCCCGAGCAGAAGCAAGTGGACCGCATCCGGTCGGTGCAGGGGCTGCTGCTGCGCTTCCGCACGCTCTTCAACCTGCCAGCTGTCATGCGTGGATTCGTGCAGCACGGCGAGTACGACCGCGCCGTGCACGAGTACCTCAAGGCCAAGTCCATCTCGCTGCCCGCGCACGTGAGTCGGCTGCCTTAAAGCCCGACAGTCCTTTTCTCAGGGCAGTCGCGAGTACTTTCAAGCTCAGTTAAGGCTCGGTGCACAAGAGTATATCAAGGCCAAGTCCATTGTGCTGCCTACGAATGTGAGTGTGCTTGCTGCTCGTCATCGTCTTCAGCAGTCATCTCCGCCCTTCTCAGGTGTGAAATTGGTTCATCCGGCTCACAATCATTCAACACGTTGTCTTGTCACCCTGGAATCTTTCAACCCATGTGTCATGTGTCACCCTAAGAAGTAATTTCCTTGCTTTCTCTTTTTCCTCGTTCATCCTCCCTCTCCCCATGGCAGTCCAACATCCTGCGCCGCGTGATGGCGGAAGTGCACAAGGTGGTGGCGGAGATCTCAACACCCCACCTGCCTGCCATCAATCCCCCTTTCTTCCCCCTCCCTTCCTCTGCCATTTGTATTCCTCTTCCTGCACCGCAGTCCAACATCCTGCGCCGTGTGATGGCGGAGGTGCACAAGGTGGTGGCGGAGTTCCCAACGCCCTCCTCACACCTGCTTGTCTTCCATCCGCACCATCTCTCCCCCCTCTCGTCCTCCGTCTCTCGCAGTCCAACATCCTGCGGCGGGTGATGGCGGAGGTGCACAAGGTGGTGGCGGAGTTCCACGAGGTGCTCTTTGCCAAGATGGACGACCCTAATGCTGACCAGGCGCAGGTGAGCAGGGGGTGTGCTGCTGGGGCACATGGATGGTGGGGCACATGGATGGTGGGGCACATGGATGGTGGGCACATGGATGGTGGGCACATGGATGGTGGGGCACATGGATGGTGGGGCACATGGATGGTGGGCACATGGATGGTGGGGCACATGGATGGTGGGGCACATGGATGGTGGGGCACATGGATGGTGGGGCACATGGATGGTGGGGCACATGGATGGTGGGGCACATGGATGGTGGGGCACATGGATGGTGGGGCACATGGATGGTGGGGCACATGGATGGTGGGGCACATGGATGGTGGGCACATGGATGGTGGGGCACATGGATGGTGGGGCACATGGATGGTGGGGCACATGGATGGTGGGGCACATGGATGGTGGGGCACATGGATGGTGGGGCACATGGATGGTGGGGCACATGGATGGTGGGGCACATGGATGGTGGGGCACATGGATGGTGGGGCACATGGATGGTGGGGCACATGGATGGTGGGGCACATGGATGGTGGGGCACATGGATGGTGGGGCACATGGATGGTGGGGCACATGGATGGTGGGGCACATGGATGGTGGGGCACATGGATGGTGGGGCACATGGATGGTGGGGCACATGGATGGTGGGGCACATGGATGGTGGGGCACATGGATGGTGGGGCACATGGATGGTGGGGCACATGGATGGTGGGGCACATGGATGGTGGGGCACATGGATGGTGGGGCACATGGATGGTGGGGCACATGGATGGTGGGGCACATGGATGGTGGGGCACATGGATGGTGGGCACATGGATGGTGGGGCACATGGATGGTGGGGCACATGGATGGTGGGCACATGGATGGTGGGGCACATGGATGGTGGGGCACATGGATGGTGGGGCACATGGATGGTGGGGCACATGGATGGTGGGGCACAGGGGCTGCACGGGTTGGCTTGGGCACTTGGCGAGTCCCAGAAGGTGCTCTTTGCCATGCCACAGGGCACCACCCCACTGCCTATCCGGTGCAGCTGAGGCCACCTTTCTGGTCCCTTGTGTCTCATGCCTCGCCCTCAGTATCCATCACCCCGCCCTCAGTATCCATCACCCCGCCCTCAGTATCCATCACCCCGCCCTCAGTATCCATCACCCCGCCCTCAGTATCCATCTCCCCGCCCTCAGTATCCATCACCCCGCCACTCCCCTCTCTCCTTGAGGTGGAGAACGCCAGGTGGCTGCTGCTAGAAGGCAAGCCCGTCAGCGATCCCATCTGACCTGGCACCACATGACAATGCAGGAACAGTGCGCTCTTAAGGCGTCTCAAATCTTGCTCCCTCTCAACCCGTTCTTTAACCCCTTCCCCCGCTCTCTCTTCGCAGGTGGAGAACGCAATCCGCCTGCTGCTAGAACTCGAGCCGGACAACGATCCTATCTGGCACCACGTGACCATGCAGGACCGGCGCATCCGGGGGAAAACAACATCCGCCCACTGTGCAGTGCTGCCAACTGATCACTCACCTTCCGCACACCCTCCATCCCTGCGCCCTCAGGTAGAAAATGCAATCCGGCTGCTGCTGGAGCTGGAGCCGGACAGCGATCCGATCTGGCACCACGTGACCATGCAGGACCGGCGCATCCGCGGGCTGCTGGAGGCGTGTGTGCAGCAGCATGAGAGCCGCGTTGCCGCGCTCAAGAAGGAGCAGCACGAGAAGCGCGAGGCCGAGGCGCGGTGGCGGCAGATCCAACAGGAGTCCAACGCGGGGGTGAGTGAGTGGGTGGGTGGGTGGGGTTGGGGGGTTGGATGGGTGGGTAGGTGGGCAGGTTTTGAGACGTCCTCGAAAGGAGTGTGTGGAGCGGCATGAGAGCCAACCCCGCGGCCATATTCTCTGTACCCTCTCTCAGGAGGACGTGAATCTCTCGCTACTCCTGGGCCAGCCAGCAGCGGACGACTCATCGGACGGGCTGATGGACGGGTAGGCCTTCGACGAGGCACACACCCTGCTGATGTAGCCCGCTGCCCCAACCAGCGCCCCCCTCCCCACCTTCCTCCCCACACCCTCCTCCTCTCCCCCCGCACTCAGGAGGACGTGGACCTGTCGTTGCTGCTGGGCCAGCCAGCAGCGGACGACTCATCGGACGGGCTGATGGACGGGGAGGCGTTTGACGAGGCGCACACGCGGCTGATCGTGCACCTCATACCTCATCATCAACCCCCATCCATTTTCTCCATACCCACTCTCAGGAGGATGTAGACCTTTCCCTACTCTTGGGCCAGCCGGCAGCGGACGACTCATCGGACGGGTTGATGGACGGGGAGGCCTTCGACGAGGCGCACACGCGGCTGATCGTGCGCCTGACGGCCATCCTGCAGCAGCACGTGCCGCGCTTCTGGCGCCTCACGCGCTCCATCTTCTCGGGGAAGTTTGCCAGCTTCGCCACCTCCAAGGACGGCACCGGCACGGTGCGTTGGGGTTGGGGGAGCGGTGGGTGTGGGGGTGGGAGGGTGGGGAGGGGAGATGGGTCGTAGAGAAGAGACGGACCACCGTCTGGCGCCTCACGCGCTCCATCTTCTCGGGGAAATTCGCTAGCTTCGCCACCTCCAAGGATAGCACCGCTATGGTGCGTTGGGGGGGAGGGGAAAGGGGTGGGAAGGGGCGGGACTCCCACGAGAAAATGGGTGCAGCTGTAGAGAATTATCATTCCGGCCCTCGACCATGAGTGGGGGTTCGGTGCGTTGCTGCTGCTGCCATGGTGCATTCTTCTTTGCGTTCCCATCCCGGCCTCCATGCCAAAAAGAGGTGAATTTTGCATGCTTCGTGATGTTCCTTCATCCGCTCTCTATTTTTCAGTATTACCCGTCTGCTTCCATCCATCACACCCCATCCTAACCCCCTGTGCCCCCCTCCATCACACCCCATCCTAACCCCCTGTGCCCCCCTCCATCACACCCCATCCTAACCCCCTGTGCCCCCCTCCATCACACCCCATCCCCCACTCCCCAATCACGCCTCTCCATCCCCCCAGGGTGCGGGGCATACGCGGGGCCAGGGCGGGCACTGGCGGGGGCGGGGGGGAGAGGAGGGGGGGCGGTACACGAAGCACTCAGAGGACGAGGTGCTGCTCATGGTGCTGGGCATCATGGGCGTCTATGAGAGCAAGGTATGTACATTCCTTTCCGAATCCGCCCAGCACCCCATGTCTGTCCGTTTCAGCCAGCTCAACTCGTCCTTCCCTCCTTTATTTCTCTGTTTTTCTCCTCGACCTGGCCTTCTTGTCTCGTCCTCACTATTTTCCAGCCCTTCATTCATTTCATTCAAGTTATCCGCCTCTGTCCCCTCTCTGCAGGTGCAAGCGGCCTTCACACAGCTGGAGGCAGCGAGCTCACTGAGGCCGCACATGCGCAGGGCAGTGGAGCAGGTGGCTCACGCCTGTGCTGCTCTTGCTGTCAGCGACAACGCCCCGCCACAAGCCGGTGAGATGCAAGAAAGTAATCCACCTGACACCACTCGAGGCAGGTGTATGCGCTGCGCTGCCCTGTAGCACTCCTTCCACCATCACAAATTTCCTATCGATCTCATGCAATTCCTTATGCTCATTTACCCCGTTTCCTCCACCATCCTCACCAATGCAAGCGCTGTACCAGCTGCGGGTGATCACGACTCGCTTCACGACTCGGGTCCCCTCACTCCCGGCATCTCAGCAGAGCTGCCAGCCAGCTGCACACCGTTGCTTGTCCCTCTCCCCTGCGTTTTCAGTGCAAGTGCTGCACCAGCTACGCGTGGAAATCTCAGCCGAGATCGTGGCGGACGAGGACTGGCGCCCCGTGCCCTCCGCCCTCGCCCCGTGCCCCATGCGCATGGGCTCGCCCCACCCCCCACCCTCGCCATACCCCCCTCAATTCCCCTCCCTCTTCCCCCCTCTTCCCCCCTCCTCTCCCCCCCTCCTTTCCCCCCACCAGTGCAAGCGCTGCACCAGCTGCGGGTGGAGATCACGTCGCGCTTCGTGAGCCGCGTGTGTCTGCTCACGCGCGGCATCTCAGCAGAGCTGGTGGCGGACGAGGACTGGCGCCCCGTGCCGTCCACGCTGCGCATGGGGTCGCCCTTCGCCATCTCCTCCTTCCCCCTGCGCCTCCGAGACCGCCTGGCGAACGCCTTGGAGCACGTCACCGCGTGAGTTGTGTGCCGCATCTTTGCCTTGGCCTTTCCTTTGTTGAACTCGCTTGCGCTTTATCTCATCCTATGTCTCTCTCTTCCTTCTTCCCAGTGTGTTGACGGACGTGGCCGATGAAGAGGGCCTCAGCCTTTCTTTGACCGGATTCACTCAGTCTTCATCTCCCTCTCTCTTTCTCTCTCGCTCGTCCCAGTGTGCTGACGGACATGGCAGACGAGGAGGAGTTGATCCCCCCCAGTGCGAGGCAGCTGCCGGGTTTCCCAACAGCGGATGAGGTGGAGGAGGCCATTCGCCTCATGTACGACTCCGTTAAGACCACCTTCGCCCAAGCTTTCCAAGACGCCTGCGGTGAGTGCAGTGCAGTGCGGTACAATGCGGTGCAACAGGGTGCAGTGCGGTGCGGTGCAATACAGTGCATTGCCCGGCAGCTATCGGGCTATTCAACAGCGGATGAGGTGGAGGAGGCCATTCGTCTCATGTACGACTCCGTTAAGACCACCTTCGCTCAGGCCTTCCAAGGCGCCTGCGGTGAGTGCGGCCGTATGCGGCGCAGTGCGGTACGATACGGTGTACTGCAGTACAATGAGGTGCAGTGAGCAACAGCTGCCGGGCTATTCAACAGCGGATGAGGTGTTGGAGGCCATCCGCCTCATGTACGACTCCGTCATCCAAGATGCCTGCAGTGAGTGCGGTGGTATGCAGTACAATGCAGTGCGGTGCAGCGGTGCAATGCCAGGCAGACGCCTTGAGTGACCTTTTACAGGGAGCTGTCACCACTGCCATTGCTCATGCTGCCGCCATGAGCAGTGTTGGTAAGCCTAGTTAGAGGCGAATTTAAGTCGTCACGAAGCTATCACAGACAGCCATCACCACCACCGCCCCTGACGCTGCTTGCCAGTTGTGATGCCGTTTCAGAGTAAATTCCTTTCCCCCGTTTCCCCCTCCACCCGCCACAGACGCCCTCACAAAGCTATCACAGACAGCCATCACCACCACCGCCCCTGATGCTGCTGCCACCAGCGGTGCCACTGAGGGACCAGGGGAGGCAGGGGCGGAGGGCGGGAAAGAGGGCGGAGGGGACGGGGCGGCTGCTCCTGCTCCCCCTGCGGCTGCGGTGCCGTCTGCCAATCCCGATGACATCCCGGCGGAGCCCTATGTGGGGCTCAAGGTGAGGCTTATAGCGGGAATTGTGAAACTTGGGATGGAAAGGTCTTGGGATGTGAGCGATAGGAATATAGCTGGAGTTGTTTCCTCGCATGCGAGCGCATTGGCTGATGGGGAGGAGGCACGCCGACAGGCATGCCTTCCCTGCCTGTCCGCATGGCAGCACTCTCATCATCCTGTGTGCATGTGCATCTGTGTGTGCGCTCGCACAGGTGGGCGAGGAGCTGACAACAGCGGACCAGCGGCTGCTCATGCTGCTCAGCAACTGCGGCTTCTGTCGCTCCGTGCTCGCCCCCTACCTCGCAGATAAATTCACCTCGCTCTGGCTCAACCCCTACAGGTACGATAATGCTCTCAGATGTGCTTTCAGGTGTGCATCCAGGTGCGCTAGTTGGTCTGTACCCGCTTTCTATCTCTTCAATTGAATCACCTCCCAGTGGTTAAATTCCTGCAAGTGGAGTGCATGAAAAGCATTCCTCATCCAGGGTCCTGTATCCCCTTCATCTCTTTGCTGTTATTGTTGTGCTGCGGATGGTGAGTGCCGCAGCCTACCAACGTCTGCAGCCACACCTGCGGCCGCAGCACCATTTCCCCCTGTGGTTGCACCCTTTCAGCCCCCCTATGCCCCCTTGCCTCCTGTCCCCCAGTGTGGAGCTGGAGATGGCGAGTGCAACAGCGTACCGGCAGGTGCAGCCGCAGCATCAGGGGATTTGAGATGCTCTGCCCTTCTCAACAACCTCCCCTGTGTTCCCTCGCTTCCCTTCTTCCAGTGTGGAGCTCGAGATGGTGAGTGCCACGGCCTACCGGCAGACGCAGCTGCAGCACCAGCAGCAGCAACAACTAGCAGAGCAGAGCAGCAACAGCAGCAGAGGCTTCAAGATGCTCTGTCCAACTCAACACCCCCCATGTCTCCCCTCGCCTCCCTTCCCCCAGTGTGGAGCTGGAGATGGTGAGCGCCACAGCCTACCGCCAGGTGCAGCCGCAGCACCAGCAGCAGCAGCAGCTGGCGGAGCTGAGAGGCGTCCTGGGGGAGGTGGAGCGCGTGTTTGAGGAGCTGGAGGCGTGGCTGGGCGACCAGTACATCGCCATCAAGGCCAACCACCTCGGCTTCGCTGTTATCAAATACTTCCTGGAGGACGGCACGTCGTGGGCCACGGCTCCTCCAGTCAGGGTAGGCTATATGCGGCTCTGCTGCAAGTTCATGCTTGTTTGCTGTTCCATTGTGTTTGAGGAGCTGGAGGCGTGGCTGGGCGACCAGTACATCGCCATCAAGGCCAACCACCTCGGCTTCGCTGTTATCAAATACTTCCTGGAGGACGGCACCTCGTGGGCCACGGCTCCTCCAGTCAGGGTAGGCTATATGCGGCTCTGCTGCAAGTTCATGCTTGTTTGCTGTTCCATTGTGTTTGAGGAGCTGGAGGCGTGGCTGGGCGACCAGTACATCGCCATCAAGGCCAACCACCTCGGCTTCGCTGTTATCAAATACTTCCTGGAGGACGGCACGTCGTGGGCCACGGCTCCTCCAGTCAGGGTAGGCTATATGCGGCTCTGCTGCAAGTTCATGCTTGTTTGCTGTTCCATTGTGTTTGAGGAGCTGGAGGCGTGGCTGGGCGACCAGTACATGGCCATCAAGGCGAATCATCTTGGCTTCGCTGTCATCAAGTACTTTCTGGAAGACGGCACCTCCTGGGCCACTGCCCCGCCTGTCAGGGTGAGCTGTTGGTTGCTGTGACCCCTTCACGAGGTGCTGCATTACCCTCGACGCCACCGCCCATCTGAGCTCGCTGTCCCCAGGTGTTTGCTTTTCTGCTTGTGGACCTCATGGGCAGGCCATGGCGGCTCGTCCGCCACTGCCCTGCCTCCCTGCTGACATGCTGGCTCCACCTTCTGCCTGCTCACTGATGCCCGTGCATCTGTGTCTCTCTCCTCGTTTCCTCTTCCTTCCTTGTGTTCTCTGAGCCTTTCGTCCCATCCCCACACTCTCTTTCCCTCCTCTCTCGTCTCCCTCTCATCTCCCTTCTCCTCCCCTCCCCTCTTCTCCCCCATCTCCCCTCCTCTCACCCCTCCCACTCCCCCTCCCCCTCGTATCGCTCCCACCCAACAGGGGCTGCGGGATTCGGCTCTCGAGCTTATGCACCCTCTTGTGGCCGTCCATGCTGAGGTCAGCACTTGTCCATGCTGAGGTCAGCACTTGTCCATGCTGAGGTCAGCATTTGTCCATGCTGAGGTCAGCAGCTGTCCATGCTGAGGTCAGGGCTTCTTTATGCTGATGTCAGCACTTGTCAAAGTTACTGCGTATGCTATGTGCGCAACCTCCGATATCAATAGTGGCCCCGGTGGCTTGGAATAGTGCATTGATTTATATTGAGTGCTGAATGCCACATACCATATGCCTTTCACTGCACACCACCCCACACATCACACCCGTTTGAGGACGAGGCCATTAACACGCCAGCAGAGGGCTTGATGAACGCGCTGCAGCATCCATAACCTGTCCCATTTTCCGTGCCCCGTGCCCCACATCCCGCACCCCATCCGCCACACTGCACACCACCAGGTGCACGGGGGGTGCCGACCGTCCGTGGACAAGGCGATCAACACATTAGCGGAGGGGCTAATGGACGCATTGCACCAGCCATAACCTGTCCCATGCCCCATCTTCCAATACCCCACACCTCATACCCCATACCCCACACTGCACACCACCACACACCACCCCACACCAGGTGCATGTGAGATGCCGGCCGTTTGTGGAGCAGGCCATCAACACATTAGCAGAAGGCTTGATGGACGCATTGCAGCAGGTGGCGTACCAACACGAGGACCTGCAGCACCACATGCCCCATGCCCCATTCCCCACACTGCACTCCACCGCATTCCACCACACCCCACACACCAGGTGCATGTGGGGTGCCGGCCGTTCGTGGACAAGGCGATCAACACGCTAGCAGAGGGGCTGATGGATGCGCTGCAGCAGGTGGCGTACCAACACGAGGACCTGCAGCGCCTTGATGCAAATGCCTTCTGCCAGCTCTCCCTTGAGGTTTGTGCTGCTCCTGCTGTCACTGGTATGCCGCCTCATGCCAGCTGCTGCTGAAGCTCCTGAGTCAACTCTAATGCCACAACAGCAATGGTGTTGTCATAGCCTTAGTCACCAGCCCATTCCTCTTCTCCTTTCTTCAAGTCCTCCTCCCCTTGCACACAACCCACCCTCCCCCCCAACCCGCAACCTCTCTCCACCCAGCTGGACTACTTTGAAACCGTGCTGCACCCCTTCTCGTCGCCGGCACTGGAGGAGATTCTGTTCCAGCTGCGCGAGATGCTGCTGCAGCGCACCCTGCAGGCGCTTCAGCAGGAGGCTGCTCGCCCCGCCAACGCGCGCGCCAGGGCTGACAGTGAGGAGCGCGACAACCACCCGCAGACCGCTGCTGACCTCAAGGTGAGGGGGGGGGAAGAGGGGGGTGGGGGGAGGGATGTCGCAAGAGGATGGATAAGAGTAGTGGCAGTGAGGTGGGTAAAACTATCACTATTTACTTCCCTTCTCCTTTCTCTTTCTTCCATGTCCTCACCTCACCGCCCCGTGTTTCTTCCCGTCTCCCCTCCCCCATGGCACCATGTGATGGCGGACAACATCAGCTCCGACCTGCTGCCCTACGAGCTGCTGCACCCCCCTTCCGGTTCTGCCTCAACCCCTCTGTTCCTTTCCCCCCTGTTCCTCTCCCCCCTCCCACTCCGCCCCTTCTCACCCCTCCCCTTTCTCACCCCGCCCCCATCTGACCAGGTCATGGCGGACAACATCAGCTCCCACCTGCTGCCCTACGAGCTGCCACACTCCAAGTCCTCACTGCCCCCTGTTTCCTCCCATCTCCCTCCCCTCTCCCTCTGCCCGCTCACCAGGTCATGGCGGACAACATCAGCTCCGACCTGCTCCCTTATGAGCTGCGCCGCACCAAGGTTAACGTATTCTGCTTCACAGGCAAGGTCCAGATAGAGCCTCCCCCAGAAGAACTCCAAGTCGTCGAAACCCTCCCCGCCCGCCCCGCCGCGCCGCCCGCAGTCTACACCCCCAACACCGCCCCGCCTGCCTCTATCAGCACCCCGAGAGGCACCCCCGGAAATATCAACCGGACGTTTTCGGGTTCGAGTTCGGGGTCGAGTGCGGTGTTCAGTCAGCAGTCGGGGAGCAGTGCGAGAAGGCAGAGCAATGCGTCGGCAGATTGGCCGGCGCCGACGGGGAGGGGGAGGGGTGAGGAGGGGTACCCGCCTAGGGTGGGTGCGAGGGGCACGGGGGAGGGGGGGACGGGAAGGGAGGGGCGGGGTCGGCGAGCTGGTAGTGGGTCGCGGGCGTCCCAGGCGTATTAGAAAAAAATCATTTGTGTTTGCTCGTTGGGAGTTGAAGTATTGTCCTCCTCTATATTGTGATGTGTAGTGTAATGTTATTATATTGGAACATGTTCATGCTCTGCATTGTCAGTTCAGCCTTGAGATTCAGTGTGCATACCGTAGCTTTTTGGCTCTATAAGAGCTAGTCTACCTAGGTCATTGACATCCTGAACTGCTGCGTTTGAGTCACATCTCCGACCACCACCCCCATATAGAGTTACTCGTTCCGCCTTCCACTACACACCAGCAGCACCAGCTTCGTTTGTCTCCACACCCACCACGTTTCGAAGTCCTCGTTTCGCCTTCACCCTCCGCTATTTCCGCCGCGATCCCCGGATCCATTCACCATGCCTGTCGGAAAGCCTCTCGCGCAGGTTGCGATGAGCGAGGCCAAGCGGAACTGGCCGTTCGTTTTTGGGTTCGCCGTGACGGGTTACCTTGTCGCGAAGCTGACCGCGTCGCTCAACCGTAAGCCTACGCGTCGTTAACGCTTACGCCTGCCATCGCCGTTGCGGTTCTCCTTTTCCTCTCTCTGGCTAGTTGTTGTCGTCCCTCGAAATGTTCAACCCCCCTTCCATTCACTCCTAGCACCCTCCGATCCGTTGTCCCTAGCAAACCCTAACGCTGCGGAGAATAAGGTTTACAGCAGACGATGTCGTACCCTTTACACGCTTTATTCATCTTGTCATCTCGTACCAAGCCACTATCCTGTGCTCTGTCACCATTCCGTGCCATCTCACCATTCCGTGTCACGTCACCATCACGTGACATGTCACCATCCCGTGACATGTCACCATTTCGTGCCATCTCGTCATCCCATGCCATCTCATAGTTCCATGGCCATCCCCTGCCAGCACTCTTCTCCTGACCATAAACCTCCTCTGCCTGCCTCCCTCCTCCCCTTCCCTGTCCTTTTCTACCCATCAACCGTTCTTTCGTCCTCCTATTCTTCTCTGCCTTCTCCATTCATGGCCCAACGCTTCCCTAACACACCCTGTTCTCGTTTACACATCCATCACCGTGCTGTTGCGCAGAGAAGCAAATGAAGGCTATGCATCAGTTTTCCTTACGCGGACGTCTTTGCATTCCCTCATCACACACTTCCCCTCTCGTGCTCTTTTTTTTCTGACCCGTGTTCCCTGCACATTCACAGCTGCGGATGCCCAGAAATCTCCTTTTATCAATGTGCACGCGCACAGGCAAGTACTAGTATCTTTGAGAGAGGAGTGGGGATGGGGGAGAGTGGTCTGGAGAGTGGAGGAAAGGGGGGGGGTGGAAGGGGGGATGGGGAGGGTGGAAAAGGGAGGGAGGGGAGGGGAGGGAGCAGTCGTGGGGGGAGGAGTGCGGGAGGATTGGGGAGGGAAGGGAGAGAGGTTGTTGAGTCGTCATTCCTGACTGGGCTGCAGACCGGACCGGACCATCATATCTGCTACTTATTGTCTTGTGCTTTGTTTTCTTTGCGTCTGCAGATGAATGGAGTTTACTCATGTGATGACGCCCAAGTTTGGCAGTGCTGCTTGTGGGAATCAAAGTACTGTATTGTGTGGCACAGCCACATCCTTGCAGGGTGTTGTGCTTAATGTTGTTGAGCTTGTGTGACAATGGTTCTTATGGTGTGCTAGCACCTGTATCCGGGCGCATCTCTGTACTAGCCTTTCGTTCCACCAATTGTTTCACCACCTGCTCTTTTAGTTTCCCGCATGACACTGTAGCATCGCTTCATAAGGTGCCACGGTAAAGGAATTAGCTCAAAGAATCGTCTAGCTAAAAGCCGTCTTGAAGTGTAGGGTCGGTGCTGTGCCGCTACCTAGGCTATTGTCCACGCATTCACTGAATCACCGCTCTCCTTGCTCCGAGTAGCACTCGTATCCACAAGAGCCTCACAGCCTGTGCAATCACCAACCACATAGTCACGCCGACCAGCCACAGCCACATGTGGCGGTGCCCCCTCCCTCCTGCTACTGCCTCCCGACAAGAGATGCCTTTCACTCTGACTTGGATTCCTGATTCACTTGCCTCCTGCCCTCCATATGAACCGCTGCCCCCTCCCTTTCCCCATGCTGGGAAGGAGGCCCCATTTTATTATAATTACCGGTATTGCCGTACGTATGAATGGCTTATTTAATTACAATCCCTCTCATCTGAGATGACCCCAGATTTGTTGGCCCCTCAGGGGCCCCTCTCCCGAGCTCATCCCTCGGGAAAAGTGGTTGTCTCGTAGTAGCCCGAGCCTCCACCCCAAGAGCTTCCGGATTGGGTGGAACTGCTTGCCGAACCTTCTGGTACCGAACCTCCTGCTGCTGTACCAGGGGAAGTGGGGATTATGAAAGGGCAGGTGAGAGGAGGTGAGCGCGAGGAGCGAGGGAGGGAGGAGGTTGATGTTACATGCAAAGTGAGCAGCACAACCTCGGTGGAGAAACAGGAGGCGTTTCTGGCATGGACGGTAGCGCTGTTGTTGGGAATTCCAAGGAGAGAATTGGGGAAGAGAGGGAGAGAGAGAGAGAGAGAGAGAGAGAGAGAGAGAGAGAGAGAGAGAGAGAGAGAGAGAGAGAGAGAGAGAGAGAGAGAGAGAAGTAAAAGGGGAGGGTAGGGGGGGGGAAGGGGAGGGTAGAAGTACGTGCCCACTTGTTCTTGTGCTCTGTAGGTTTAGTTTGCTTGTCCTGGCTTGCTTGTCTTCATGCTAGATTTGCCCTCCCCTAGAATCTGCATGTCTGTACTATCCCCTACTATCAATACAAAGGACCGTTAGAGAGAGAGAGAGAGAGAGAGAGAGAGAGAGAGAGAGAGAGAGAGAGAGAGAGAGAGAGAGAGAGAGAGAGAGAGAGAGAGAGAGAGAGAGGATATGCAAGTTAGCCAGGATCTATCCTGAGCTCTACCTTTACCTGCGTGCTTCAGTTCACTGGGCGGCGAAGAAGACGAGAAGAAGAAGACGAGAAGAAGAGTCACCACAACCAGCAGGGTAATCACCGCACCCACGATGCCAACGACAGCTCCCGCGGATAAGGTTCCTGTATGCATGTCGGCATGGCGGCATGGGGTGCATGGCGGCATGGATGGTGGTATGGGATGCATGGCCGAAATGGGTCATGGGAAGGCATGGTGGGGTTTGGAACGCAGGCAGCCGGACTTTGAGAGCGCCTGCGCAGAGTGCAGAGCAGAGCTCAAAAGACCAACGCGAGGTCAAATCCTGCAAGGTGGACCCGAAATGCATGACCTAGTAGGTGGTAGCTGGTGAGGAGGTGAGCGATGAGGGGAGGGAGGGTGCCTTACTAGGGGAAGAAGAGCCTGACTGGTTGGCGGTGGAGTTGGATGGCGGTGCTCCCTGCGGCTGTGGCGGTGGCTGTGCCTGCGGCTGTGGCGGTGGCGGTGGCGGTGGCTGCGGCGCTGCTTGTGAGCCGGGCGCGGGCGCTGAGCCTGACGGTGGAGCTGGGGAAGGTGGCGCAGGTTCGGATGCCGGCGCAGGCTTGGAAGGTGGAGCGCCGGAAGGTGGGGCTGCGGGGCTCGGCAAAGAGGCAGGAGCAGGCAGAGGAGGCGGCAAAGGCAAATCAGGGAGAGGCGAAGGCGGACTCCGCCTACTCGGAGTACGCGGAGCACGCGGGACACGCGGAGAAGGTCTCGGACGGGGAGAAGGTTTCAGACGGGGGCGGAGCCGTACGCGCGCGGCGACCGCTTTTATCATTCGCCGATTTGACAGCAGCGGCTCATCCAGATTCCTCTGCCGCGCAACCGGCGATCCTTCCGTTCCGGTGTCGTCCAGCACTGCGCGCCGAGCCCAGAGCTTCTCCTCGTCTGCATGCAGGTTGCCGTGGTTCCGCGTCTCTGCCGCAGCACGCCGTGTTCTAGGATAACTCATCGATTGGAACGTAGTGAACTGAAATGGCATAATCCAGGTTGTTTTGCCAGCGTTACTAACCATCGGCCATGGTGCATTTGCAGCAACGAACATGAGAATGAAGATGGCGAGTAAAGAAACTCCAAGGCGACACTTCCTAGTCATGGCGACCAGAAATCTCTACGTTCTTTAAGGAATGGATGGAGTAACGGAGAGAGAGAACCTCAGAAACAAAGAGACTTCTCGCCTCTAAATAGAGAAGGGGCAGAGGACTTGTGTTGATGCAGAGACGAATAAATGCGTTTGCTGTGAACACAGGCAGAGTTGGGTGGAAAAACGGATGAAAGTGGTGTTTGGGGTGCAGCAATTTATAATGTTGGTTTCGAATCGAAGTGTGTCAGTCACTCCGCAAATAATGTTGCGGCTCGGCTTGAGCCGACTTGCGACTTCATGTGGGGGAATACCAAGGTTCGGCAATAATTGCATTGCACGGAACGGTTCGCCTCAACAAGTGACTTCCCGTATCCTACACTACATGCTAGTTGAAGCAAGAAACACTTGAAAGGAGGCACCAGAAAAGAAACACAAAGACAAACCTTGCTCAAGCATTAGGACCGGTGTGTAATTGTACAGTAACTTCACTAATTCTTCAATGCTAGTGTATCTCTGTTTTGTTAGTTTTCGCGTAAAATCTGGACACTCTAAGATCGTCCAGTATCGAACCGCCACCGCACTGAAACCCGCTACAAGCATGCATAACGCTCAGAAACGTTAAAAACTCGCGGAAAATGGATCATTCAGGGCGATCGTGTCCCACGCAGCTTGAAACCTAGCTGTGGCGATCGATGCTCAGGATTTCGGTGCGCGGTCCCGATCCTCATCCGGTGTTTCAATTGTGCCACGTCCTTAGATAGACAGTCCAGACCCAGATGGGTTAGATTTCCAAGCTCCCATGCTAGATGCATCTGATGCAAGCTAACTTATCTGAGCTATTTGCTCATCAAGTGGAATAGCAGCTTCTTTTACAACGCTCGAAATCTCCGCATCCACCAGATTGGCAGCTACGTTCTCCTCGACTCCGAAACATTCCTGCTTCATATTCTTCAGCTCGGTGTATATCTGGCTCATTGTCGGGCGATTTGCAGTGGGAAGAGAAGTGCAGGTGAGGGCGAATCGAGCAATGCGCAGCATGAGGTCGTCGGGTATGGGGATGTCGAGGCGAGGGTCTTTGAGGCTGTTGGCATCGCGAGCAAGGGGGGGGGGGGGGGGGGAGAGGGGGGGGGGTATGTGGATGGGGAGTATGGACATGGAAATTTTGTGAATTGGTCCAACAAGTTGTCAGGGCTATGAGCCAGCTTCCTTGTGTCATGCAAGTCAGCGAGTCTCTCTAACTACTCAGTCAATGCAACTTACCCAGTCTTTGATGTTGATTTGTCGTTCGCCTGAGCCCATCATCGCCCTCTGCCCGGTCATGACCTCCAGGATCACAATTCCATAACTGCAAGCACACACATGGAGTTCAATGAACGCATGCACATAAATAAACAGCATACAGAGATGGCGAAATCGAGCATACGTCAGGTCACTAGCGCACGTGCACAGGAACGAATTATTTATGCAAAGGAAACTACTGGAGCATGGACACACATGAGCATAAGAGCATGTTGTGATTTTACACTACCGAGCAGCGATTTTTCATGACCAAATGCAAAAAAAAAAGGACACGAAAAAAAGATCAGCAACATCAACTTCAACTCATCATTACTGTACCTATAGACATCAGTTGCCGTTGTGGCCCTGCGCGTGCGAGTGTATGCAGGGTCGACGTAGCCGGGAGTGCCGAGGATGCGGGTGGTGCCGACGGAGGTGCCCTCGCCCATGCGCACGAGGCCAAAGTCGGCGACCTTGGCGTGCATGTGGCGGTCCAGCAGGATGTTGGCGAGCTTGATGTCCCGGTGCACGATGCCAAAGCTGTGCAGATACTCCAGCCCGTGCGCTGCTCCGATCAGAATGTTAAAGCGCTGCGACAGTGTCAGGGTCTTGGGTGCCTCTGAATTGGTGCATAGTACAGGTTCGATGGCGGAGGGGAGGAGATACAAGATAAATTAGTACTGTCCTGTGCTACTCATATGAAGCGATATACAAGAAAAAAAGGAAAAAAAGGTCAAAGTACTACTTGCGGCATGCAATTGTGAAGCATTGATATGGACAGGATGTAGGAAAAGCGACCATATTATGTGCTTATCTGACAGCTCACCCACTCATTTTTTACTGCCGCTCACCTGGCCCCACCCAGGTCTCACCTGTTCCCCCACTCATTGTCTCTCTCAAGGGCTCACCTGGCCCCACCCAGGTCTCGAGGTCCCCGTTGAGCATGTACTCGTAGATTAATATTTGCTCAGTGCGCTCGTTCACCACATCCATGTCCAGACAGAACCCCAGCAGCCGCACTAGGTTCGGGTGGTGCTTCGATGCCATCTCGTGGATCTGAGGGCGTGAGGTGGGGGTGTTGGGTGGGGCTCTTGCACTGAATCCTCTGAAAGGAGAGAGCAGACTGAACGAGTAAGCGTGAAGCGAAAACAGCAGGGCAACCTATCCATTAGTTCATTGAGTACTCACCTCTCGTTTGAAGTCGTTGGTGATCACTTTCACCCTCTTCACCGCCCACGGGATGGTATGGAATAGAGAGTCATGTTGGTTCATTTGAAAGCATGCATTCTTGTATGGTCATCGAGTTCTCTCTCTCACCTCGCGCTTGAAGTCATTGGTAATCACTTTCGCGCGCTTCACAGCCCACGGGATGGTGGGGTCCATGGAATAGAGAGTCATGTTGGTTCATTTGAAAGCATGCATTCTTGTATTGTCATCGAGTTCTCTCTCTCACCTCTCGCTTGAAGTCATTGGTAATCACTTTCGCGCGCTTCACAGCCCACTGGATGGTGGGGTCCATGGGGTCCAAAGCCCGATACACGTCCGCGTACCCGCCACTCCCAATCCTCCTGGTCTCGGAGAAATTCTCGGTGACCTGCTTGATGAGGAAGAGGGGGTACTGGTGGCACAGCAGGGGCGTGTCCGACGTGCCGCCCACGATTATCGAGTGGATGTGGTTTCCTGCCGCTGCTGCTCCTGCCCCTGCGCCTGCCATGGCTCCTGCTGCTATAGCGGCTGCTGCAGACTCAGGGTCATAGTTGGTGTTGTTGATCTTGCTGCCTGGAGAGACGTCTGCAGCTGAGAGTGCCATCGGAGGAAGGAGGAAAGGGGAAGGTGGAAGAGAAGAAGTGAGTTGGATAAAGCAGGAACATGAAGCAATGTGAGGTTTGTTACAGTGAGTTGACTGCAGTGTTATTAACTTATACCAGGTTCCCTAAAAAGAGTTCAATGACTTTTTAAAAAGGCATTCAACGATCATGTAGTGATGCACACCTTTTTGTCGTCTTTTGTTAAGGCAGAGGAACGCGGTGAGCACGACAGCAACAGTGGAGCAGAGGAGAGCGATGCCGCCCGCAGCGATGCCTATGATCACTCCCGTTGAGATAGTGGCTGTAATGAAGGTGACACAAACGAGTACCACAGGCTATTAAACTAAATGGTGAGAAGCAGTTTTTTAAGTTCTTGCCTGGTGGTTCTAATGAAGGTGACAAATAGACGTGGAAGCTGGAGTGAAGAGGGAGGCTGGAGTGTTTCAAAAAGTTTGGCAGGATGCACGTTGGGTTCAAAAAGAGCGATTTCAAGCACTTCAATGTGGATGGACGGAGGAGCACTCACGGGACGATGATGTCGTGGATGTTGTGTTTGGCGCAGCAGGAGCGGGGGAAGAAGTCTGAGGGAGGGGGCTGGGGGATGGACTGTACGGTATAAAGGTGGGTTCAGGAGCTGGGTCAGAGCCCTGTGCGAAGGCGGAGAGGCGTAGATTGGCGGACAGCATCTGCTCCAGCAGCGCCGACCGCCGCGCTGCATCCCCGCCTGCCTCCCCCGCTCCACCGCCTCCCCCGCTCCCCTGCCCCCAACGCGGAGCCACGTCCGCGGCGTCCTCCGCCAGCGCGCGGCGCACGTCCGCCATTCCCTCGTCATCCATATCGACCGCGCTCTCCTGATCCTGCCACACTTCGTAACCGCTCTCACTCCCATCCTCGTAATTCCCTGAGCTTCTGCCCTCCGCCTGGTCGTTCCCGCCATCAGAACCGGCGGCATGGCGTGGCCTCGCGTAAAACTGCCTCCGAGCGAGCCTACGGCCGTCAATGCTGTCGCGAACCTCGTGCGGGTCGGTGAACACAGCCTCCTGCGAATCATCGTCAAAGACAGAATCTCGGAACGAGTCCCGCCGAACGCCGTGCCGCGAAAGAATCGGCGTGCTCCTCCTTACCGCAGGCTCGGCGTTTGCCGAACCTAATTCGTCGCCTCCGTCGCTGACCACAAACTGTGGCGGGAAAAGAAGGTTCGAGATCGTGTAAACGTCATACTTCTTCGTGTTGATCGCATTTGCTGTCGTTACAGTCACATTGGCGACGGAGAAAGTGTCTGAGCCCATCTGCAGCTCCACGGGTGAGCCCAGGAGGGTCGGTTTCCAGCCGTTCCACTCAAACGGAGATACTTTAGCGGGGATAAAGTGAAACATGAGTATTTTGCGTAAAGCCTCGCGGTTATCGGAGGACTGTAGACCCGCGAGCGCGGCAGGGGAGAGCGAGAGGAGCGCATCGTTAGAAGGCGCGAAAACCGTTAACGGAGATGAATCGTACATCTGAGGAACGTCTTCTAAAACGCCGGATTCTCGTAACAAATGCGCAAACCCCGTCAGTCCGCTACCTGTCAGCCGAGCCGCTAAACCCTCATCCTCTACTGTATCTTCACTGAAAGCAATGGCCTCGTTCTCGGCGCCATTCCCGGCGGCATTTGCGGAAGGTTTGTCTGGGAGATTTTCTGCAGGCGAATGCGTCGTCAGTAATGTTGGAAGGAAACGGTGGTGGGGCGGTGGTATGCCCCCAACCCACCGAGGGCACTTCGGTGCCTTCGATCCCTTTGACTAGGGATCGGTGGGGTGGCACCGATTGACTTCGGGAGACTCACCCTTCGGTGCCACGTGGCGGCACCACATTCCAACCTTCAAGTGCAAGGCGAATTCGGTGTGTTCGGTGTGAAATTCGGTGGTCGAATTTCACCCCAACCGAAATGTTACACGCGGCGCATTCGCGACGCGAGTGTAGCGATGTGATGTTACATGTGCGGTTCGATGTAATGCATTTGCTATAAATCGACCTGCCTTGTATGCATGCTTTATACTGAAATCCTGAATCTTCTTGTACATGGTCCATTCGAACCAAAATTCCAGAGAGGTCTATCCTTGCTTCTAAGAGCACTAGCAATCACGTGAACGCCAATATCTCGGCGTATACTTGGGCGATTAACGTGTTTGACGGCTTGTTGGAAAGTCAAGACTGTGCTCTATCGTTTAGTGCAACTTAGAGTTCCTGCAAAGTAGAGGAGACACCTCTACAACAAGTAAGCCATCTTCGGCCGTCGTCAGCGGTTCTGGGTGGGGCTGGAAGTTTCCCGAAAACCGTCCTGTCGCCGCCACGCCAGGAGCCACGATACACGTAGCGAGCAGAGCTACTAGAATCGGCTGGAGGAACCTCATCTCGTAGCTTTCTGGGGAGGCCTAGGGATTTCCGCCTGGTCTGTTTTAATATCAAGATTCTAGGGGGCTGTACAGGTGCAAGGAAGCAAGAAAATGTGCGAGCTGAAATCCGCGATAGTCCTGTCATGGCTGCTGAACAAATATATAGCGCCTGCTTGTGTCTAATCTACGCAGCGACGCGCCGTGCTTGTGTCCCGGTGTCGCGGTGTCGCGCTGTTTCTTGAGTTGCGTTGTCACAACTGAACGAGGAAGAGTGACTGGAAAGAACGCTGTGCCACATGGCTGACTGATCGTTTCTCTGTGCTGGCGGTTGTGACTGTGCGGAAGGTGGTGCCTCGCTGGGTCGATTTCACGAGGGTCGTTGCTAGTCACGGCAGTGCAAAGGGTCACTGCGTGTTAGACCAGACCACCAGGTCCCTTACCTGACCAGGTGTGTTTGCGACCAGCGCATCACCCAATCACAACTCGGACAAGGTGCTATGTGGCAGTGCCTGGCCATCAAGCCTCTTCTCTGAGCTGTTTGATTGGGCCGCTAAAACAGCTTCCCCACTCTGCCGAACGTAAGGGCGCCATACCATTCATGGCTTGTCGGTGGTTGACGAGGTTGTTGGCACTGGTTTGACATCAGGCAACTAGAGCGATTCTGCCCGCAAGAGTGACAGCAGGATGCTGAATGGCTGAAGCATGTAGTGTAGATGTTAAAACACAGGTAGGTACATGTGCTGGAAAATACTAGAAACAAAATCCTCTCCGTTTGTGGGTGTCCTTAGCTCTTCAAATGGAGAAAAATGGCTTTTCAAAGGCTTGTATTTCTGAGGCTACGTGCAAGAATAGAGCAATACGACATAGTACAGACTGGAGTGTACCCTATCACTACTCTGATGTCCCCCCAGATCTTGAAGGATTTGATCTCCAAGCACTCGTGCTGAATTCAGTCGATGCAAGCTCATCAATCTCAGCAATCTGCTGATCAAGCGGAATAGCCGCCTCTCCTACAGCGATCGATATCTCCGCATCCACCATATTAGCAGCCGAATTCTTCTCAACTCCTAAACACTCCTGCTTCATGTTCTTTAGTTCCGTATAAATCTGGCTCATAGTTGGGCGATTTGCAGTGGGAATGGAAGTGCAGGTCAGGGCGAATTTGGCCATCCGGAGAATGAGCTCGTCTGGAATTGGGACGTCGAGCCGGGGATCCTTGAGGCCGTTAGCATTGTTGGCGAGAAGGTGTTGATCGGCCTGAAAGAGGGCGAGGGGATGTTGCGGAGGCATCTGCGAATGAGACTCTGACAGCCCATGCAAAGCACGTAATGGTTGGCATGAGGAAGGCTGAGGTGTTGTGGTGAAGGGACTAACTGTGGAGATTTGCCTGTGGGATAGGCTGGAGAAAGGAAGCAATTCGAATCGCAGTGGAAACAGAATGAGGCCGTAAAAGAGAAATGGGGCTGATGGAGAGAAGGAGGATGTGAAGAAGCAACTGTGTGTCACCAAAATTGGTTCCATTGTCCCAGTTAACGCAACAACTGCACAACTGCAGTATCATATGATCTCTATCGAGCACTCACCCAGTCCTTGATGCTGACTTGGTGCTCTCCCTTGCCCATCATCGCCCGCTGCCCAGTCATGACCTCCAGAATCACAATGCCAAAGCTGCCAGGGCGGGCAAGGGGGGCATGCAAAAGCATGCACATGAAAGCACACACGGGGGCAAGCATGGACGCGAGTATACATGAATGAAACTCACTCCCATCACTGCTTGATGTTACCCCAGTCGTGATATCCAGGACATCTGCGAGAGTATGCACTGGGAAAACAAGGGAGAAAAAATACAGATGGAAAAATAAACACCGATGCGGCATGCTGGTGTTTGAGCGATATACGTGGTGTGTGAAGCACAAGGGTCCATCTCCATGCGTACAACACAAAAAAAAAAAAAAAAAAAAAAAAAAAAAAAAAAAACACCACCAACAACAACACACAAAAAAACCAAAGCACACACACACACACACACACACACACACACACACACAAACACACACACACACACACACACACACACAAGAACAACAACAACAAAGCATGCAACAATATAGCAATCATCTTCATTGTACCTGTAGACATCTGTAGCTGTTGTAGCTCTGCGAGTACGGGAATAGGCGGGGTCGACGTAGCCGGGAGTGCCGAGGATGCGGGTGGTGCCGACGGAGGTGCCCTCGCCCATGCGCACGAGGCCAAAGTCGGCGACCTTGGCGTGCATGTGGCGGTCCAGCAGGATGTTGGCGAGCTTGATGTCCCGGTGCACGATGCCAAAGCTGTGCAGATACTCCAGCCCGTGTGCCGCCCCTATCAGGATCGCAAACCGCTGCGACAGCGTCAAGAACCTGGGCGCGTCTGATTGCGGGCGGGAAGCAGGGGATGTGGATGGAAAGAGGGTGAGATGGCGAGGTGGAGAATGAAATGAGGTTCAATGATAGCAGTGCCGGCACTCTAGCCCGTACGCCCCATCAACGAGACAGCACCCGATCACCACGTTATACTGCTTGGACAGCGTCAGGAACCTGGTTGCATCTGGACACGGGACAAAGGACGAGGGGTGTGGCGATGCGAATGCAGGCACACATCAATGCGTGATCACATGGCGGACACAACATGGCATAGCCAGCAGCAGTCACATGGCGGACACAACATGGCATAGCCAGCAGCAGTCACATGGCGGACACAACATGGCATAGCCAGCAGCAGTCACATGGCGGACACAACATGGCATAGCCAGCAGCAGTCACATGGCGGACACAACATGGCATAGCCAGCAGCAGTCACATGGCGGACACAACATGGCATAGCCAGCAGCAGTCACATGGCGGACACAACATGGCATAGCCAGCAGCAGTCACATGGCGGACACAACATGGCATAGCCAGCAGCAGTCACATGGCGGACACAACATGGCATAGCCAGCAGCAGTCACATGGCGGACACAACATGGCATAGCCAGCAGCAGTCACATGGCGTACCATCAGATGGCCTGCAATGACATTCCATACAGAAAACGGCAGTCACACCACACGGCATACATGAAATGGCATACGGTCAAATGGAACAGTCACATGACATACAGTCACATGACATACAGTCACATGACATACAGTCACATGACATACAGTCACATGACATACAGTCACATGACATACAGTCACATGACATACAGTCACATGACATACAGTCACATGACATACAGTCACATGACATACAGTCACATGACATACAGTCACATGACATACAGTCACATGACATACAGTCACATGACATACAGCCACATGACATACAGCCACATGACATACAGCCACATGACATACAGCCACATGACATACAGCCACATGACATACAGCCACATGACATACAGTCACATGACATACAGCCACATGACATACAGTCACATGACATACAATCACATGACATACAATCACATGACATACAGTCACATGACATACAATCACATGACATACAGTCACATGACATACAATCACATGACATACAGTCACATGACATGTCGCATGGCATACATTCGCATGGCATACGGTCGTACGTAAGCATACAGTCACACACACGGAGACAACAATAATCACAAAATATAGAATAACTCGGCATTCAGTAACATGGGATATACGTTACATGGCCCCACCCAGACTTAGAGGTCGCCGTGCAGCATGTACTTGTACAGTCACATGGCGTCACATGGCATACAATCACATGGCATACTTTCACATGGCATACAATCACATGGCATACAGTCACATGACATATGTCTCTCCAGCTCACCTGGCCCGACCCAGGTCTCGAGGTCTCCCCTGGCCCGACCCAGTGCCACCATGCGGTTCACCTCGCCCACTCAATTTCACGAGGTCTCACCTGGTCCTACCCAGGTCTCGAGGTCGCCGTTGAGCATGTACTCGTAGATGAGGATCTGCTCGGTGCGCTCGTTCACCACATCCATGTCCACACAGAACCCCAGCAGCCGCACCAGGTTTGGGTGGTGCTTCGATGCCATCTCGTTAATCTAACAACAAAAGTGTCAACCGTAGCGTGGGGGAGGAAACGGGTTGGAATAAATTTGATTGAAAGTAATGAAGCATGTGTGAAAAAGTAGAAAACTCAAAATCCTTTCTAGCCCCATGGGATCGTGGGGCATGAGTGTGGTTGCTTTGATATACACGAGCCCGCAGTCTGAACGAGCTCCCAGCGTCCTACTGCGAGTCTTGTGAACGAGCTCTCTCACCTCCCTCTTGAAGTCGTTGGTGATCACTTCTGCCCGCTTCAGTGCCCACAAATCCAACGGATCGGACACTTGGTTGGTTCGTTCAAACGCATGCATACTTGGCTGGCTTTTCAATGAGAGTGCTCACCTCTCGCTTGAAGTCATTGGTGATCACTTTCGCCCTCTTCACCGCCCACAGCACCGTGGGGTCCATGGGGTCAACAGCTCGATACACATCCGAGTACCCGCCGCTGCCAATCCTGCGCGTCTCGGAAAAGTCCTCCGTGACCTGCCGGATGAGGTCAAACGGGTACTGGTGGCACACCAGAGGCGTGCCTGACGACCCGCCCACGATGATCGGCCGAATGTAGTTTCCTGACCCTGGTACTGATCCCGCCGCTGATCCTGCTCCTGATCCTGTTCCACCTGCTGCTGCTCCTGCCCCTGCGGCGCCCATGGCTCCTGCGGCTGCAGCGGCTGCTGCTACCTCAGGGTCGTAGTTAGGGTTGATGGGTTTGATGCCCGGAGGGGCATTTTCAGCTGCGGGGGAGAGGAAAGGGACAGGTTGACCGGGAGGAGGAGGGAAGCAGCAGGGGAAATTAGTCTGGCAATTCACACTCAATACACACATTAAGAGTGACTATGGCATCGGCCAAATAGTCACCTGGCTGGTGTTTCTTAGAGTGGCATCTATTACTCTGATGACGACGAGAATACCACTTACCAGATAACAAAGTATCATACAAGGCGAGTTCTGCTCAGAACCAAGGTACAATGTTATTGTGTTGTGCATATGCCAGGGTATTTAAAAAAACGTAAGGTGTACCTTTGCGTCGTCTTCTTATAGCGCACAGGAAGATAACGAGGATGGCTCCGACGGTGGCGCAGAGGAGGGCGATGCCGCCCGCAGCGATGCCAATGATGGCTCCGGTTGACAGGGTGGCTGTAACGCATGTGACACAATAGAATACACGCAGAGTGGATATGTGGACGGATGAACGAAGCTTCGTGGGTCGACAACGATAAGTAAGTGCTGGCTGCTGCCACGTGGACTGGGTTGGGGGACACAGGTTCAACGAAGCAAGAGCACCTGTTGGGTGTTGACGAGGATGATGATGACGTGGACTCAGAGCAGTAACACGTGGAACGACAATCTCAGCTTGGCACACTCACGGGACGACGATGGCGTGGATGGCGGGGATGACGTGTTTGGCGCAGCTGGCGGGGGAGAAGGCGAAGGTTGGTAGTAACTAGGGGGAGAAACGGACGGTTGTACGGGAGGTTCAGGGGCTGCGTCGGAGCCCTGTGCAAAGGCGGAGAGGCGCAGATTGGCGGACAAGATTTGCTCCAGCAGCGCTGACCGCCGCGCAGCATCCCCGCCTGCTTCCCCCGCTCCTCCGCCTCCGACCCTCCCCTGCTCCCCCGCAAACACCCCCACCGCCTCCTCTTCCGGCGCTCGCCGCACGTCCGCCGCTTCCCCGCCGTCCACGTCGACCGCGCTCTCGTGATTCCGCCACACCTCGTTACGGCTCTCGTAGTTGCTGTGAGAGACCTCGTAACGTCTTTCGTGAATGTCGCTTTCACCGTCAGATGGATCTAAGCTTCTGATCTTCCACTGGTCGCTCGAACCGCCCGAACCGCCGACCATAGACGCCTCGCGTTGTGAGATGAAACCCAAGGCGAACTCATGCGGATCAACTTCCAAGACCGGATCTCGAAACGAGTCCCGCCGGACGCCGTGCCGCGTGCGAATCGGCGCGCTTAAATTCTCATTAGGTTCGGTCCCCGAGCCTTCGTTCCCGCCTCGGTTGCTGATCACAGTCAGCGGCGGAAAAAGCAGGCTAGATATTATATGGACGTCGCAGTTCTTTATCTTAATCGCATTCGCTTTCGTCACGCTCACATTGGCGACGAAAAAGCTATCTGAACCCATGTGCAGCTCCACGGGTGTACCCAAAAGGGTTGTCTCCCGTCCAGTCCAATCAAATGGAGATAGCCTAACGGGAATGAAGTGAAACATGAGTATTCTGCGTAGCGTCTCGCGGTTATCGGAGGACTGAAGACCCGCGAGCGCCGCAGGGGAGAGCGAGAGGAGCGCATCGTTAGAAGGCGCGAAGACTGTTAATGGGGATAGAGTGTGCAACTGAGGAACGTTTTCTAAAACGCCAGACTCTCGTAACAGATGCGCGAAACCGGTTAGTCCGTAAGCAGTCAGTCGAGCCGCTAAGTTATCGCCGTCTACAAGAGTATCGTCAAAGTTGGCAAGGACGGCGCCATTCGCGGCGGCATATGCGGGAGGATTGTGTAAAGACTCCTCTGCGAGAAACTGCGGAGCTAAGTCGTTCGTATTCAATGGTATAAAGTGAGGCTCGAAACTTTCCGGAAATCTTCCTGTCGCCGCCTCGCCAGCCACGATGCAGGCGGCGAGCAAAGCCAGAAGAGGTTGGAGGAACCTCATCTGCTTACAAGATCGCGATGTGAAGGAGCACTCTTCTAAAATTACTTTTCTCTAGGGGAGATTGAACGCCCAAAACCAAGGGGGGCTGAGCCGATTGTGCAGAAGTGTGGGTCGATGTCAACCAAGTCATGCATCTGTATGTGAAGCTGATTGTGCTTGTGCTCTGTAGGATCCCCTCCTTCGCGGCTAAACACTGATCGTCTACTATTCCCATTATCCCATATCTCTCACTCATCAGCATTCCTCCTGAGTAGCATACCTTCTAAACGCCATTGCCCTCCAATCCAAATGCTGCTTGGACATCTGCCTCATGCGAAGCTTGTTTGCCACACCAGTTCCGTTTCAGAAGCTTGCACGGATGCTGCCTTATAGGGAGGTCGTTCCTTTGTTGTACCTCAGTTCCATTTTGAACCAAGGCTCGCTTCCTGAGCTGAAGCAGGCTCTGACTTGCCGAGCCTAAAACCCAGGCTGTTCCCATACGCGTGTCGGTTTCAAGAGGTTCTGTGGTGGATTCTGGGCGCCAGACCTCGGTATTATTGGTTGACCAGTGTGGCTCGTCGTTACTGCTCTTTCCACAGCTTTGCCGAGCTTCAGGGCGCTGTGGCTTTCAGGTGGTTAGCGAAGGAACCTCTGAAGCCAGTTAGTAGGTTCGGATAGTCCAAACGTGCAGAGTGCCGTGTGAGGCATGGATGTGACTGGCTTGGACGTGTCGCTGTGACATAGCGCGACTCCATGTGACGGCGCGGAAAGGGTATGATGACTGTGATGCCTTGTAGCTGATTCAACAATATGCCTTGTGTGTGGTGGAATCCTACAAAAAGAAAGGTGGATGGAAAATGGCAGAGAGACCTCATATGGTAAAACAACAATAATACGCTTACGCCTATCCAGAAATAAATACCAATACAAAACAATTACAGTTGTCTCTCAGAGTATTTTTTAAGAAACAAAAAACAGTGCGTCTCACCCTGGCAGGATGAATTTTCAACATTGTGGGATCATCGTATATAGTGCATTATTTGGTAATGGTGTACTTCACCCACCTACTTGTTTGCAGCAGCTCTTCTTCTCCAGTGCCGTGATCCTCACGCGTTGTGCCTTTTCCAAACCACTGAGCGAATGTGGCTGCCATATGTATTTGCGGGCTTAGAATTCTGCGACGGAGCAAGGTCTCTCACGCGTTGTGCCGAAGTTCAGAAGCAGCATGGTCATTAGCTTGGCAGGATATATCGTTCTGCGACACCGTATAAATATTATAGGGCTGGTTATGAGCAGATGAAGGCCTGCCAGATTCACGATTGACATCACACTGTCAACAGAATACGTTTTTCTTGCGACGTGCTGTAGATTGGCCCTACTACCGTCGAAGACTATCCGCTTTTAGACCGAATAGAAGCAGGTGTGATGGATTCGGACGCTGCGTTTCTGCTTCCCGGTATCCATGACGACGCTGCGTTGATGTGCCTCGCAATGCTGCCACGTGGGTGCTACGGCGTCTTAAAGTGTGTCAGTCGTCAGTGGAAGGCAGCTTTAGAAGACGAGCACCTGTACAGGTAGGAACAGGTGTGACATAACTGCCGTCAACCACGGAACTTCTTTTGTTTTCAACAACTTCAGAGAAATTGTGTTGAGTCGGTTCAACTTGAATGCTTGTCAGTCACGCAATGTTTCAAACTTGACTCGCCTAAACATTTGTTTTTTTTGTTGTTGTAATCTTCCGCATGTGCAGCCTAAGGGAACAACTGCAACGCAAGGAGAGTTGGGTGTACGTCAATGTGTACCACCACCCTCTTCCTTCCGCCACCACCACTTCCTCCTCATCTTCCTTTCGAGGAGGCAAGCCACCCAGCCAAATTCGTGTGGACTCACTCTACGCCTTCTCGCCTAGTGAGTTTTTTTGCGTTTTCAAAGCATTCGTGATTACTCAGGTTACTTTTGCTGCCCTCGTCTTCTGTGCACGTCTTGGCGCTTAACAGATCCGAGCAGTTCTTCATATTTTAGCATTTCTTATCACACAATTCTCTGAATCAGTACATGTACCAAACTTTTTCACCCATGTTCCCCCACTTACATGATTCTCGTACTTTATCAGCTCCCCATCTGTGACTTACCATGTTACATCTAATTGGTTCATTCGCCATTCATTCCTTTCAGTTCTTGATCGATGGTTTCGGTTAAGCCAAGGCACATCCCCCCGCTCCTCTCGCCGCATCAAGACAGTAGCAGTGAAGCACAAGCAGTATATCTTCGGAGATGGCCTTGTTATCCGTGACGCTGTCACTGGCGCCTGCACACGTGGTCCGCAGTTGCCATCAGATGCTTTCCTCAACATGCAGCTGGCAGCTTCTGATTCGCATGTTGTCCTTGTCAGCACTACACCGCAGGTATGTACCCTGCGTGTAGTGAATAACATGTATCTATAAAACGTTCGTAACATTGGACTTCATCTGCCAGTTGTTTTATATTGCAACTTTTCAGCCGTCTGATTCCTTCCGTCTCTCATTCACCCTTCTCCCCATCATCCCTTCCACCCTTACCCTGGTTGCACTGACAGGTCATATTTGGAAATTCGGATAGCTTTGGAGATGTTGTTGCGCATGTGCTGGCGGTAAGTTCTCATGGCTTGCACTGTTCATCATGCTGTTAGTGTCTGTATGAACCTCTGCTTGATAGAGTGTTTACACGGATGTCATGGTGATGATATCGTGAATGTGCACATGGCCATGTGCTTGTACTGATTTTCAGGTGCTTGCCATGAATTTTGAGTAACAAGCAGTCCCTTTCATGCTCTCTCCCCTCCCTCTTCTCCCCTCTTCCCTCCTCTCGTTCGATTGTTACACTCTCAGGTGGATGAAGCAGGCATGCCGCATGGAGACTGGAAGAGACTTCCTCCACGCCGGTGGAAGGGGTAAGGCCATGCCAACCCATGATTGTCACTGTTTTTCCTTTTTCCAGACTTTAAGTTTCGGACACTTGTTGCAACTAGGCTGCCATGATAGGTGAAGAGTCGGCGGCTGAGCACAAGGCTTTTGGTGGTATAATGCATAAAACAACCCATAGTACCATTACATATTTTCAATTGGAGGGTCTTATCAGCTGGAAAGTTATTTTTTCTCTTGTTTTCGCTGCCCCAGCGTGATCTCTCTGCTTGCCCACGAGGGAGGTCTTTGGCACCTGATTGGGCGAGAGGCACAGGGCTTGCAGGATGGAGGTGTGAGAAGATATGGAGGGCTTGGAGGAAGGCGAGGAGGAGGGGAGAGGCGGTACAGGTGGGATCGCCACATCGCATCATTCGATCCGTGTACACTGCAATGGATAGAGACAGAGGAGGAAGAGGACGATGAAGAGGAGGAGGAGGACGGGGAGGGTTATGATATGTTGCGTGAAGTTGAGATTCGTGCTGCTTTTCTTGATGGTTATACTCGTGTGAGTAGCCCTGGGGAAGTTGATTGCGGGGAAGGGCCGGGGGGTTGCCACAAGAAGCTGTTGCTGCAAGCAGCTGCTGCGTGTGAAGCTTTGAGGCGCAGCCGGGACAGTCTGAGGCAATCCTTGCTCGATCTCCAAGGGAAGGGCTTGCAGGTGGAGATGAGGCGTTTGTTAACGCCTGGGCGTTTGGCTATCGATGACAGAGGACGAGAGCCGGGGGGTGGAAAGGAAGGGAAGCAAAATGCAAAGGTGGGTCTTTTGATCAATGAAGAGAATGTGGTTAGGGTGCTGGCGTCGGGTGGAACGGGGATGTTCAGAATCATTGGCGATCAGATGATGATAGTTCCTGTATCTGCGTGTGGCGGATACTTGACGGGGGCTGCTGGTAGTGAAGGGCTCGATGCTGGTGTTTGTATTGGTGCTGCTGCTCATGCATGTGGCACTTCTGAAAGTAGGAAGGGGAGCATGTTATGTTTGCTTCAAAAGGGGGAATCTATGGTGGTCTGGGAGGGAGTTTTGAATGATGTTCATGAAGTTGATGTGCCCTGGGGTGAACATATGGTTGGTGGGGCTTTTGTTATGAGCATCTAAATATGACTTTTGTGTTGTATTAAACTTCTAAACCTTTTTAGCACTGCTGTTGTAAAACTAAGTTACACCTTTAGTCTCAGCCAAATACAATATGCCCAATACCACGATGGAAAACCACCATAAATGAAATTGAGGGATCGTTAAGACTTTCTAGAGAGTTACACAGAGGGTAATAGTGTTCAGAGTCCTTATGCGTGTAGGACGGATGTATGAACGAAATTCTGCACATCTACTATGATCACAAGCGGGGATCAGTATAACGAGGATCATGCCGTGTTGCATTGCCACAAACTTCCATTGTAATGCTTCTCCTCACGTCCAAGGGGTCGTGGCTAGTGGGGCAGCGAAAATGGTTGACATTCGTGGGCTGTTCTAAGCGCGTGCAGAGCAAGGTCTCTCACGTGCAGAGGAAGTTCTTTTACGCATAGCGTCTTGCTAGATCGGCAGAGGCAGTGCACCATGACTAGGGGTGACGTTCCACTAAAGGCCTTTTGTCCGCCATTGATATCTTCCTGTCAGCAGCATAAATTGTTTCGACGACTTCATTGCAACGTGAATGTAAAAATTTACCATACGTCCGTCACTGCATTTACTGTGTTCTAGAGTCATACTGCCCGTATTGAGGTCAAACCTTCTGATATCAATTCGATTTAGAAGCAGGTGTGACCATGGGTTCGGACGCTGCCTTTCTGCTCCCGGGAATTCCTGACGATGCTGCGTTGATGTGCTTGGCGATGCTGCCACGTGGGTGCTACGGCGTCTTAAAGTGCGTCAGTCGTCGCTGGAAGGCAGCTTTAGAAGACGAGCACCTGTACAAGTAGGTGAGAACAGGTGTGGCATGACTTCCGTCAGCCACGCAATGTTGTAAGTTTAGGGTTAAGGTTTCTGCTTTTCTCATGTTTTCTCGACTTTTAGAGAAAGTATGTTGAGCAGGTTTAACTCGACTTCCTGCCAGCGTGTTACGAAATCGAAATCCGTGTTTGTTTTCTGTACTCTTCGCATGTGCAGACTAAGGGAGCAACTGGGATGCAAGGAGAGCTGGGTGTACGTCAATGTTTATCACCACCCTCCCCCTTCCGCCACCACTACTTCCTCCTCCGACTTTTCTTTCTTTCTTTCACCCAGCCAAATTCGTGTGGACTCACTCTATGCCTTCTCGCCTGGTGAGTTTTTCGTACTGCCTAAAGCACTCGTTTTGACTGAGGCGACTTCTGCTACGCGCATCTCTTCCGTCCTCGTCTTGCTCCTCAACACAACAAATTCCCGGAAGTTCAACTTTTTGTTTCCTCTCATTTTTTTTCATTCATTATCACGATGTTCTGAAGTACTATATGTACCAGCTCTTACCACGCATGCGCCACCATTCCATAACCCACCATCCGCTCCCGATTCCTGACTTACCTTGCCCCTATTCACTCCTTCCTTCTGCTCCCTACCATTAATGTTTTTACAGTTTTCAACAAATGGTTTCGGTTAAGCAAAACTACGTCTCCCCGCTCCACTCGCCGCGTCGGGACAGTAGCAGTGAAGCACAAGCAGTATATCTTCGGAAGCGACCTTGTTATTCGTGATGCTGTTACTGGCGCCTGCACACGTGGTCCGCAGTTGCCGGCTGATGGTTACTTCAACATCCAGCAGCTGGCAGCGTCTGATTCCCATGTTGTCCTTGTTAGCACCTTGCCACTGGTATGTGCCATTCGCCCATGCCATGTCATGACATTGCCTGAAACTGCTTGAGATAGCGAAACTGAGCTTGCCTGACGTTGCATGAGAACATTGTCCTGTCTGACACTGTCTGACATTGCGTGACATTCCCCGATTGGCCAGTTGTTTTGTGCCATTTCTATAGCTCGTGTTTCATCCCACCTTGTTTCTGCTCCCTCTATCCGCAAATGTTTGTTTTATTTAACTCCCCCACACGGTTTTTTCCCTGGTTGCAACTTCAGGAAATGTTTGAAGCCCCGGATATACTAAAAGGTGTCGCTGTAAATGTACTGGCGGTGAGTGCTGCTGGTATGATGATATTGTAATGCTTGTCCCGGTGTTGATTGCCGTTTCATTATGTTGTCAATAGCCTGCTGTTCGATAGGGTGTTGACACGGATGTCACGGTGATGGAATGCATGGGTATGTAGCTATGTGCTTGTACTGATGCCATGTGGTGGTCATGTGTTCACTCTCCTTCATGCTTTTATACTCCTCCTTCGATGTTTTACTCGCAGGTGGATGAAGCAGGCATGCCAGACGGAGAGTGGCAGAGACTTTCTGCACCCAGGTGGACGAGGTAAGGCCCAGCCAAGAGATGGGACATGAGCAGAGAGATAGGACCTGAGCAGAGAGATGGGACCTGAGCAGAGAGATGGGACCTGAGCAGAGAGATGAGACCTGAGCAGAGAGATGGGACCTGAGCAGAGAGATGGGACCTGAGCAGAGAGATGAGACCTGAGCACCGAGATGAGACCTGAGCAGAGAGATGAGACCTGAGCAGAGAGATGGGACCTGAGCAGAGAGATGAGACCTGAGCAGAGAGATTTTGGTGGTGTAAGACATGAAATGAAGCAATGCATGGGCTAGTAGCATAGCATCATCATGGTTGGATCTTGGAAAGTCTTATGTCTTGGTATTTCTGACTTCATTCCTATAGCTTACAATTTCGTTCCTCGCATGTTTTCACTACCCCAGCCTTATCGCTCTGCTTGCTCACGAGGAAGGTCTTTGGCACCTGATTGGTCGAGAGGGGTGGGACTGGGAGGAGGAAGAGGAAGAGGAGGAAGTGGAAGGAGGAAGAGGAAGAGGAGGGGAGATGATGCGGTATACGTGTGATCGCCAAATGGCATCATTCGACCCGTATAGATTGCAATGGATAGATGCAGATGAGGAGGAAGAGGATGTTTATTATCCTTTGCTTTAAGCGGGCACGATGCATGGCGACATGCATGCAGATGTTGCTCTTGATGGTGGTGATTCAAGTGAAAGTAACTCTCATGGTACGGTGGAAGTTGATTATGGCGAAGGACCTGGGGGATGTCACAAGCAGCTGTTGCTGCAAGCAGCTGCTGCATCTGATGCATTAGGGTTCAGACACGAAACTTTGAGGCGAGACTTGCTCGTGCTCCAGGGTGAGGAATTGCAGTTAGAGATGAGGCGTTTGTTGACGCGTGGGCCTGAACCATTTGAGGTGTATGACTGGGGAGGAGAGCGGGGGAGGAGAAAGGGAGGGAAGGAAGATGCAAAGGTGGTTCTTTTGGTTAATGAAGAGAATGTGGTGCGGGTGATGGCATCGGGTGGAACAGGGAGACTGAGCATCATTGGAGGCCAGATTTTGATCATTCCTGTTGCTGCTGCTGGCGAATACTCGACTGGGTCTGCTGGTAGCATTGGATTGGCTGCTGGTGTGTGTACTGTTGCTGCTGATGGATGTGGTGGTTCTAAAAGAAGGGAGGGAAGCTTGTTATGTTTGTTACGAAAAGGGGAATCCATGATAGTTTGGAAGGGAGTCGCGAATGCACTTGATGAAGTTGAAGTGCCATGGGGCAAACATATTCCTGATTGCGCCTTTGTCATGAGCATGTGAATTCTTGTTCTGCAGTATGAACTGATTATCTGAGCAATGGTGTATTGAGTCATCGTGAATTGAATAGTGTATTGAGTCATGAAAGGAAGAGTGCAGAAGCCAATAAAGAAGTGTTTACACGCCCTGGTTAGTGTAAATTTCGAAAGTCTACATTGTGTCTTTTCAGCAGTATAGAGTCGTCGTAAAAAGAGTATTTTTGGTCCACTGCTTTGTGCCTTGATTGCTCTATTGCCGTGCTTCTCGCGCATTCTGCTCTCCTGCTGAAACTGCCGTCTGTGTTCGCCAGTTCGAAAGCGAATGTGTCTTGAAATCACCTGCATTCGTAGCTGTAGAGAGTCGCCCTATTTTAGCCTTCAATGTGTTTTCTGCATCGAAGAGCCTTACCGCCCATATTCAGGTCGATCTTGCTGACATAAACCCGAATAGAAGCAGGTGTGACTATGGGTTCGAATGCTGCGTTTTTGCTTCCAGGAATTCCTGACGACGCTGCGTTGATGTGCTTGGCGATGCTGCCACGTGGGTGCTACGGCGTCTTAAAATGCGTCAGTCGTCGCTGCAAGGCAGCTCTAGAAGACGAGCACGTCTACAGGTAAGTAAGAACATGTGTGTCTTGAGTACCGTCTGCCGCGCGATGTCGTGAGTTTTTTTGTTTTTTATTTTCTTCTTTTTCTTTCTTTCTTTCCCCCATCATCTATAGGGAAAAGCAAAAGCAAGTTTATCTCGACTGCCTGGCATCTCGCATTGTTTCAGCGTTGACTCGGCCAAATAGCTGATTCTCTTTTCTGTACTCTTTCCGCATGTGCAGTCTAAGGGAACAACTGGGACGCAAGGAGAGCTGGGTGTACGTCAATGTGTACCACCACCCTCCCCCTTCCGACACGACCACCTCCTCCTCCTCTTCCCTCTCTTCCTTTCGAGGAGGCAAGCCACCCAGCCAAATTCGCGTGGACTCACTCTATGCCTTCTCGCCAAGTGAGTTTTTTTTTTTAATATTATTTTTTTCTGATTCCTAAAGCACTCACCTCGATCTGAGTGGCTTCTGCTGCACGGTATCTTTCGTCCAAAAAAAAAAAATCCAGCATTTTTTATTTACACAATGCTCTGAACTGAACCCTAAACTACATGTACCAGCTCTTACCGCTCGTGGTTTCGCCACTTTTCATTATATTAAACACCGCCATCATCTCCCCATTCCTGACGTCCTTTGGCCTAATTGCTCCCCACCTTCTTTTCCTCGTCATTTTGTTTCTCCCAGTTTTAAACAAATGGTTCCGGTTAAGCGAAACTACATCTCCCCGCTCCTCTCGCCGCATCAAAACAGTAGCAGTGAAGCACAAGCAGTATATTTTTGGAGATAATATTGCTATTCGTGACACAGTCACTGGCGCCTGCACACGTGGACCCCAGTTACCGTCAGATTCTTACCTCGCCGCCCAGCTGGCAGCGTCCGATTCGCATGTTGTCCTTGTCAGCGCCTCGCCACAGGTACGTGCCATGCACCCATGCCATGCATGACATTGCACAAAACTGCTTGACATTGCACAAAACTGCTTGACATTGCATGAAACTGCTCAAAATTACCTGAAGTTGCTTGACATTGCGAAAGTGTGCTTGACACGGCCTGATATTGCGTGACATCATGGCGTTGCTCAATAACCATATCTTTTGTTACATCTCTAGAGCACTTTCACTCACGCATTCCATTCCCGCTTGTTTCTGCTCCCTCTATTCATGACAAGCTCTCTTTCATCTCCTCCCCTGCATTTTACCCTGGTTGCGCTCGCAGGTCGTATTTGGAGATCCCGATAGTCCCGGAGATGTCATTGTGCACGTTTTGGCGGTGAGTACTGATGGTATGGCGGCATAGTTATGCTCCAGCTAGTGATAATTGTCATTTTATAATGTTGCTGATGTCAACATGTCAGTATGGGGCTGCGGCTTGATTGGATGTTGACACAGATGTTATGGTGATGCAATCATTCATGTGCATGCAACCATGTATGTTTGTTTCTTTTTCGTTTTCCAGGTGGATGAAGCAGGCATGCCACATGGAGAGTGGCAGAAACTCTCGCCACGCAGGTGGACGGGGTAAGGCCTAGCCTAACCCTAAACCCTTACTGTTATGTTCATGGTGAAGAAAGTCTGAGATGAATTTGATGAGTGCCTTAATTTTTCCTTCACTTTCTTGTTGTTGTAAATATCAAAATTTCACTGCGTGTAGGTTGGAATGGTGAGTATGAGTTGATGGCTGAGCACAGTGACCGTTGTGATACTAGGCAATCAAGAACGCACGGTTTAGTACCTTCACATGTGTTTTTTTTTTGGAGAGTGTTATGTGCTGTTATTGTTAATTTCCTTCCCATGGCTGACAAGATTTTTTTCTTGCTTGCTTTCACTGCCCCAGCCTTGTCTCTCTGCTTGCCCACGAGGGAGGTCTCTGGCACCTGATTGGTCGACAGGCACAAGGCTTGCATGGAAATGGCGGAGTGGCAGGAAGGGGAGGGCGGAGAGGAAGAGGAGGGGAGAGGATGCGGTACAGGTGGGATCGCCAGATGGCATCGTTCGACCCGTATACGCTGCAATGGATAGAGGCAGATGAGGAGGAAGAGGAGGAAGAGGAGGATTTAGATCCTTTGCTCGAAGCTGGCACAATGCATGGAGACAGGCATGCAGATGCTGCTGTTGGTGGTGGTGTTGTGGAAGTTGAATGTGGGGAAGGGCCTGGGGGATGTCACAAGCAGCTGTTGCTGCAGGCAGCTGCTGCGTGTGAAGCATTGAGGCACAGGCAGGAGACTTTGAGGCGAGACTTGCTTGTGCTCCAAGGTGAGGACTTGCAGTTAGAGATGAGGCGTTTGCTGACACGTGGGCCTGAACCATTGGTTGGTGATGAACGGGGACTAGAGCGGGAGAGGAAAAAGGGAGGGAAGGTGGGTCTCTTGGTTAATAAAGAGAACGTGGTGAGGGTGATGGCGTCAGGTGGAACAGGGATATTAAGCATAATTGGAGATCAAATGATGATCATTCCAGTAGCTGCTGGTGATGGATACATGTCGGGGTTTGCTGGTGGCGAAGAATTGGCTGGTGGTGTGCGTATTGGTGCTGCTGAAGCATGCAATGGCTCTGAAAGCAAAAAGGGGAGCATGTTATGCTTGCTTCAAAAGGGGGGATCCATGGTGGTTTGGGAGGGGGGTTTGGATGCCATTTATGAATTTGAAGTGCCTTGGGTTGAACATATTCCTGGTGGGGCTTTTGTCATGAGCATGTGAATACTCATGTCGTGCTGTATGAATTGTTTAAACTTTTTAGCACAGCTGTTGTAAAACTAGGCGGTACCTACCTTAATCTCCTCCAAGTGTAATCCCCCCTACCATGGGTAACCATGCCCTTGGACTGTAAAACCAAGTTGGGTCATTAAGAAAGCTGCAGTGGGCAGCGTTCAGAGTCCGTATGCCAAGTATAGCGGAATACGATTCCCAACTAAAAACGTAATATGCGCTATAGCCCCTTTGTTTGTGGGTGATTTATTAACTTGACAACACATAACGGGCGGAGATTTTTGCAAAGATAATACAACTGTATAGGAGAACGAGTACAACACGTATCATGCTGCACTGCTCCAGGTCCGCATTGTTGTGCGGTTCTCCTCACGAGTTCTATCTGCTGCAGATTTCCTTGCACTCGTCACCAGTCCCTCCCATTCGTGGGCTGTTCTCAACGCGTGCAGAGCAAGGTCTCGCATTCACAGATCGGCAGCAGCGATAGTGCACAGTGGCACTGGTGATGGTCAAATAAGGGCATTTGTCCGCCATTGTTATTTTATTGTCAGCAGTATAAATTGTTCCGAACGATTTTCATTGCAACGTGCATAGATTCATCCTACTATTGTGGCCGTCAGTGCAATTTCTGTGTCCGAGAGTCATACTGCCGTATTCGGGTCGAACCTTTCTGGAATCAATTCGGTTAGAAGCAGGTGTGTGTGACCATGGGTTCGGACGCTTCGTTTCTGATTCCCGGTATTCCGGACGACGCTGCGTTGATGTGCTTGGCGATGGTGCCACGTGGGTGCTACGGCGTCTTAAAGCGCGTCAGTCGTCGCTGGAAGGCAGCTCTGGAAGGCGAGCACGTGTACAGGTAAGGCGTGCCTTGAGTACCGTCTGCCACGCGATGTTGTAATCGTAATTTCTTTTTGTTTCTGGTGTTTGCTGGTAAGGCAAAACGCATTGAGCAGGTTGATCTCGACTGCCTGCCATCACGCAATGCTACAGCTTTGACTAGGCCAAATAGCTTATATTTTGGTTTTCTGCACTCTTTCCGCATGTGCAGCCTAAGAGAACAACTGGGACGCAAGGAGAGCTGGGTGTACGTCAATGTGAACCATTACGATACCTCTTCATCCTCTTCCCACTCCTCCTCCTATCGTATGAACTTACTCTACTCCTCCTCCTATCGTATGGACTCACTCTATGCCTTCTCGCCCAGTAAGTTCTTGGTAATTCCGTCAGCACTCTTTTCAGTCAAAATCTCGACACACAACAGCTCCTGGGCAGTTGATTCTCATTTTCAGCATTTTTAATTCCACAATGCTCCGAAATACTTCATGTACCAGTTCTTTATACCCCTGTTCCCCGCTCTCCATGATCCCGCTGCTTCATAAGCTCCCCATCACATACTCACCCTGCTCCGTGTGATTCATTCCTTCTGTTCCGTCACCGTTTATTCCATTCAGTTCTTAACAGATGGTTTAAGTTTAGCGAGATGGCATCTTTCGGCCCCTTTCGCTTCACCGACATAGTAGCAGTGAAGCACAAGCAGTATGAAATCGGAGGTGATCTTCTTATCCGCGATGCTTTCACTGGCGACTGCACACGTGGACCCCAGGTGCCGCGTGATGCTTGCCTATTCATGGGTGGAAGTCAGGTGGCAGCTTCGGATTCGCATGTTGTCATTGTCAGCCCAACACCACGGGTATGTACCCTGCGTTCGCCATGCCATGTATGCCTGAAACGTCTGTAACATTGCATGGCCAAGCCTGACAGTGCCTAACAGTTCAGTTGACATTGCATGGCAGCGCATTTATATTGCTTCTTCTACTACTTGTTTTATTGCAAGCTTTTCACCGTTCACAAATCCCTTTCCTCTCTCCATCGCCCTTTTTCCCATCATCCTTTCGACCCCCCTTCTCATCCTCCTCCCCCTTCTTCTCCCCATCCCTTGTTTCTCACCCTGGTTGCACTGGCAGCATCTTCTTGAAACTTCGGGTGTCGTTGCGTTTGTTCTGGCGGTAAGTTTTGATGAGTTGGTGTTAATGTTATGCATGCGCTTGTGATGGTAAATATTACTCAAGCTGCTATTGTTGTGCATGTGCTGGGGGTAAGTTCTGGCTAGTTGATGTATTGTTGTGCGTGCGCTGGTGATGATGCGTGCGCTGGTGGTGACTGTTATTACTCATATTGTTGGACAAAATGGACCGTCATTAGCCAAAGTGGACCTCCTGTTTGGGTGTTGACACGGATCTTACGGTCATGCAATCGTGAATGTGCATGTTGCCATGTCTTTGTACTGATGCCCTGGTGATTGTCATGAATTTCGAGCAACAGGCATTCCCCGTCATGCTCTCTCTTCCCCCTTCCTCTCTCTCGGGCGTCAACTCTCAGGTGGATGAAGCAGGCATGCCACGTGGAGATTGGAGTAGACTTCCTCCACAACGGTGGACGGGGTAAGACCGAGGGCAGAGCCGTTCCATGATAGCCATCGTTTTTTTTTTTTTTTTTTTTTTTTTTTTTTTTTTTTCCCTCCAAACCTTCAAGTTCCAGACACATGTTTCAAACAGGCTGGAAGTAGGCTAAGAGTTGGTGGTTGAGCGCAAGGCTCTTGGTGACATTAAATCAACACAAGGCTAGCCATCCTTACATATGTCGCTTAATGAAGGGTCTTATTTGCTGGTATTTTCTGGTTTCCTTTTAATTTCTGACAATTCTTTCCCTTTCTTGTTTTCACTTCCCCAGCCTTGTCTCTTTTCTGGCTCACGAGGGAGGTCTCTGGCACCTGCTTGGTCCACCAGATGGATACGGCTTTCAGGGTGGAGATGTGAGAGGAAGAGGAGGAGAGAGGATGCGGTACAGGTGGGATCGCCAGATGGCATCGTTCGACCCGCACAGACTGCAATGGATAGAAGCGGATGAGGAGGAGGAGGAGGAAGAGGAGGAAGAGGAGGAAGAGGAGGATTTTGATCCTTTGCTCGAAGCTGGCACGATGGATGGAGACAGGCATGCAGATGCTGCTGTAGGTGGCATGATGCATGCTGTTGCTGCATCTGTCCTGCGCCTTGCCAACCGCCTCCTCACCCACGTCCCTCGCCACCTTGCCACCCGCCCCACACCCCCCCGCCCCCTCACCACCACCACCAGCACCACCACTAGCAGTGTGCAGGGTGGTGTGGAGGTTGATTGTGGGAAAGGGCCGCGGGGATGCCACAAGCAGCTGTTACTGCAGGCAGGTGCTGCGTATGATGCACTGAGCAACAGCCGACTGATTATGAAGCGAGAGTTGCTTGCGTATAAAGGTGAGAAGTTGCAGTTAACTATGAGGCGTTTGTTGACACGTGGACCTGAAGCATCTGCTGTTGATGCCGGGGGACGAGAGGGGGGGAGGAAGAAGGGAGGGAAGAAAGATGCAAAGGTGGGTATTCTGGTTAACGAAGAGAACGTGGTGAGGGTTATGGCGTCAGGTGGAACAGGGATTAAAAGAAACCAGGTGATGATCATTCCTGTAGCTGCTGCTGCTGGTGGATACGCGACTAGATCTGCTGGTGGAGAAGGAATGGCAGCTGGTGTTGGGGCTGCCGATAGTAGATTCGGAACTTCTGGAAGGAGAATGGGGAGCATCTTATGTGTGGTTCAAAAGGGAAAACCTATGGTGCTTTGGGAGGGAGTTCCGAATGCCGTTTATGAGATTGAAGTGCCGTGGGGTGAACATACGCCTAGTGTTGCTTTTGTAACGTGCATGTGAACATTCTTGTTGCTCAATATATAATAGCCTCGAATTTTTTTAGTGATGTAGCAGAACCTAGACTATTATTGTAACACAGATTGCTTGGTTCATGCTGAGCCGAGTAGAGCATATTATCTGGCACTCGGGTTACATGGCTTCGCGCTCGCCAGCATATGGCGCAGCGACAGTCACAGTTCAAGTGCCCTGCGTGACAAAGATGAAACTGTTCCGCTTTGTGGAGCCACCTGCCCAATCATGAGAGGCAGTTCAAGCCCTGTTTCTGTTTTCTCGACCTTGCGGTTCAGTGAAAGATGATACGTCACGGCAGGATTTGTGCTGCAGAACAAGTCAACTTGGCGTCAACGTCAGGCAGGGGTAGCTGCAATTTGGAGGTGAGTGTCAAGAATAGAAGTGTGTGTTCATTGATGTGGGTTGGGCTACATATAACAACATTTGACACACCCCCATAGCCTAAGTGAGGGGTGTCAAGCAAAACCAAAAGTGTACGGTCACAAGACTAGTCACAAAGAAACAAAGCTCAGGGTGGATCACAACGTCACCACACACTCTGAGCACAAGACTTGATGCAAGACTTGCTTGTGCTTCAAGGAGAGGAATTGCAGCTCGAGATGAGGCGTTTATTGACACGTGGACCTCAACCATTGGCTGTTGATGACCAGGGACGAGACGGGGGGAGGGAAAAAGGAGGGAAGGAAAGTTTGAAGGTGGGTCTCTTGGTTAATGAAGAAAACGTTGTGAGGATGATGGCGTCAGGTGGAACAGGGATATTCAACATCATTTGCGACATGTTGATAATCATTCATGTAGCTGCTGGTGATGGATACACGTCGGGCTTGGCTGCTGGTGTGTGTATTGGTGCTGCTGATGCATGCAATGGCTCTGAAAGAAAGAAGGGGAGCATGTTATGTTTGCTTCAAGAGGGGGGACCCATGGTGGTTTGGGAGAGGGGTTTGGATGCCGTTTATGAGACTGAACTGCCATGGGGTGAAGGTGAACATATGGCTGGTGGGGCCTTTGTCATGAGCATGTGAATATTTTTGTCGTGCTGTGTGAATTGTCTAAACTTTTTTTGCACATGCTGTTGTAAAGCTAGGCCTAGGCCTCTGCCAAATTTACTCCCTCTACCCTTGGCTTGGCTGTGTGAAACCGAGGATTTGTAGGGTTGATTAGAATGTTGCAGTGGGGCAGCGCAGAGTCCTTTTGAAGGTAGGGCGATAATAGAGTCCCATCAAAAGACAGCAGATGGACCATGGTCACAAAGAGGGAATTTTGAAACAACCAGGTGTTCAGGATTTCATAGCCACTTCGTTTATGGGTGTCAAATTTATTAATTTGACAAACATAAACGATGCCTTTTGTGAGGTGATACGGGGATCATTCTGCTGCTCCAGATCTCCATTGCGGTGCTTACTTCACCTGTTCTGTCTGCTTCACAGATTTCCTTGGGCTTGTCAGACAGGGCCATTCGTTGGCTGTTCCCAACTCGAGCGGAGCAAGGTCTCTCGAAACTGGCGATCTATCAAGAAATTGCGCAGCTTCTTGATAGATCGGCAGAGCCAATGCTCCGTGGCACTGGTGATGGTAAATTGAAGACCTTTAGTCCGCAATTGGTTCCTGTCAGCAGCATAGATTGTTTCGACGACCTTTATTGCAACGTGAATAAATATATTGACCCTACAATCGTGGCCGTCACTGCATTTTCTGTGTTCTGGCCGTCATACTGTCTGTATTGAGGACGAACCTTCTGCGATAAAACCGGTTAGAAGCAGGTGTGACCATGGGTTCGGACGCTGCCTTTCTGCTTCCGGGTATTCCTGACGACGCGGCGTTGATGTGCTTGGCGATGCTGCCACGTGGGTGCTACGGCGTCTTGAAGTGCGTCAGTCGTCGCTGGAAGGCAGCTCTAGAAGACGAGCACGTGTACAGGTAGTAAGAACAGGCGTGGCTTGACTGCCGTCAATTACGCAATGTTGTAAGTTCTTTGTTTTCTCGAATCTTAGATCAGATTAGTATGGTGAGCAGGTTCGGCTCGACTGCGTGTCAGCCACGTGATGTTTTCTCGTTTGTTGTCTGTACCCTTTCCGCAAGTGCAGTCTCAGGGAACAACTGGGACGCACGGAGAGCTGGGTGTATGTCAACGTCTACCACCACCCTCCCCCTTCCGCCACCACCGCTTCCAACTCCTCGCACCCTTCCTTTCGAGGAGGCGTTCGTCTAGACTCACTCTATGCCTTCTCACCCAGTGAGTTTTTCGAAGCACACGATTCGACTCATGTGACTTCAGCTGCGCGCTCTTGTCCGTTCAGCATTTTTCATTCCACATGAACCAGCTCTTACCACTCATGGTTACCCCACTGTCCACAATTCCGTACCGTACCCCACCATCAGCTCCCCATTCCTTCCTTCCGCTCCTTACCATTTGATTTTTCCAGTTTTAAACAAATGGTTCAGGTTAAGCGAAACTGCTGCTCCTCTCGCCTCATCAACACAGTAGCAGTTAAGCAGAAGCAGTATTTTTTCAGAGGTGACCTTGTTATCCGTGACGCTGTCACTGGCGCCTGCACACGTGGTCCCCAGTTGCCGCCTGATGCTCGCCTCAACATCCATCTGGCAGTGTCTGATTCGCACATTGTCCTTGTCAGCGATTCGCCACAGGTATGTACCGTGTGCCCATACCATCCGTGCCTGAAACTTTTTAACATTGCATGGCCAAAGCTGACATTTGTGTTGACATTGCATGGCAGCGAATTTGTTTGCAGTTGTTTGTTTCATTGCAACCTTTCATCTGTTGACTGATTCCTTCCGCTCTTGTTTCTGCTCCGTTTCTCCATGACTAGCTCTCTTTTTCCCCCTTTGGTTCCTACCCTGGCGGCACTGACAGGTACCATATGGGAATGTGGAAAGCATTGGTGATACTATTGTGCATGTGCTGGGGGTGAGTTCTGACTAGATGATGTATTGTTGTGCGTGCGCTGGTGATTATTGTTATTCCTCATATTGTTGAGCCAATATGGACTTCATGTTTGGTAGGGTGTTGACACGGACGTTACGGTCATGCAACTGGGAATGTGCATGTTGCCATGCCCTTGTACTGATGTTCCTGTCCAGGTGATTGTCATGAATTTCGAGCACCAGGCAGTCTCCTTCATGCTCTCTCCTCCCTTCTCTTGCCTGCTCTCTCGGTCGTCAACTCTCAGGTGGATGAAGCAGGCATGCCACATGGGAAGTGGAGAAAACTTCCTCCACGTCGGCGGATGGGGTAAGACCGAGGGGCGGAGCCATGCCATGAGTGCCATTGTTGTTGTTGTTGTTTTTTTTGTTTTTTACCCAGACTGCTCAGTTGTGGACACATATTTCCAACAGGCTGGAATGGTGGGCTTGTCAAACATATGTTTATATATTATAGTTTAAGTAGGCTTTAGTGGGGTACTCACTGTGGGGTACAACCCCTTAGGTTTCACTCTTGTACCAAACCTTCTCGATAGTTGAATCATCCCTACCACCCTACTCTAACATGGTATTAAGAGCACTTAGGTCTTAGGACCTAGTTTCCTAGTAGGCCCACCGTTACCTCTCTTGTTTTTAGGGTTTCCCCTGCCTGTCGAGCTGCCCCACCCGTCGCGCCGCCCTGCTGGCCGCGCGACGCGCATTTTTTTTTTTTCGATTTTTCGATTTTTCTATTTTTAGGCGTTTATTTTCGATTTTTCTTCGTTTTTTCTCGTCACGCCGCCCTAGGGCCCGGCCCCGCCCGTCGCGTCGCCTTAGGGCCTTCGCGCCGCCCACGGGAGCCAGTCGCGCTGCCCTGCTGGCAGCGCGCGACCCCGCCTGGCCCGTCGCGCACCTGTAGGGCCCGCGAGCCGCCCGTCCCTGCCCGCCGCGCCGCCCCTTTTTGGCAGCGCGCGGCTCGACCCCGACCTCGCGCACCCCTACGGCCCTCGTGCCGAGCTCTACCCGCTATTGCGGCCCCGCCCTGCCCCAACGTCGCCCCCAGAGCAGCCGCCCCTGGCTCCTGCAGCAGCCGCCCCTAGTGCAGCCGCCCCTGGACCGAGAGCAGCCGCCCCTGGCCCCTGAAGCAGCCGCCCCTGGTGCAGCCGCCCCTAGACCCTCGAGCAGCCGCCCCTGGACCCAGAGCAGCCGCCCCTGGCTCCTACAGCAGCCGCCCCTGGTGCAGCCGCCCCTGGACCCTGAGCAGCCGCCCCTGGCCCCTGCAGCAGCCGCCCCTGGTGCAGCCGCCCCTGGACCCTCGAGCAGCCGCCCCTGGACCCAGAGCAGCCGCCCCTGGCCCCTGAAGCAGCCGCCCCTGGTGCAGCCGCCCCTGGACCCTGAGCAGCCGCCCCTGGACCGAGAGCAGCCACCCCTGGCTCCTGCAGCAGCCGCCCCTGGTGCAGCCGCCCCTGGACCCAGAGCAGCCGCCCCTGGCCCCTGCAGCAGCCGCCCCTGGTGCAGCCGCCCCTGGACCCTGCAGCAACCGCCCCTGGACCCAGAGCAGCCGCCCCTGGTCCCTGAAGCAGCCGCCCCTCCGTGCAGCCGCCCCTGGACCCCGTGCAGCCGCCCGCCGAGCGCCGGCCCTGCTCGCCCGGCGAGCGCCTACTCTTCCCGCCACTGGTGAGCACCTGCCTTGTTAGCGCACTGCCTGGCTGCCTGCCTGCCGCGCCTGCCCTGCCCGCCTGCCTGCCTGCCTGCCGGCCTGCTCGCCTGCCTGCCTGCCTGCCTGCCTGTCGGCCTGCCTGCCTGCCCGCGCTGCTACTGCTACTGCTGCCGCTACTTCTGTTACTGCTGCTAGGCTGCTGCTGCTGCTACTACTGCGATGCAGCTCCAGCGCCGTCCGCGCGAGTCTCTCACGCCCCAGCAGCTTCGTGAGTGGTACGGTAGTTGGGGTTGTGGCGGTAGCCGTCGTGGCTGTAGCCCTGGAGCTGGTCCGTTGGGAGCGTCTGGCAGTGGCCAGCCGCAGCTGCAGCGGCGTTCGCGAGAGACACTTACATCCCGGCAACTTCACGAGTGGTACGCTCAGAGTAGAGGGTCTTTGAGTCCAGTTCGCTGCCCGTACGTCATTCGCACAGGTGATCGGACTGGTCAGCCTTACGGGACGCCTGGTCACACACAGTCCCGCTGCTTCGCCCGTCTGAGCGACGCCTGGCGTACCGAGTTTGGCGACGAGGCTGAGCTCCCCACCTGGTTGGAGCTGCTTGGACAGAGGGTAGATATCTTTGCTCTTGACTATGATGCTATTCTCACTGCCATGTATGCATTGCCTACTAGTGCCGAGCGTGCCTGTTACCTGTGCGTACCACCTGACCCAGGTATAGAGCCTGCTGCTCTAGGTGCTGGTGAGGCTACTGCTCTAGGTGCTACTGCGTCTCCTGCTCTAGGTGCTGGTGAGGCTGCTGCTCTAGGTACTGGTGAGTCTGCCCTCTCTAGTACTGCGCATACTGAGGCCTTGTACACCTTCACACTTGACTCCGGTGCCTCTCGCTCTTTCTTTCGCGACAGCACCACCCTCACGCCGCTCAGTCGGCCGGTTCCAGTCTCCCTGGCAGACCCCTCTGGGGGTCCAGTCCGTGCGACCTCCTCCACTGTCCTCCCTTGTCCTGCTGTCCCGTCCGGCACACTGTCGGGTCTTTACCTCCCCTCGTTCTCTACGAACTTGGTGGCGGGTTCCGCGCTCCAGGACGCGGGTGTTCACCAGTTCACCCCTGCCTACGAGCGTGTGACACACTGCACGTGTGCTCAGACTGGTCGTCACCTGGCTACCTTCACTCGGCAGCCGGGGTCGGGCCTGTACACACTGACCACTGAGTCCCCTCAGGTAGCTGCGTCTGCGTCTGCGTCAGGTCAGTTGTCGGCCCCCTGCTCGTGTCGTGCCTTGTCGCACCAGACCCTCCTTTGGCACCACCGCCTTGGTCACCCCTCGGTGCAGCGCCTTCGCAGCATGCACTGCCTTGTCCTTGTTTCTGGTCTTCCCAGGGTTCTCCCTCCCCTCCCACCCTCGCCTGCTCCTCCCTGTCTTCCCTGTGTCGAGGGGCGGCAGCGCGCCGCTCCTCACTCCTCCTCGTTCCCTCCCACAGAGGCTCCCTTGCAGACTCTCCACCTGGACGTGTGGGGCCCAGCCCGCGTCCGTGGACAGGGCCGCGAGCGGTACTTCCTGCTGGTCGTCGACGACTACACGCGTTACACCACGGTCTTCCCCTTGCGCAGCAAGGGGGAGGTCCCTGATGTTTTGATCCCCTGGATCCGCGCTACTCGTCTCCAGCTCCGCGAGCGGTTCCAGTCGGACTTTCCTGTCCTGCGTCTGCACTCTGACAGAGGTGGTGAGTTCTCCTCAGACCTCTTGGCAGCCTACTGTGCGGAGGACGGCATCCGCCAGTCGTTCACGCTTCCGGCCTCTCCGCAGCAGAATGGGGTTGCTGAGCGCCGCATTGGCTTAGTCATGGAGGTCGCTCGTACCTCCATGATCCATGCGGCTGCCCCCCATTTTCTGTGGCCGTTTGCGGTCCGGTACGCCGCGCATCAGCTCAACCTCTGGCCCCGTGTCTCCTTGCCGGAGACCTCGCCCACACTGCTGTGGACGGGGAAGGTTGGCGATGCGTCGCGTTTCCGGGTCTGGGGTGCTCGTGCCTTTGTCCGCGATACCACTGCGGACAAGCTCTCCGCCCGCGCTGTTCCCTGTGTCTTCCTTGGCTTCGTCCCTGAAGCGCCTGGTTGGCAGTTTTACCACCCCACCTCGCGCCGTGTCTTCCCCTCTCAGGACGTCACGTTCGACGAGCCGGTTCCCTTTTACCGTCTCTTCCCCTACCGCACTGCCCCTCTCCCCCCCCCGCCGCTCTTCCTCGCTCCAGGTGCTCCCCAGGTAGACCCCCTCCCCGCTCCCGGTCCTGCTCCTTCAGGTGTGTCTCAGGTAGACCCTCCTCCTCAGGTTGAGGTCACTAAGGACTCAGGTCCTGCTGAGGGTGGTGCTGCTGCTGGGGGTGCTGAGCCTGGGGGTGCGAAGCCTGGGGGTGCTGAGCCTGGGGGTGCTGAGCCTGGGGGTGCTGAGCCTGGGGGTGCGGAGCCTGGGGGTGCGGAGACTGTAGGTGCTGAGCCTGGGTGTGAGGAGTCTGGGGGTGCTGAGCCTGGGGGCACTGAGGCGTCTGGTGAGCAGTCTCCCGGGAGCGGCCGTCTCCGTAGTCGCTCCGCTGGTGCCTCGCCGCTGCGCTCTCGTCGTCGACTCCCTCTCTCCCCACAGCAGCTGCTTGAGTGGTACGCTGGCCGTCAGGGTCGCGCTGCTGGAGCTAGGGGCCCTGCTGCGGGAGGCGCTGGAGCTGGTGACTCTGCCACTGGAGTTGTTTCTGCAGGAGGTTCTGGAGCTGCTGAGGGCGCTGGAGCTGGAGGTTCTGGAGCTGCTGAGGGTGCTGGCGCTGGAGGTTCTGGAGCTGCTGGAGGTACTGGCGCTGGTGGCGCTGGAGCTGGAGGTTCTGGAGCTGCTGCGGGTTCTGGCGCTGAGGGTTCCGAGTCTGCTGTTGCGCGGCTTCCTTGGAGTAGCCGCCTTCGTCCGCGTGTGCCTCTCACCTCGCAGCAGCTGCACGACTGGTACGGTCGCCGTCAGGGTCGCGCTTCTGGAGCTCGGGGCTCTGCCGCTGGAAGTACTTCTGCTGTCGCCACTGGAGCTGGGAGTGGTGCTGGTCCCGGAGGTGCTCGTACTGGAGGTACTGGAGCTGTTGGGGCTGGAGGTGCTGAGTCTGAGGGTGCTGCTGCTGGAGGCACTGCGGCTGGAGACCCTGGGACTGGAGGTGCCGGTTCTGGGGGTGCTGCTGTTGGTGGAGCTGGTCCTGGAGGAGCTGGCGCTGGAGGTTCTGTAGCTGCTGGAGTCTCTGGAGCTGCTGGGGGAACTGGAGCTGCTGGTGCTGGTGTCACTGCACAGCCGCGCCTGTTCTTCGCTCCACCGTCTCCGTCGTCTCAGCCACCGCCTGACTCTGTGCTTCGCCAGGTTCTTAGTCTCCCTTCGTCTACTGGTCTTCCGTTGCAGCCTGGTTCACCGCTGCCTGCTCCTTCTCCTTACACTGAGCAGCTAGGGAGTCTTACTGAGCGTCGTGAGCCTGCGTCGCGTCCTGTCTCGCCTGTCTGTTCTGGTCGTTCCGGTCGTCGTGTTCCTCGTCCGCGTCTGCCGGCTGTCCCCGACACCCACCTCGTAGTCCGTCGTCTTTCCTCTCCTCCACAGCGCGTTCCTCTGCCGTCCCCTCCTGCGTCTTCTCTGCCTATCGTTGCGGACCCCGAGTCTGACCGGTTT